GTGATCAGTATCACGAGCAACGATCTACCAAATTGGGTGAGTGAGTGAGTTTAGTTTTACGCCGCACTCAGCAATATTCCAGCTATAAGGCAGCGGTCTGTAAATAATCGAACCTGGACCAGACAATGCAGTGATCACTACGCAATTGGGATAAGATGACATGTGTCCACCAAGCCAGTGATCCTGACCACCCAATCCCCGTTAGTCGACTCTCACAACAAGCATGGGTTGCTGAAGACCCATTCTAACCCGGATCTTCAAGGGAATGTCATCTTGCAGTTGGGGTGAGTGAGTTAGGTTTAACGGAGAGGTTGAGGAGGGAGGAAAGTCTAAAGTGATGTAGATGTCAGATGTTTTCAACCACGGACAATCACAGATGTCATGGTGATACAACTATAATCATGGCGAAACGATATTCGAACCCATGATCATAGGGTCCTGGTGTATACAAGGGATGCAACTCTGCACAACGAATTTCAGCACTCGAAACGACCGGGCAGTCAACAAAGAAATGCAACAGCAAAACAGGACCTCAAAAACATGAACTAAACATTTTACGACAACAAAGCTGAAAAAAGAGAACGCAAAACATAATTTTATTACATCTCTGACGTCCAAACTTTAAAAGCCGTGCCGTCAAACGCCATTGAAACAATAATTACCACAAGACCACAAAAATGTAATTCCTTTAACTAGCATTTAGAAGCTGGTATGAGTGAGTGAGTTTAGTTTTAGCAATATTCCAGCAACATCACAGAGGTGGACACCAAAAATAGGCTTCACACATTGTACCCATGTGGGGAAGCGAACCCTTGTCTTCGGTGTGACGAGCGAACGCTTTAACCACTAGGCTACCCCACCGCCCCAGAAACTGGTTTGATGAAGAATAATTTTTTATTGCAATAGGTGCGACGTTATCAGGCAAATGATGATCTGTACCGAAACGTCGCACCTGTTGCTATAAAGAAGTTGTCTATTAAACAAAAGTGTTCCTCTTCACAAAAATACAATTATTTAAAAAAAATACAATTCTGAGCAACACGATTCAATAGTCACTATACTAAAACATGAGAACCAAGGTCCATTTGCGATGATGCCCTATGTTTACGTTGTATGTAGACCGTGTTATGTCGTCGTAACCTCTACGGACTGACTGACTGAGTTTGGTTTTACGCCGCTTTTAGCAATATTCCAGTAACATCACGGCGGGGGACACCAGAAATAGGCTTCACACATTGTACCCATGTGGGGATTCGAACCCGGGTCTTTGGCGTGACGAGCCAACGCTTTAACCACTAGGCTACCCCACCGCCCCTAACCTCTACGGAGAGCGAGCCAGCCATTAATAGGTATAGTCATGCGCCTCGCTGTCAAAGCTGCAGTAGCTAGCATTCCTATACGACTAGGCAAAACAATATGTAAAGTGCATCGCAAACCACAGCATTGGGTCAGCATGTACTGATAACAGTTTGTGTTCAAAATACAAAGAGAATAGTCTGGTCATGTGATATGCAAATTAGCCTGTGGCGGTGACCTAATGCAAAGTCATCACTGCGCCAGTGTGTGATCTGGAACCCGTTCTATCCGGAACTCCAACGATGACGTCACAACAGCCTTGGAGAACCTGTTTGGCAGCGAAGAGAAATACTTCCACGAAACTGGAATAATATCTCTCAAACATCGTCGGCAAATGTGTACCAGTGCGGGGGTTTGTTGAAGGGATTATTTTGGAATAAAATATTTCGATATCTTTAGCTCGTCTTTCAGAACTTACCAATAACCCCTCGCAGAAACATAATCTTCACCCGTGAGTCACCCACGTCCGTTTGCTGTAGAAATGTTTTGAGAATATTGTTTTGTACATGCCCCTGACATTTTAAGCAACGATATGTTTGTGAACCACTTAACAGCCATAACATGACCTGGTCTTCATGACATGAACGAGTGTGTTGAAAGCTAAAACAGATATTTAAAAATTATTCAGAATATAAGTTCGTTATAAGTGTATTGGTTGTAAAGGAAGTTTATTTACAGTGTATTAACAATACAAAACCTTGACAAGAGACCAAAATGGGCTACACACATAACATATGTTATATTTGGGATTAGTTGTCGGCAGTGGGAGCCGTGACAAGTTACACTTATCAGAGGGGTACACAAAGTCCGCAGTCTAGACTACCAGTTGTCCGACTTCCATTTATTAATAAGTCGCGGTGGCTGAGCGGGTTAGGCGGCTGATTTTGTGTGCTGGCGATTAGGTGCCTGACTCTGAGGGTGTGGGTTCGAATCCCGGATGGGACTCATCCCAACAAAAGTGCTAGAATGGGTACTTTACTAAGAAAGTGTAATCCCAGATATAATATATGTTACATTTGACCAGATTCTAAATGGCATTGTGTAATCATGGGCTGCAATAACAAATCGAGGAACCTTGAACCTTATATAAAAATACTTCACTGAATCTGAAGTCCCATATGCAACAAACAATAACAAGTGAGTATGTTTTTGTTGAACATCAAATCCTATTGCAATATATTACCAATATTCAAGTTCCGTTACAAACTCACTAGGCGAAATTGATTTGTATGTATCCACTCACCGTCGACAACGAGATTCCGTCCCTTGCATGCAGCACACCTCACTTACAGTTATCTAGGTCAGTGGTAACAAATATTCGTGACAGGCAAAGAGTTGAGTCGAGAAAAGTCGGGACCGGTCCTGTGGGTTATACTAAAATGGATTGTAGAATGCTAAACCGAAACGAGATTTCAGGGCAAATATATCATTGACATTTTAAAAGCATATTTTTTAAGGGTTTGAATTTGTATCTGAATGTGCATGCCATAATATGATGCTGTCACGTATCACTACAATCGGAGAGTCCTTCAAAAGATACAGTTTCTTGTTTCTATAACTTGTGTGTTTCAATCAACCTTTACCCATTTATCTGAAACCTACTCAGGATTGTTTTAATTACCATATTCTAACTTGTTCGAATTTCTACAATCACGTACTTGTTAACCACATGTTCCTGTTGACAAGGCAGACCCCCTCAAGCTGCATATGAAAGCCTACTATCTGTCACCACCCCTCATATACCTTCAACTCTCCCCTCATCAGGTTCTCCCCCTCTCTCTCTCTCTCTCTCTCTCTCTCTCTCTCTCTCTCTCTCTCTCTCTCTCTCTCTCTCTCTCTGTCTCTCTGTCTCTATCTGTCTCTCTCTCTCTATCAGTCACCACCCTCATATACCTTCAACTCTCCCCTCATCAGGTTCTCCCCCTTTTCTCTCTCTCTCTCTCTCTCTCTCTCTCTCTCTCTCTGTCTATCTTATCTCTCTCTCTGTCTGTCTCTTTCTATGTATCTCTCTCTCTCTCTCTGTGTTTCTCTCTCTGTCTGTCTCTATCTATCTCTCTCTCTCTCCCTCTGAGTCTCTTTCTCTCTCTCTCTCTCTCTCTCTCTCCCTCTCTCTCTCTCTCTCTCTCTCTCTCTCTCTCTCTCAGGGGGAATTGATTACTATCCAACAGTCAGCATCTACATGTACCATTAACCATCATACGAGACTCGGTATATCTACATGTATATGTTTAGAATATCATTACGGACAACGAAAAGTGTCTTACTTCACGTAGGCCCTATCTTTTGAAGGGAGCAGGACCCGGCGAGGGGTCCAGAGTGCAACTGCTGATAAAGTATATCATATCACAAGGGTAGGGTAGCATTAAAACGTTGGGGAGCCCACATGAATGTGGGTCAAATGTCTGATATAAACATTGGTGTAGAGTAGTGATGATTCGTTAGGTACGCCGTATAAGTTATTGTATGGATATAAGAATATTACATAGCAGTGATTGCATATATCATACTCTCATAGTAGATAATAGCGTCATGGCAATAACAAGATTTTGTCATCACACCAGAGAAAAGCAGAATGAACGACATGAAGACTATGTACCCGGCAGGCCCTAGACGCAGTGTTAAGACATTGGCAGGGTGTACATGTTTAACAGACATGAAGACTATGTACCCGGCAGGCCCTAGACGCAGTGTTAAAGGTCACATGCAACCAAAAAAATCAAACATAATTAAAACACAATTATCACTTATTCATGACATATAATATACATTGCTGGTTATGAAAAAACATATAAACAAAATTATAAGCGTACAATCGCAAATCAAAAGTGCAATATTGTGTACTTCGGTTTACTTCCCAAGAAACGAAGCAGCCGCGAAACCGAACCCAGTCAGAGCGGGTGGGTGTGCACTCAAGTGTAACGGGATGTTCATTTGCAGATGCTCATTGTGTGTATATATATAGAGATGTTGGGTTTTGTAAATACATGCTCATTTTTTGTGTATAACATTTTGCAATCAACAGACATCATAACATGTCATGTGTTCAAGTATCACACCTGCCTGTCTGTGTAATTACATAATGTGACAGAGGCCGAACTCGGGCCATAAATCAATGCATTTTGTTTATGGTGTATAGCCTGATTAGTGTTAATTTCAAATTGCATGTGGTCAGTGATAGCAGCTGTGTATTGAATATTGTCATTAGCAGACAGGTAGGCAGACACACAGGTGTCAATAAAACAAGACATTGACTTTGGTCTGTGACAACGACATATCTATATCAGAGTTAGAAATTCTGTCAACGCTAAATAACTGAGAAAGTGACTCGGTAAGAAGAACGTGTGGTGAAATAGACAAATGAAATTATATAAACAGTTAATTTACTGTCATAACATATAAAAAGTTCGCGCCTGTGAGATATCAACAAAACATTAGAAAAATAGCTCACACCAAAGCCTTCACCGAGTATTCACCGGACAACCCGCTTCCAAGCTGCGCGAACCTATTTCACTGCGCACATGCTATGAGCGCAGCCCAGCTGTTGAAACCCGTTTTCCCCAGAAAAGTCTGGGGAAATTTAGTGAAACGTTTGAACTCCGATTTCGCGCGGTTTTTTTCATCGCGTTATTTTTCAACTTTATAAGTTGAATTTGCATTTTTTGACGATTTGTTTCGGTAAATCCATATCGAAAGGTATCAGAATCTGCAAAGTTGTGTTTTACGTTGCATGTGACCTTTAAGACATTGACAGGGTGTACATGTTTAACAGCTCGATATGATGAGGTCATCTCTTCAGACATTTACGCAACGTCTGAGCATGGACTCTCACCCCTGTGACCTGTTGCAGCCGCTCTCGTATGTGAGTAGGATTTGCAGCAGCTCGTAACTAAAACATGATCACTGTGTCACCGCTTGTCCCAGAATGTAGCCCTGGCGATGGTTGTGAAGGTCAACCAGAACCTCACTGTCAACAGAGTGGTGTGACTGCTGCTGGGTATCTTTGTGTTTGTTTGTTTGTTGTTTAACGCCGTACTCTACAATATTCCAGCTATATGGCGGCGGTCTGTAAATAATCGAGTCTGGACCAGACAACCCAGTGATCAACAGCATGAGCATCGATCTACGCATTTGGGATACGATAACATTTGTCAACCAAGCCAGTGAGCCTGACCACCCGATCCCGTTAGTCGTCTATTACGATAGGCGTGGGTTACTGCAGATCAATTCTAACCCGGATCTTCACGCCTAATTAGCTCATGACCGAAGAGTTGAAACTGCTTAAGACATCATATTGGCCACTATGCTGCTACATTAGGAGGACAGACAAAGTGTATCATCATATTGGCCACTATGCTGCTACATTAGGAGGACAGACAAAGTGTATCATCATATTGGCCACTATGCTGCTACATTAGGAGGACAGACAAAGTGTATCATCATATTGGCCACTATGCTGCTACATTAGGAGGACAGACAAAGTGTATCATCATATTGGCCACTATGCTGCTACATTAGGAGGACAGACAAAAGTGTATCATCATATTGGCCACTATGCTGCTACATTAGGAGGACAGACAAAATGTATCATCATATTCATATTGGCCACATCATGCTGCCACATTAGGAGGACAGACAAAGTGTATCATCATATTGGCCACTATGCTGCTACATTAGGAGGACAGACAAAGTGTATCATCATATTGGCCACTATGCTGCTACATTAGGAGGACAGACAAAGTGTATCATCATATTGGCCACTATGCTGCTACATTAGGAGGACAGACAAAATGTATTATATATTAGCAAAGTAACTGAGAGAGAGAGAGAGAGAGAGAGGGGGGTGGTGTGTCCTTTATAGTCCTCCTGGGGCAATGTTCAGTACAGGGCCAACACACATATACATGCACGCATACAAGGTACAGGTGGAAGTGCTGCTTATTTAAACCCCCCAAACTCATTGGTATCGGTCACTGAAGTAGGACATCTTTTGTCATGGAATAAATCAGTTCAAAAGTCTCAGGAAGTTCGCTCTGAGATTTGTAGGTCACGTCCATTATGACTGAAGTATGCTATCGGTCATGAATACTATTCCACAGCCATTACCGCTGCTATAAATGTGTGTGATCACTACCCAAGTCAAAGTGTCGTGTATGAGATTATAGAAGCGGTTCTGTTACTCTACTGCCTATATGGAAGATTTCTTTTCTTCCTTTCCTTCGTTCAAACGTTCGTGCATTGTTGTTGGGCGGTGGGGTAGCCTAGTGGTTAAAGCGTTGGCTCGTCACGTCGAAGACCCGGGTTCGAATCCCCACATGGGCTCAATGTGTGAAGCCCATTTGTGGTGTCCCCGCCGTGATGTTGCTTGAATATTGCTAAAAGCGGCGTAAAACCAAAACTCAGTCAGTCAGTCAGTCGTGCGTTGTTTGTTTTGTTTTGTGTTTTGTTTACTTTATTAAATACTAACTAACGGGCAAGATAAACGATACCAAGTCGAAATCAGTGATATTACAAAACGACAAACAACCGATTCTGGAAAAGGAAAGTGAATTATAATACCAGGTAAATGGGCAACATGCACTCAGTCATTTCACTGGAGTGGCAACAATTGAGTCACTGTATAAATGAAGGAATGAAGTCCAAATTATCAAATCAAATTTTCGTATCGTTTCGTTTGCCTGTTAGTTTAATTAGGAGTTTGGTAAAAATGCAGCCTTGGGTGAGAGATTTCCCATCATGTCTTCAAAGCAGGACATACTCCAAAGCCAGTGAACGTACGTGACTCACAATCACAATATTGTGACAGTTGTGAATCACGTGACCTCGGACAGCGAGAGCAAGGGGTGGTATGCCAGCCTTACCACTGCAATGCACTGGTTACGCGCAGACAAGTGCTGTATCCTTGGGCACAAATACATTTAATTCAACATATTTTAATCAACCTATGAATGTAACAGCATTGGTCATGAGACGTTTGCAACAAGGACGTCCACATGCCATACACATGAGCTCATATTGCTCAAATATCGCATGCTTCTTAATCTGGGCACTCTACCACCATACACAAACGTCGATGATGGATGCCTATCTCGGGACCCAAGGGCAACAACTCCAGCCCAAGACAAATTCATCAGAACTGGGGAATGACGACATCGGTTGCAACTGCTACTCATATTACGAGGCGACTAACGGGATCGGGTGGTCTGGCTCGTTGACTTGGTCGGTTCCCATTTGCGTAGATCGATGCTCGATGTTGATCACTGGATTGTCTGGTCCAGACTCAATTATTTACAGACCGCTGCCATATAGCTGGGATATTGCTGAGTGCGGCGTAAAACTAAACTCATTCACTCATATAGGGGGACCGACTGGAACATTGTATAGCCGTGCGTCTGCACAGACTTTCCCATCGTGTACGTCGTCAGCGTGACACCCCACAACGTACGGCATGAATAAGAGGTATAGAGGAAGTCGGCACAAAAAGATAATGTCATTATGTCATATTTTCTAAAGAATCGACCTTCACCCCCGACTTCCAAGAATCGACTTTGGAGACGTCCTTATGGGCGTTTTATGGACATTATTGTGGTACAGCATAACCCAAAGGGAGGTGGGTCTAAACTGATATGTGGTGGAATCACAATGACTGGTCGAACTGATCCTTGTCAAAGTCGGCTGTCAATGCTACTGGAACAACATCATTGCATAACCTTGTTTTTCGCTGCCAAGATGTTAAATCTCGAGCCCAAGAGTTGAAGTTTTACGCCGCTTATAGCAATATTCCAGCAATATCACGTCGGGAGAGACCATTGTAACCATGTGTGGAATCGAATCCGGATCTTTGGCGTGTGGAGCGAACGCTTTAACTGCTAGCCTACCCCACTGCGACTTTCCCTCATTGATCTTGTCTGGAACGTCATTGCAGACATGTACGTCAACGTCAACGTCAAAGTCAAAGTCAGAGTCAGTCCACCTCTCCAGACTCGCCAGAAGCATGCCACTAAGAATTCGTGCATGTCTAGCCTACCGAGGTAATTTTACCCGGAATTAGTGACATCGGCTGAAAATTTGAATTTAACCCCCAAATTTTCCAACGACCTAATGAGCCACCATTTGATTCCAAAACACATTAGTAGCCATTACATCAGATCATCCACTCACTTACAGACAGCATCGCATCATAGGATCAAAATATAGGTCTTGCTCATTCCCACTATCCCCTACGTATTCAAGGGGGTATGCACATTAAATGAAACACCGAGAGCAAGTAGGGTTGGTCTAAGTTAACGCTCATCACGTACCGCACATGCATTTGTTTCACTGTTCCAACTAATTTGCTTACCCCCTTGTAATGCAAACCATTAATAGCGATTTGAATCTATGATCGTTTGTTAGACAACCTTTATCCTAAGTTGAATAAAATTCTGAGATGTACATGTTTACTTGGCAAGGTAAAATTATGATGATTCGTAATCTTATTTTCACTTTATCCGATTTACTTTTTGTTTAAAGTGAAATTCATCTGTACGTTTTCACTGCAAACAGACTATGACTTATACACCTGTGTGTGTGACAAGGAATTTTTAAAGAATCTATCGATATTCACTTGACCTCATTCATTGCACTCAGATGTATGACACCGTGGCTCAGGGTTCAGCTTTTGTGAACATGTCAGTATGATGATAGTTGGAAAATGCCCAAGCTGAAATCTACTTAAGAAATCAGAGAAGTGCTTTAAAGGGACACAGGCGATTCTCTCGCAATAAGAGCCCTTTGTTTGTTTGTTTGCCTGGAAAAAGCCCTTACAAAATTCTTTTATACTCATAGGCGGATCCAGAGGGGGAGTGCAGGGGGGCACCCCCTTTCTCAAAAAGCTGTATCCGCCCCTGACACTGTTTTGGTCAATTATGATTATGAAAGTTATAATTGAACACGCTTATGTATTTTCAAAAGTGTACCGTATCCTGTCATCACCTATGGTACCCGTCACAAATACATATCTAGGCAAGGCAATTGTTCACTTAAAAACTAGCAGGGGATCACAAGGAACAAGTCACAACAGGTGCAGCTGTAAAATTGAAACCATCACTGCCATCGGTAAATAAGGCATTTTGAATGAAATAGACATCAATAGCCCGATACTAGTAATTCTAGAGCCTTGGCGAAGGATTACATAATTCATATAACGAGGGAAAGATAATCTGTCATTCCCCGTCACGAGTTGGTTATTGTTTTTATTACCCATATCAGTTTTGGATGTAAAAAACGCTAAAATTAAAACAGCATCTTCTCTATAAGGAAACCCGCGATGTAGGGAATCCCCATATCTCTTCGCGTGTGACGAGGCTTTATTTCATTGGCTGGAATCAGCCAATCAACGTTCACCACAAGTTGTAACCGAGGAGACTTCAGGAAAGTAGCAATTACACAGCGCACTAAGGTAAGCAGGTTGTTCAATATTTCAGTTCAGTTTATTGTACTCGCGGCCTGAGGTCCATATACCATATGGCGTTCAAGGTGTGTTTATCACAACGCTAAAATGTTTTCGGTTTTGGAGCGTTTCGCCCGAAAGCGCAGTGGGAGGACCTGACCCCGGGCGCCCACACGGCCCACACGACAATCACAGAGTCCGACGAGGAAGTGACTTTTTGGTGATTCAAGACCAGATAAAGGTATGCAACTGTACGTACGGTCATTTACAGACCATTAACACGTATATCCGCAACGATTGTTGGAAACGCTCTTTACGCTAACTCAATCACTACCGGTGTTGATAACAGGGAAGGGAGGTAATCTGTGGGCGGGTCGTGAAATATGACGGGTGCTTCATATAATAAAGTCCATCCGCGGATACAGAGGGGTAGACTGACTGACTGAGTTGAGTTTTACGCCGCATTTAGCAATATTCCAGCAATATCACTGTGGGGGACACCAGAAATAGGCTTCACACATTGTGCCCATGTTGGGAATCGAACACGGGTCTTCGGCGTGACGAGCCAACGCTTTAACCACTAGGCTACCCCACCGCCCCCAGAGGTAGAGGGTATCAGAGGTTATGTTAGTCGTGTCGACGGATAAATTCCCCGCTGTCTCGTTAAATTGCTACTTGCCTTACGGTCCAGTGATCTCCAGGCAAACAACCTTTTCAGATCCTTTAGGAGCTGGCGCATCTTAGAGGCAAACAACCCTTTACGGGGGTTTGGGTTTAGGTTAGGGCCTGGTACCCTTTCCTATTATAAGGGTTTGGTTTTAGGGTTAAGGTCCGGTAGGGTTAGGGTCTGGTACCCTTTCCGATCCTTAGGGTTTAGGGTCTGGTACCCTTTCCGATCCTTAGGGTTTAGGGTCTGGTACCCTTTCCGATCCTTATGGTTTAGGGTTAGGGTCTGGTACCCTTTCCGATCCTTAGGGTTTAGGGTTAGGGTCTGGTACCCTTTCCGATCCTTAGGGTTAGGGTCTGGTACCCTTTCCGATCCTTAGGGTTTAGGGTTAGGGTCTGGTACCCTTTCCGATCCTTAGGGTTTAGGGTTAGGGTCTGGTACCCTTTCCTATTACAGTGGACTCTGTATAATCCGACATCTAAATTATCCGACAATCTGTGAATTCCAACATATTTTTTGGGTCCCGGCATCGTTCTTCTATATTATCATCATTTAAACATTGAATTATCCGAGATCTGTACATTCCGAATTCCGACACCATTTTATGGTCCCATTGACACTAATAATCTGTACAATCCGACATCCTCTCCCCATATTGGACTAAAATAGCCAATCAACCTGTCAATAGCCAGTTGACAACTAACATCCTGTTACTGGTAATCTCTTTGGTCTCAGCACTTGCTAATTGGGAGGTAATAAGCAGTGTGAAAACGCCTGTACCTTTGTTTTTACAAGCTGAGTGGCCAATGTGAGGACCTAGGTATGTTTTGTCCAGCATCGGATGAATGGGCTGAGACAAGGGATCAATTAATATTGAATATGATTGTGAAAGTAGAACATGTATGATATTGTACTGAAGATAATATATCCAATGATATACATGTACATGTAAATACAGAATTTGTTTTTCCCCTTTATTTACCAAGAAAATAGCTGTTCAGCTTTAACTTCATGATATAAGCCAGTTACGATGTATGGTACTGTTTGAAAAGTTTTCAAGCAAAGAGACATTGAATTATCCGACGCTCTGTATAATCCGACATTTTTTCCCGGTCCCAGTGAGTGTCGGATTATACAGAGTCCACTGTATAAGAGTTAGGGTTTTGTTTTAAGGTTAAGGTGTTGTACCCTTTCCGATCCGTAGGGTTAGGGTCTGGTACCCTTTCCGATCCTTTGGGATAAGTCTGGTACCCTTTCCTATCCGTAAGGTTATTGTTTTGGGTTAGGGTCTGGTACCCTTTCCTATTATAAGGGTTAGGGTTTGGTTTTAGGGTTAAGGTCTGGTACGCTGACCCGTAGGGTTTAGGGTTAAGGTCTGGTACCCTTTCTGATCCGTAGGGTTAAGGTCTGGTACCCTTTCTGATCCGTAGTGATTAGGGTTAGGGTCTGGTACCCTTTCCTATTATAAGGGTTAGGGTTTGGTTTTAGGGTTAAGGTCTGGTACCCTGATCCGTAGGGTTAAGGTCTGGAACCCTTTCCGATCCGTAGGGATTAGGGTTAGGGTCTGGTACCCTTTCCCATCATTAAAGTTAAGGTATGGTACCCTTTCCCATCATTAAGGTTAAGGTATGGTACCCTTTCCCATCATTAAGGTTAAGGTATGGTACCCTTTCCCATCATTAAGGGTAAGGTATGGTACCCTTTCCGATCCTTAGTGTTGAGGATTAGACCTTACCTTAGGGCAGTGTAATCCGAATATATCCAATTAAAACACATTACATTACCAGTCTTCTTTCTCAGTTTGAATCCTGTTAGCCATCCAGTGTGCGAAATAGCCACTGGCCCGCTAGCCCGGGGCTAGTAAAAATCTCCACAGTTACTACCCCGACTGGCTGGTGAATTTTCATAGGCTCATTTTGTAAATATATCACTTGTTAAGTTAATAAATATTTAAATCATGCAGGATTATGGCCTGGTAGAAATGTTCATCATATCAGCAGCTTAATGACGAAACCCGTGCGTTCATTCACATTTCGGGCTAATGAATTATTTTGTGGGCTAGTAACTTTCAGGCATAGCTGGCTAGCAAAATTTGGAAACTATTTCGCACATTGTCTTCCGATTGTGACCAGTTGTGTTTGATATACGAGTGTGACATTTACACAACTGTTAGCAATATCTATATATTGATGTTCGGTTAATTAATTCAATCCCACGTTAATGTCACCACATGGCCTTCTGAGAGAGTGGTTTTTAGATTCCGTTGTAGGTTACAAGCAATTGTTCCTTCCAGGATTGTGATGTCACGTGTTACGGTAGAGGACGCCGGTGGCGACACTCTCTTTCAAATAGAGCACAACGGTAACCTGTACCCAAACTTCCCCAACATCAACTCCATCACCAACATCCACAACCTTCCCATCAGAGACGATGACATCTTCATCTGTGCTTACCCGAAATCAGGTAACACTTAGAAACACCTACCCGTGAAACTCCGGCCTAGAACTAGTCTTCAGAAACCCATGCTTGTCGCAAGAGGCGATTAACGGGATCGGGTGGTCAGGCTCGCTGACTTGGCAGACACATGTCATCGTATCCCATTGCATAGATCGATGTTCATGGTGATGATCACTGAATTGTCTGATCCAGGCTCGATTATTTACAGACCGCCGCCATATAGCTGAAATATTGCTGAGTGCGGCGTTAAACAACAAACAAACAAACAGGTTGTTTAGATGTTGATCGTTTTTCATTACAATGGAAAATTGTGTGGTGTTGTAAATGGTTGGTGCTACCGATAGAACAGGGCAGTCATACCTAGTGTATGTATACTAGTACTTATATCCTGTTGTACATTCATACGAGTTTCTCTTTATATTAAGAGGAATCTATTTCAGAGGATAGTCAAGATTTCACATTCGTTTATAGTGACGTTTTGTGTGACTGTATCCTTGTCAAAACGCCAAGAGAAGGGATAATCCAAAATAGCTATGAGTTCGAATCCGAACATCTTACAACACTGCTAAAAACACCACATACACCATTCTCAGAGCCTCATTTCCGCAAAGGTCCATTTAAAACAGACTGGGAATTTGGATGGAGAGTTACCTAACAAATATCCAGTTTCTCACAAGATTCCCTCCCCCATCCACCCAAATATTTGATATTGTGTTAAGTTGTTTTGATGATGTAAAATGAAAAGTGAGTGAGTGAGTGAGTTTAGTTTTACGCCGCTTTTAGCATTGTTCCAGCAATATCACGGCGGAGGACACCAGAAATTGGCTTCACACATTGTACTCATGAGGAGAATCGAACCCGGGTCTTCTGTGTCACTAGGCTACCCAACCGCCCCAATGTAAAACGAGTAAGACAAAAATAGCATTTTAGCTGCTCTTTACAAATTACTCGACTATAAACGTGAGGCTCGAAATGTGTAAGTGAGGGCGTGTCTTCAGCATTTCAATCATTCAACCGAGTGGTGAGTGAGTTAAGAATTGAGTCACATCGACAACCGTCTGTCTAAGTGAATAGGCATATCGTCCACAAATAGTTCCATATGGGTACGTGTCCTTCCTCCAACACTAAATGTTTCAGGCACACACTGGGTCTGGGAGGTGACTCGACTTCTTGTAACTGGACAAACAGTTCAGGACAATGTTGAGAAGGGAGCAGGCATGATTGAGTACATGCCACAGGAGGATGTGACGTCACTTCCGTCTCCCAGAATTCTCAACAGCCATTTCAAGCTGAAGCTGCTTCCGCAGGACATTCTCAAGAAAAGATGTAAAATCTTGTATGTGATGCGGAATCCTAAGGACATCGTGGTCTCCTATTATAATTTTATGCGAGGTCTGCCCCACTACAAGTACACCGGCAAATGGGAGAACTACATGCAGTATTTTATTCTTGGTAAATGTAAGTATTTGGAATTTGAATGTGTCACCGGTTTCATTTAAATCTGTTCTTGTAATCCTATTGCATAATGTATAGCATTCGACATTTCTCACCGTAAATATATTGATACCTATTATATTATGCCTCTGATTCATAATGATAATAATCATATATCCATCTGCAGGCACTGGTTTATTTTAAGAAAGGATCTGTCCTTGACAATCAATAACCTGTTGGTTTAGACGAGGTGAAGTGAAATTGGGTTTCACGTCGTGCTTGAGAATATTTCGCTCATATGACGACGTGCATGCGTGTGTATGTGTGGCTGCTTGTGCTAGCCCAGACTTAAGCTGGTTTTATAGTGCTAGCCAACTGAGATACCATGCCGCAGTGAAGCATGAATACCCCACTCAGACACATTTCACTGACTCCGAGCCGACCAGTCCTTGTTGTACCCATAAATGCCGAGCGCCAGGCATGGACCAACAAGTACCATATTTTAACGTCTTTTGGTATGACGCGGTCAGGGATCGAACCCGCGACCTTCCGCTCTCCGGGAGGACGCTGGTTTAGAAGAAAGGGGATACGAACTAATATTAATGACTTAACACATACTAAATGCCACATGATAAGTTATTATTATAAGGAGGGAGGTTTTGGTTTTGACCCTGTTTTAGCAATATTTCAGTAAGATCAGAAACGGGCTTCACACATTGAACTCATGTGGGCAGATGAACCCGGGTCTTCGGCGTGATGAGCGAACGCTTTAACCACAAGCCTACACCACCGCCCCTTATTATAAGGACGTAAAACAGTGGTTCTATATTTGGAACAGTTTCCTACGGATCCTGGTTCGACTACGTCCTCGAGTTCGAGGACATGAAGAGGTCTCATCCCGATCTGCCGGTACTCACCCTCCATTACGAGGACTTGAAGGAGGTAAGGGTTTGATACTGAGACCGTCATCTGATGGGAGGCAAATCGATTGAAACATGTTGTATACCACCGGGGGTCCAGGAATGTCATTGTCTAATACACGGCAGATAATGCTGTATATTGTGATTATTCAACGCAGCATGAACTGAACATGTCCTTCCTGAACCACACCTCTGTGGTATAGGTTACTAGTTCTTCCTGAATTCCACTAGACGTAGCAGACGTATGTGTTTGAATGCTGCTGCTGATTTCTTCTTCATTGTTTCCAGTACTTGTTAGAACTGTTCGGGTTAAATGGTGTAAGTTTGTCTGCTGCATTCTAAACTCCCTGGAACCCTGTCATCATAGTACTTAACAGGGGATCCCATGTAGGAAACTCTCTCTCTCTCTCTCTCTCTCTCTCTCTCTCTCTCTCTCTCTCTCTCTCTGTGCGTCTCTCCCTCACTGTCTCTCTGTATGTCTGTCTCTCTCGCTCTCTCTCTCTCTCTGGCTTACTCTCTCTGTGCGTCTCTCCCTCTCTCTCTCTCTGCGTATCCCTCTCTGTGCGTCTCTCCCTCACTGTCTCTCTCTCTCTCTGGCTTATTCTCTCTCTCTCTGGCTTACTCTCTCTGTGCGTCTCTCCCTCTCTGTGCGTCTCTCCCTCACTGTCTCTGTCTGTCTCTCTCTGTGTCTGTCTCTCTCTCTGGCTTACTCTCTCTCTCTCTATCTGTGCGTTTCTCCCTCACTGTCTCTCCCTCTTTGTCTCTCTCTCGCTCTCTCTCTCCCTCTCTCTCTCTGTATCTCACTGTCTGTCTCCCAGCATCTACATGAACCATTAACCATCAAACGAGGCTCACAACATGTATATGGATATCATTCACAATATCCTTGATATAGTAACTGCTACTCTTTTCATATCATTGTTCTAGGACCCTCTACGTGAGATTAAGAGAGTGAACGAATTCCTGGAAACAGGTCGTAGTGCAGAGTTCCTACTGGAGGCGATTGAGGTCGCCAGCTTCGGCAACATGAAACAAAAGAAATCCAATCAAGTGACCTACAGGAAAGGTAGATAACTCGTGTTGTAGATTGTTTGGTAGCTAGTGATCAGGGAAAGTGGTATTTCGCTTCATGTTGGATTAAACCTCCTGATGCTCTGTGTCCGTTATACCATTCCTATAATAATGAGCACGTGGTTCTGAAGTGTTGATGCTTCCTGCTCTCTGTATACTGGTTTCAATATGTCTGTTTATTCAGCAACATTACAACCATCCAATCATGAGTTTCTACCCGTTTTACGCCGTTTTTAGCAATATTCCAGCAATATCACGGCGGGCGACACCAGAAACGGGCTTCACAAATTGTACCCATGTGGGGAATCGAACCCGGGCCTTCGGCGTGACGAGCGAACGCTTTAACCACTAGGCTACCCCACCGCCCCCGTGAAGACAGAGGTGAGGTGAGGTGAAATTGGGTTTAACGTCGTGCTTGAGAATATTTCGCTCATATGACGACGTGCATGCGTGTGTATGTGTATGTGTGGCTGCTTGTACTAGCCCAGACTTAAGCTGGTTTTATAGTGCTAGCCCACTGAGATACCATGCCGCAGTGAAGCATGAATACCCCACTCAGACACATTATACTGACTCCGAGCCGACCAGTCCTGTGAAGACAGAGGCGACTAACGGGATTGGGTGGTCAGACTCGCTGACTTGGTTGACACATGTCATCGGTTCCCAAGTGCGCAGATCGATGCTCATGCTGTTGACCACTTGATTGTCTGGTCCCGACGCGATTATTTACAGACCGCCGGAATATTGCTTCTCATTCACTCAATCAATCTTGAGTTTAAATCAGAAACTGTCGGCTTGGGGTTTAGAGGTTTTATGTATGTTTCATTCAGAAACGTTTGGCTTTTTACGAATAGCAAATTTATATTAGTCTAGGTTGCACCGAGAACCTTTCTGGCATGTGACTGCCAAAGGTTGAAGTTCACCGGGGTGACTTTTGAAATAGAATCCTCAAGCTCAAGTTGGTCTTTTCATAGAGATGTTACCATAATTAGATATGATTAGATATGTTTCATATAAATTGTTTGATACTAGACAAACATGAATCAGGTCATATACTCACTCACTTATTCGCATGTCACCATATTGTTTCAAAGAATGGTGATACTGCAACTTCCGTTTTTACCTGTATTACAAACATTTATAATTGCATATTTCCAGGTGTGGTTGGCGACTGGAAGAACTGGTTCACTGTGGCTCAGAATGAATGGTTTGATCAGCTGTACCAGGAGAAGATGGCCGATTCTGACATCAAAGTTAGATTTACGTTACCGTAGCTCCAGCAGAACTTTACATGGTACCTTTATGTCCTCCATGTTACAATTATTCTCAGGTACACAGATCTTACAGCATGGTGGAGGTACAAGCAAGCTTGTCCCCTACCAGAACCTGATCATAATCAACCTTGCCACTCTTCTGTCGATACAAAACGTCAACCTGATTGCATTGATCATTTCCCTGGAGACACGAGGATGTACACAAGTTAAACCTTGTCTGGACATGCGTGATGTCGTGAAAAAGTGACATTTTGTCAGATTGTAATATATGTGTTGTTTTAATGCTTGTCATCGTTACCTTCGGAGTGAATGAGTGAGTTTAGTTTTACGCCGCACTTAGCAATATTCCAGCTATATGGCAGCGGTCTGTAAATAATCGCGTCTGGACCAGACAATCCAGTGATCAACAGCATGAGCATCGATCATGGGAACCGACGACATGTGTCAACCAAGTCAGCGAGCCTGACCACCCGATCCCGTGAGTCGCATCTTACGACAAGCATAGTCGCCTGTTGTGGCAAGCATGGGTTGCTGAAGACCTATTCTACCCCGGATCTTCACGGGTCTACCTTCGGAAGCAGGACGACATATGTAACTCTCAACCTCCAGGTGTAAAGCAGCTGGAATCAGAATCTGAACCATTCTTACGCAATGTGTGTGCGTGAGTGAGTTGTGTTTATCGCCGTACTTCCGTTTCATATGTCCGCTCTATGTGAAAAGAGGCGGTGGGGTAGCCTAGTGGTTAAATATTAGCTCGTCACGCCGAAGACCCGGATTTGATTCCCCACATGGGTACAATGTGTGAAGCCCATTTCTGGTGTCGTCCGCCGTGATATTGCTGGAATATTGCTAACAGCGGCGTAAAATAGAACTCACTTACTCACTCACTCACTCACTCACTATGTGAAGAGAAACCAACGATGAAGATTATCGTGCTGACCAATGAATGAAACTTCATCAGGGCGAACCCACCCAGAGCCGAGTATTTGGGTGTGACACTCTCCAGTGATGGTTTGTGTGGATCATTTTTACTGATCTTCATCAATATTGTGGTCCACTAAAATAATGTGACTATACACTTTAACTCACTCACTCACTATTGTGGTCCATAGGACACAGCGTCTGCCTGGAGATGTGGTGTCCAAGCCCCGTCATATTAAGAGCCATAAAGATGGTACTTTTTTATAACCAGCGGGAGATTGACCAGGAGTTGGTCGGCATATACGCACGCACGTACGGACACACACTGCAGGTGCAAAGGTGAACCACATTTCACCACCAGTTCACACTACTACGACTACCGCCAACAGCGCTCTCTGGAAAACTATTCAGCCTATTTTCAGCTGTGGCAATACCCACAGTTGATTTTAATTAGTTCGACTTCCCACCAGACTTAATGAACACCTGTCCGATACCTAATGAATACAGTGGGGGATAACAGCAGGTACTTTGTCATGATTGTAAAGAATTGCTTGGCAATAAATGAAAGTCACGTGCAGTCTAGGAAGGTTGAATTACAACGGGCTCTCCCGGGTGCGAATATTGGTACAATACTTTATATGTACCGGTAAATTGTCAAAGAAGACTTCTGGTTACTTTGGAAGAGGTAGCACATGTGAGTTGGTGTTGTTGCTGTCACGTTCTTCTCTGCATCATTTAGGTTTGTTTGTTGATTTGTTTGTTTGTTTGGTGGGTGGTTGGTTGGTTGGTTGCTTGCTTGCTTGCTCTTTAACGCCACAATCTTTAACGCAATAGTCCAACTGAGCTGTAAAACACGCCAGAAAACTAGCTCTTGAGCTCGCCCGATTATGCAGCAAATATAAAATGTTGATTAATTGTTATTTAACACCGCATTCAGCAATAGCCCAGCTATATGGCGGCGGTCTGTAAATAGTCGAGTCTGGACCAGACAATCCAGTGTTTAACAGCATGCAGATCGATCTACGCAATTGGGATACGATAACATTCATCATCCAAAACTGTGTTCCACAGGAGATATTTTGTGTGTGAGATCAAACGTTATCACTTATACCCCATTTCTAAGATGCCTAGCGGTTAGAACAATCGAAAAACAACAACATTATCAGACAATAAAGGTATAGTTTTTTGATGACGTAACAATTGAATGACGTTATCCCGTCACTGCGCCATTCTAGTGTGCCCCCTCGTAATCGAACCATTTTACATTACGTCACAATGTAAGCGACGTCACGATGCATGTCAGTTGTCATCGCCTCGTACGGCCTCCTACAGTAAACTACTGCGTTGCATCCCGTTTCTTGGTTTGCAGTTGCTTCACTCACCTAACATCACTGGTGGAAACATTACGTTTATGTTTTCTGACTTTTTAAATGTCTCAATTCGACTCGCAAGTTTTCAGCGACACGGTAACGTTCGCAATGTTTACATTCCCACAATGCAATCGTGGAATGTCGCTAGACTACTCAGCTTCGTCTGGATATACTGATCTAAACATACGTTGGTAGTAGAAATGCGACGTTCACATGGTTTACGTTAATCACAGATGTCATTAAAATACTTTAGAGAAGATATTTAATCCGAACGTAAACCGTCATGAAACTGTTTATCATTTGTTTTTCTGGTAACGTTCGTCTTAACGTAGGGGGGCAGACACATCAATAGAACAGCGCGCCAGTTAGCTCTGTGCGAGGATTCTTAATTTAGGTCACCGACACCGCCGTTTGTTTTCTGCCTTAAATTAATCGTAATTATCCTTAGAAAGTATTAAATATTGTAATAAAACACACTTTCTCCCTGAAAGAAATGACGTTTAAAGCGTTCGCTCTACCAGTTCAGGCAAAAGTGTATTTATTACACTATAAAACACACTTTCTCCCTGAACTATTATGACGTTAAAGCACTCGTACGCAAGCGTCCTCGTGCTTTAACTATAATAGTTCAGGGCAAAAGTGTGTTTTATTACACTATACATGGTGGTAGAGCGAACTGTATTTCTTAAATCATCCCTCAACCCATATCTGGGTATGGGGGTCTCGGGATGATATGGGGCAAGATATGAAAAATGAAGTGTAATAATCTCTACATATCTCCTAGGAGATATCGTGTTGACAGTAGATTTTGTACAATGCCCTGACAATGTTATGACGTCATGAACTTGATGACGTCACAATGCTATGACATCGCTGCACCGCAAGTCTAATGACAGTACCGTGTTCAGAGATGTACGCCCGCCGTGATGTTGCTGGAATATTGCTAAAAGCGGCGTAAAACCAAACTCAGTCAGTCAGTCAGTCAGAGATGTACGTTTTTCATGATTGAAATCTAATGAACAGTGATTCTGGATGATAAATAGAATCTCACCCTCGTGTCTTCTGATATCAAATATATCAACATTCGTTGATAAATAATAAAATATCCTCGGCAAGTCTCGGGTATTTGTAACTTTATCAACTCGTGTTGATATAATTGATATCAGAAGACACTTGGGTGAGATTCTCTATGTGTCAACCAAGTCAGCGATCCTGACCACCTGATCCCGTTAGTCGCCTCTTACGACAAGCATGGGCTACTGAAGACCAATTCTAATCCGGATCTTCACGGGTATTGGTTAGGGTTAGGGTTAAGTTAGGTTAGGGTTAGGTTACACAACATGAACTTGAAGCTGTACATCGTACTGCTCCTATCTTGTCATCACGATTATATTTCTCTCTGCGAAGTGTCGGCATGTCTGTCATAATGGAGATGGATGCTGATGGATACACCATCAGGCTGATGGAACACGATGGAGAACGCTATCCCCACTTCCCTGCTGACGTCATCAAAAACGTCAAAGACATCAAAATACGTCACGATGACGTCATCGTATCAGCTTTTCCCAAATCAGGTATGATTGTTGTCGAGTTCGTTGTATCATTGGCTTACGGTGGTGTGGGAGCCTGGCTAGCTATTCTCGAAACGTTCGCAACCCTAAGATCTTCTTAAGCCCATTTTTAACACACTGGCTACGATCAAAGTTAAGAATTCTTAGGGCTACGAATGTTTCGAGAATAAGGGCCCTGTGTATTTGAAAAATCCATCAATAACACAAATGATGTTATTTGGAGGTATTGAGTGTCCTTTGAAAATATGTGCGGCTTCCTTTTTTGAAAAAAGCTTATGTCCTCAGTCAGTGTAGTAGAAGATAATTCCCAAACCCTGTCAGTCCTTATGAGTAAATACCTTGAATCACATCATATCTGGAGCGGTGGGGTAACCAGTGCTTAAAGCGTTCGCTCGTCACGCCGAAGACCCGGTTTCGATTCCCCACATGGGTACAAATGTGTGAAGCCAATTTCTGGTGTCCCCCGCCGTGAAATTGCTGGAATATTAGCTAAAAGCGGCGGAAAAACCAACTCACTCACTCACTCACTCACATCATATCTAGTAAGTGCTTCATAGGGATACGGGAGGCTCAATTGTCTTAGGTGGCGCTCTGCAACGTCACGAAATCTATTATCGTGGGCTCGCCAGATTATGCTTCTAAGGAAACAAAACCCGTGTTGGTTGGTTTCTCCCAGAGTGGTAAACGTTAAAGACCTGTGTGTGTGTTTGTTGAGTCTGGACCAGACAATCCAGTGATCAACATCTTGAGCATCGATCAAGGCAATTCAGATACAATGACATGTGTCAGCGAGCCTGACTACCCGATTCCGTTAGTCGCCTTTTATGACAAGCATCGGTTGCTGAAGATCAAATTTAACCCAGATTGTTAATGAAAGCCCGTCCCATCAGGGTTTCGTGACACGTCGGGACATAATTGACTACTATTCACAGTGTCCTTAAACTAACTTAATCATACCCTGGTTTGTGAAGTACAGTGCACTCTGGTTATAATGTCCCTGGTTATAATGCCAAACTGGTTATAATGCCAAACTGGTTTTAAGGCCAGTAATATACAGATAATGTATCTGTATTACTTTTCATTTTAAACATTTTGTTTACAAATAGCCATTAACCAAATTGTTACTTAAAGAGGCATGTAAATGTGATTTAAGTTTCTGATTACCTAACAAGATTGCGAGCTGTTATTACATTACAGGTTCTCACTGGGTGCATGAGATAACCCGTCTCCTCCAGATGGGTCGGTTGGACGAGACGAATTTTGAAAAGAATGATGTTCAGTTGGAATATGTACCGGAAGCAACATATGCGCAACATCCGTCTCCCAGAATCCTCAGCTCACATCTGAACTTCCGGTCTCTTCCGTCGCAGGTTCTGGAAAAGAAGTGCAAGATTATCTATGTTCTCAGGAACCCGAAAGACATCGCTGTGTCGTTTTACAACTTCTGTATCAAGATGCGGCATCTGACTGGCTACAAGGGGACATGGGCGAACTTTCTTCTGATGCTGTCACAAGGAAAATGTAAATCAAGTTTCTTTTTTTATCGTGACAGGAAAGGGTTTTGAGAAATGAGTGAGTGTCTTAAGTTTTACGCCGCGGCGCTCTGTAAATAATCGAGTCTGAACCTGACAATCCAGTGATCAACTACATGAGCATCGATCTACGCAATTGGGATATGATGACATGTGTCAATCACGTCAGCGAGCCTGACCACCCGATCCCGTTAGTCGCCTTTTACGATAAGCATGGGTTGCTGAAGACCAAATCAAACCCGGATGTTCACGGATAACGATCGACTGATTTTTATCACTTTCTAAATTTCCTGAAAATATAAACTGCAACCTGTTTTGGGGTACATTCCACAAGAAGAGATTTTATCTATTTAGCGACGCAATATCCCCACGTTGTGACGGCGGTCTGTATATAAGCATTAGGAATCGTTGCTCATGGTATCGACCATTGGTTTGTTTGTGCCAGACTCGATCTTTTAAAAGCCGTCTTGATAGAGCTGTGAGAAGCCGTTGAATGTAACGAAAATCAAATCTCATTCACCATACTTCTGTCATCAGTGGCCTTCGGATCCTGGTTTAACTATGTGCTCAACTGGGAAAAAGAGAAAGAAAAGTACCCGGATCTTCCCGTTCTCACTCTGTTCTACGAAGATCTCAAGGAGGTACTATATGTAATACTTTTGTTGAGACCATGATAGTTCTGGAATGTTACTTAAAGCGGCGTCAAATTATACATCCATACAACATGAATAAACAGGTGTGAACGTTCTGTTCTAAAACTGGGAACCCGTCTGACCTCGTTGGTTTATCATGATGCTAACGGTAACTCGTCAGTGCACAATATTCAACACATACCTGTAAGCTTCTAACGCTGTAATTTCAGGACACGCTGCGTGAAGTTAAGAAAATCAACGACTTCCTTGATCTCAAAAGAGACGACAGATTTCTACAGCAAGTCTGCGACCACGTGACTTTCGCAAATTTGAAACGTATCAAAGGCAGAAACCATTTGCATGACGGGAAGTCTGTGATCTTCAGGAAAGGTATTGACTCTCTCATATACATGAAATGAAACATCTTCATGATTGTTTTATCTATATACTTTATTTCTTTGAAACCTTTGAAAGGAGGAAACGAAGAACCTACATGTAGATTTTGTGTGTATAAGTGAGTGAGTTTGATTTTACGCCGCTTTTGCCATTGTTAGATGGATATCACAGCTGGGAACACCCGTATCAAGTTATGGGATATCCAACCCAGGTCTTCGGCGTGATAAACCCAGCTCACTCACTCACTCCGAAACAGTGAGTGAGTTTAGTTTTCCGCCGCACTCAGCAATATTCCAGCTATATGGCGGCGGTCTGTAAATAATCGAGTCTGGACCAGACAATCCAGGGATCAACAGCATGAGCATCGGTCTACGCAATTGGGCTACGATGACATGTATCAACCAAGTCAGCGAGCCTGACCACCCGATCCCGTTAGTCGCCTCTTACGACAAGCATGGGTTACTGAAGATCAAATTCTAACCTGGATCTTCACTTGTTCACTCCGAAACAGAATATTTCTCAATATTATGTTGTAATTAACATGAACAACTGTTTGTTGTTCTACGCGGCAGTCAGTAACATTGACAAATCAAGTCTCATCCTTGAAACAAAGAAATGGTTGATATAAAGTCTGGCATCGTCGGAGTTCAATAAGTCGCAACTATCCGGTTTATAATCCATTGGATCCACCCGATCTATTTTATCTCCTATCCTAATCCTGGATCCACTGGAATATTCAGATATCTCGCTTTTAAAGACAATGAAATTTCACACTATGACATAACATAATCGCTTTAATGATTTTCTAGGTGAGGTTGGTGACTGGAAGAACTGGTTCACTGTGGCTCAGAATGAATGGTTTGATCAGCTGTACCAGGAGAAGATGGCCGACTGTCACCTACGGTTTCGATATACACTTGATAACAGCATATGATGCCTGCTTTTAATGTCAATAATCAGAAAACTAATAATTACCATCATCATAGATATCAATAATTAGAAGAATAGAAGCGTCCAATTTTATCAGCTGTCAGCTTAGTTTTGAACCGATATATACACGTGTCTACCAGGCAAATGTGTTTGCTTTGAGTTGATTTGTTCCTGTTTTTGAATGTATGGATATATAAAGATAACTTGCTTTGAGTTGACTTGTTACTGTTTTTGAATGTATGGATATATAACGGTAACTTCAAAGAACAACAGATTCCGTTGAGCTGTGAAGTGTATATGAATGGGTCACTGAACATGTGTTTTTCATTACGTGTTTTAGAGAGTGTGAGTGAGTGAAATTGGTTTAACGCCACTTTTCAGGTATGTTTCAATGTGTCAGTGTGTTTCTGATCACTTTGGCTGACATTGGAAATTGCATCTTTAAATGTGAAGCCTTCATTTCCGAAAGATACATGTTTATCCCAAATCAATCTCTACAATGGCCGAACCTTCTCAAATCCAAAAGAACCAACATTTTACGTAACTTAGCAAAATATATATTTATATATTATATTTATATAAACGAATAAGGGAACACATGAAAGTACAAGTGTTCCTTTGATTGTTTCAAAATTCCACTCACAGTGCAATACATACCTTGTGAAGAAACCTGGAAAAGAATAAAGGAACACTTGTACTTTCATGTGTTCCCTTAATAATTTCTATGAGTATATATTACAATTATTTCCAAAACGCTCCAAATAAAAATCTACTTTGTATAATTTACGCTTATTCAATTAGTTATAATATATCTATAAATATGTATTACGTCGCTGACACTTTGTACATCCTTGCTATCTTAGTATATATTGTATTCATTTGCATTTATTTGTCTTATGTACCACCGTTGGTGGGTTTTCGAGAACTAAAATATGATGATGATGATGCATTTGATATCATTGCGTTGAGTTGCGTGTGGTATTAAACTGATTGTATTGTTTTGGAGACTTTGTTTTGTTGGTTCGGTATTTTCGTATAGAGTGAGTGAGTGAGTTAATAGTTAACGTCACATCGGCAATATTTCAGCCATATCGTGACGAGAACATTTTACATTGAAATGGAATATGTGTATATTATAAAACCTGTCATCGAAGGACAGTAAAACAACTAGAATATCACAATTAGATTTAAAACTAGTGTGGAAGGTTAAAAGTAATAGCACTATTAGGACAATACAATATAAAAACAGGCGGTAGATCACCATACCAGGGACCATGGGGACTTACAGTACCTTGGCTACCTGCATGGACCCTAGTTGGATTTACACCATCCCTTCAGCTGCTGGCGATTGTATTTTCGTATAGAACTAATCATGCTCAATAATGTTTTATCACTTTGTTTATAGATATTGTATCCCAAAATGAAGATAACACTTTACTTTAAAACGTGTTTCCATTCGGGTACAAAAATAAGTACCCACCAGTATACACCAGTATTAGTGGATACCGCGATACTGTTAAAAATACCTTACTAACATTAACAGCTCACCCATCCCCGATAATCATATCGGTACATGATGTGTTCCGAACATACAATGATCTTCCATATGTTTCCCACACAGGTTTTAGTGTGTTCTTGATTAACTACACTGTAGGACAAAAGACATTTACCCCTCTGAATATAAAAGAAACAAGTATGGTTATTCTATAAAGTTTAACGGGTATCATTGGCGACATTACATGCATCTGATCAATGAATACCAGTAACAGGTCACGTGCACAGGGCGTTTAGCAAATACTGGGGTCGTAATTTCACATTACACAACAATGAGCAGAGTGAAACACATACAGTCATGCTCTATTGAGTTGGTTAAAAGATATCAGACAATCTCAACAGCAAGCATCAATACCGTCCCAAAACGTGCCGTATCATCAATTTCACCAGCCAGCTGATGACGTCTTTGAGTACCCGTTGCACGATTCCTGACCAGGACAATTATTCTGCTCTCTTTAGTAAGAATCACTCTGACAGTGAAGTATCTGTCAGCATTGCGCTGCCTCGCTCAGTGCCATATTGACGTTTCTTTTTATGGGTTAAGGCCATTCCACGAAAGGGCTACACGTCTTTTGTGGCGTTTTACCAAAATGGCACCGTTTCCGTCGCTGAGACGAAACTGTGCCGCAAATCGAATGTGCGAAAGAACAGGTATTCTTGTGACATCGTCACTGGTGGTCTGCCTGATCTCTTACCCTGTCCTGCATACAGGAAGCGACGGACAGTGGTTCCACGCGTACGTTTGACGTTTCTAGCAATATTGATGTGATTGGCACTAACTTGTCCTAACTTGGCATGTCTTTTATGCTTTTTATGACCCGTTACATTTTTGCAACACTCATTTGCATTTTATCACCATTTTTGCACATGCATTGTATGGGGTTAGTAAAAACTGGTTACGGGAACATGCTTCTTCTAAAACAACGGGTTGTGTTTTGGAGCACACGGTCGCTGTAAACGCCAGCTGTATTGAAGTAGGGGTGTAGTCGGGAGGGGAACAGGGGGTGGCGGTTTGGGGTGATTGTTTTTCTTTAGGTTTGTATGTTGACGTACTCAGTTTCTCTTAAACCCAATCACGGGATTGTGTTTGTATTCAAACAAATTCCACGCACACATTCCATTCCTTATCTCCCATGCCGGACCCAGTTGTCAGATAAGACACCTCAATCGGTGAACTCAAGGTCGTCTGTAGGTCATGTTGCTGGTGATATATTATTTAGTGGTGGTCCACGTTTTACCTTCTGACTCCCAGTTTGATGGATGTCTGCGGAAACGGTTCAACTGCATTGCCGCTAAGTTTAAGGGGGAGTTTACACAATCGGGTGTTCACCTGACGAACGTGAGTATATCTTGAATAGACCGGACCCTAGACTTGAAACAGTCTTTTACCAATTATATCATGAGAAATTATAGGTCAAGGTCATTCTGTGTCCTCACCCGTGTGTCCCGCTTCCATGAACGAAGTCTTTTTGGTTGTTTCTACTTCTAACAGTCTGGTTCAACCGCCCCTTAACTGGAATATATAACACAGGTACAGTCTGCTGAAAGCGAACGTCTTTGTGACGTATATCATTGACGTGTTAATCTGTGTCTTCCAGTCTCTTACTATCGCTTGATGGCTTCCTTTAACCAGATTCCACAAGCCTAAACTGTCTTAATACTTCATTACGTTTTGGTTGGTTCACTTTTAAAATAACAATTTCATATGACATGGAACCGTTAACATACAATTTATTGGTGTAGAGCACGGAGAAGGTGTTCTCTGACGTTATGTTGGTGTACCGTAGAGCACGGAGAAGGTGTTCTATGACGAAGACAGAAGAATGGTAGCGAGAGAAGAGTCTGGACAAACGGACGGACAACCGTTCCTGACATTCCGACTCTACGACTATCCCAACGTAAGTAAACATCAGACTGAAATTGTTCACGTTTGTCTATTTTAAAATGTTGAAGATGTTTCTTGGGTAAACTAATATCACTAGAATGGTTTGTTTCTAAGTGCTCGTGACAGGCACCACATCACCATGACAACAACATGCGTGATCATGAGCGAGTGATTGAGATGATCTCTGTTCTTTCACGACGCATCTGGGATTCGAACTCTAGTGGGTTGAGAATTGCGGCGCTCTAACCCGCGTGTCAGTCTAGTGTCTGGGTATGTCTAAAGCTTTCAATTTTCCCACATTGGTTCACGAGTTGCAATAACTTATTCCGTAAAATATCACGGTTTTAATACGGATTGGATGTTAACATAGATCATTAAGTACATATAATGTGAATCAATCTGTCCTTAACAGAACACACTATATGACGTGGTCACAACTGATGGCAAAGAGAAATGTGTGAAACGGACATTGGAAGGACCTTTCAAGAAAGTCTGCATGCCAGGTAATGAAGCTTTCAGAACCGATATTCGGAGGTTGATACCCTTCCAGCATATCGTTGCACAGGCCTACGGTCTTTGGTTTAAAATATTTTACACCTGTATTGACGATTGTTGATATTTTATATGAAGACGTGAATACCAGATTCTATTCATCGTTCACAATTTTATGCCAACTGTTTCAGCTTGTAACCTACGTCTTGTATTTGGGTCTTGATGTTTCTTTATGATCAGGACGTCATGATAACACTGTGATCACTATTGTCTACGAAGCATTGAGATGTTATATCTCAGCCAAGCGATAGCTTCTGTGGAATCTAGTTCAAGGTGATAAATATGGACAGCCAAGATACAAGGACATACGCCAGCAAAGACAGTGAGCGACCATACGATCTTGTTTGCCACCTTTTACGACAAGCATGGGTTGTTGAAGAGCTATCATAACTTGCATATTCACGAAGTCTTACTGCATTGAAGCCTCTGTTTGGCATTGTACATGTACCTTCTGTATCCAAATTCCCCTGCAACACGCATCAGTCGAGGCTACTAGAACGTCCACAAATATATTTTCCAGAACTTCCATGACGTGAAGGCGAGTCCATCTTTGTGTTCTTTGTATTTCATCTTTCAGATAACAGACAGTATATATGGGCGAAGTCTCCGCTAGGGGACATGATCCCCACCTACAGGTGTAAATGGGAGGATGGCAACCTGACCACTGAACTCACCTACTCCTACACCATGCAACCAGTCCTACTGGACACGTATGGCACCGACCAGGACGGAGGTAAACTATAGTTCTGTCATTAATCGTCATCATCATGATTATCATCACCACCATTATTACCATGGATCATCATCACCACCCCATCATCATCATCGTCGTCGTCATCATCATGATTATCATCATCATCACCACCATTATTACCATGGATCATCATCACCACCCCATCATCATCGTCGTCGTCGTCATCATCATCATGATTACCACCATGGATCATCATCACCACCCCATCATCATCGTCGTCGTCGTCGTCATCATCATCATGATTACCACCATGGATCATCATCACATCATCCATCATCATCGTCGTCGTCGTCGTCATCATCATCATGATTACCACCATGGATCATCATCACCACCCCATCATCATCGTCGTCGTCGTCGTCATCATCATCATGATTACCACCATGGATCATCATCGCCACCCCATCATCATCGTCGTCGTCGTCGTCATCATCATCATGATTACCACCATGGATCATCATCACCATCCCATCATCATCATCATCATCATCATCATCATCATCATCATCATTATTATCATTCTCTGATGGCTTATTACTTTTATCTAGATTGATTTGCACCCTCTGTGTTTATCAGTGTTTCAGTCTATCACTGACAAGTCTGGATGTTTGCTAACCGCGCATTTATACAACATTATAATCATGTTTTCAGTGTCTGTGTTTGAGACGGTATGGGTCCAGAACATCACAGACAAAGCTGCCGGTGCTGACATCTTCACTCCTCCTCCAAGCTGTGAGGATGAAGTATATCAAGTGAGAAACCTGGGGATTTGACGTATACTGCGTAGCTTTCATTTCATTTCCTGATCACACTAATTCCAGGAAAACATATGTTCCAAACGATTTGCTTCTAAATCAGTTCCATGTATCCAAATATAATTTCTCGGATGAAACAATTGACAATAGATTATGTAGATTTTTTTTTTTTTAAAACAAACAGAAAACGGCACCCTTGCCACTCCGTACAGCTTACGTACACCCACCGTCATATATGCATACTGCCCGACAATATAAACGGCTTAAAACCATATGCACTCAGTCTTACAACTCGCCTTTAACAACAATCCATGCACGATCAGAAAGAGCTGACTGTTCAGATCTTGCAATGAAATTTAATTTGGCAAGTATTAACGTCCTATGGTTAATGTGAGATGGTAAGTTATTTTCTGGCAAGTATAAACGTCCTATGGTTAATGTGAGATGGTAAGTTATTTTCGTTTCTTTTCAGAGTAGCCCCGAGCCCCACAGAAAGAAAATGGGATACCTGTCATTTTGAGTAAATACAAGGAGAGGGCTACATACATGGATCATGTAATAAATATTCTATCAAATCACAACATATTACAGAAACCATTTCATGAACTGGAGCGAGCACATTAGCAAGGGTTGGAATGTCGAATTTGGTGGACCGGATGTATCCACTGGTGATAATAAAACACGTCAGTGAGAACGCTGAACAAGCAAACTGTTTATCTTGTTTAATGGCTCAGCAGTATTTTAAACTGACTACAACACAAAGTACAATCCTGGTGTTGGGGGATTATAAGTCACAATGAAAACATTTTTCTAAACATTTACGTTTTTTAGGGCGAATATTTTCAAAGTAATTGGTGTGTACTTTCTTTTAAACGTCAGTGTATGTTTTTTCGGCAACCTATAGTCCGTTTGACTTCATTTGAAACCGATGAATTGCTCACTAACAAAAAATCTAATAAGTGCAGCAAAATCTTTGCACAGTCACATGAAATCGACAGACCTAGTATTTCTTACGGGACAACTTTGTTAAAACAGCCAGGTGTGCGAGGTGTACGAGTGAAATTGAAATTTCACTGCTCACGCGAAAGAAATAGCGAAAAGAGACAACAAAGTAATGATCGTTTTTAAACAACTTTCTTATTCGGGTGTCCAAAATTATGAGACAAATCAGTTCAGTTGGTCTGTCGATTTCATGTGACTGTGCAAAGTTTGGTTTTGTTGCATTTATTAGATTTTGTACTAGTGAGCAATTCATCGGTCTCAAATGAAGTCAAACGGACTGTATGTGGAAATGTTACATATTTATAACTTTAACACGATATGATATTTTTGTTATGGAACTACTCAGCGAGGACACCAATGAACTGTCATCCATCTTGTGACCCTTTTCTGGAACACCTTGTGTCGTCGCTGGTTTTCTCTGATCCATTCGTGACATTTCGCCTTTTGGCTGCTTTTAGGAGTTGGCGTTTTGTTTTAAGTCAGTTTAAAGATATACCTTAAACGTAGCTTTAAATGTAGATTTAAAAAATAACTGACTCAGTTGGACAAATGATTAGATAAATACAGGTACACGCCATATGTTTACGTAAATGGTAACAGGCCCATGGTCGTATAGGATCCTTAACACTCTGCAGTGTGAATACAAACGAATTACACATAAATCTAATACTGACTTAGCGGTAAGAAATTCTAGTACGATTGACCACATAATGTTAACTTACTTAAGTCATTTGTTACGTTTTTGTTTATATACGATTTGGTTTACGTGAGAATGGTTGCAAACACCGAAGCTCAGTCGGTCCGCCATGTCTAGTACCCAGAACCTGTTACATACCACCTCGCATTTAGTTTATTCGTTTACCTCCTACAATCATATGCCCATCATGACGACCGTGACTTGACATGGCCTCAAGTGACCCGACAGACGGGTGTCCCAAGGACAATTCCCAGTGAATAAGTGAGTTTAGTTTTACGCCGCACTCAGCAATATTCCAGCTATATGGCGGCGGTCTGTAAATGATCCAGTCTGGACAAGACAATCCAGTGATCAACAGCATGAGCATCGATATGCGCAATTGGGAACCGACGACATGTGTCAACCAAGTCAGCGAGCCTGACCACCCGAATTCGTTAGTCGCCTTAGTCGACAAATCCCATGGTCAAATATTACAAGATGTCGCAGAGAGATACGACTTGAGAATGGCCTTGTTCCGTCGCAGTATTTAGTAACTCATCAGATACAACAAAACGAGAACGATAAACATTTCTATTATTTTGCAAACCTGTCTGATTCAAAGAGGAGCCCAATATATTTCTCATTTCAAGCGTATCGTTTGCAAACGATAGTCAGCTTTTATCTGATAAACACAATATGAATTCAATACTATCCTCATCTATTATGTCTTGATCCATATTGACACTTTAAAAGTGCGAATCCATACATTTGTATAAATTAATAAAACATGCTTTATCCTCAACGTGTACGAACATCGAAAACGTATGACCTTATTGTAACTACCCATCTATGATATTGAAATAACTTTTAATCTTCTTAGGAAAACTTGTTTTAATGATCCTTGTGATTCATTCTAAAGCCCTTTTAATGGGCTTCCTTGCAAATAAATAGGTGTCCATGTAATCATCGCATTGTGTCTGTGTGATATCTGTATTGTGTCTGTGTGATATCTGTATTGTGTCTGTGTGATATCTGTATTGACTTGAAATCCTCTAATGACCTTTAATCCTTATGCACTTCTGAATGCACAGGTTTACATGTGCTAACATCTACACGTATTTCTATTTCTTCCATCTGTTTCTTCATCTTGCACCTTTTACTTCTAATATCGGCATCTTATTTGTATTCTCTTCCATGTTTAACCTAAATCTCCGCAATTCTTCTTGTTGTAAATGCTTCATTAAGTATCGGCATCCTCTTTGACAGCTTCCTTTATGTCTACATCCATGCCCCTACTTCATCGAGCGCCTCCGTGGTGTAGTGGTTAGAGCGTCCGCCCGGAGAGCGGAGGGTCGCGGGTTCGATCCCCGACCGCGTCATACCAAAAGACGTTAAAATATGGTACTTGTTGGTCCCTGCCTGGCGCTCGGCATTAATGGGCACAACAAGGACTGGTCGGCTCGGAGTCAGTATAATGTGTCTGAGTGGGGTATTCATGCTTCACTGCGGCGTGGTATCTCAGTGGGCTAACACTATAAAACTAGCTTAAGTCTGGGCTAGTACAAGCAGCCGCACATACACATACACACGCATGCACGTCGTCATATGAGCGAAATATTCTCAAGCACGACGTAAAACCCAATCTCACCTCACCTCACCTCTGTCTTCACGGGTAGAAACTCATTATTGGATGGTTGTAATGTTGCTGAATAAACAGACATATTGAAACCAGTATACAGAGAGCAGGAAACATCAACACTTCAGAACCACGTGCTCATTATTATAGGAATGGTATAACGGACACAGAGCATCACGAGGTTTAATCCAACATGAAGCGAAATACCACTTTCCCTGATCACTAGCTACCAAACAACCTACAACACGAGTTACCTACCTTTCCTGCAGGTCACTTGATTGGATTAAACCCAATTTCACCTCACCTCACCTCACCCGTACTTCATCGTCTGAGATTCATATATAATCCATTCTAATAAATTTCCATTCCAACGTTATCTGTTAAGCAAAACAAAAACGATTTTTACTTTTATATTACATTGTATTTTATTATTGATCTTCTACTCCTTGTGCATCCGTTATTCTTTCTAATTCATACCAAACTAAAGACATCCAACCTGTCCCATATCTCATGCCAGACCTACACAAAGGTCACCAGATAAGATACCTCAAACACTATGTTAAGGTCTGTCAGCGTTTTATATTACTTGGTGGTGGTCCACGTTTTACCTTCTGACTCCCAGTTTGATGGATGTCTACCGAAACAGTTCAACTGCATTGCTGCCAAGCTTCGAGGGGAGTACACACCTCTTGGATCTCACCTGACGGACGTGAGTATACCTTAGACAAATGAAGTAGAGCCTTGACTGTAATGAATATGTTACCAATATACATTCATGCAAAATAAAGTATGATCCAAAATAACTTAGAGCCGTTGTCGGCGGTGTTCCTCATTTCTACAAATGAATGTTACAGTTCTGAACGTGCCACCACCTTACAAACGTTACACCTATAGTTTAATGTGAAACTATATGCTGTCCACGTCACTTGGATCTCACCTGACGGAAGTGAGTCTATGCTGGTGTCAAATAAACTCCTATCCTTGAACTACGAAATGGAATGACATTTTAATTCCCAAGGTATTTCTAATGTGTCATCATCGGTATGCTTTGAGTCACAATTTCAGTGACATGTTTGCTGTCACTTTTATAGTCATCTATTCTCGACTGACTATCTGATATTTATTTCATTTACACACACTAGATACTAGACTTAATCATTTGCATGTAAGCTCAAGACGATTCCTTATTTCAAAATGAACGGGTTAGGTAGTGAGGGACTAATCCCAACCACTTCCAAATACCAAATCGAGACTTAAGTTACCTTGATGTATTGCATCTGCACCTGGTATATGTATGCGGTAGTGTTTTCATTACATAATCTTTCAATACTGAAAACCTTCTCCACGGTACAAAACTGTATCAACAGCTGTATGTATTTTTCACCTTTCACTGGTCAAATGGGGGCAAGGTGGTCGAGCTGTCTAAAGCGCTGCGTTAGTAAGCGAAAGGTACCTGGATCGATCCCAGGTGTAAAAACCTTGGAGCTAACATTACTTGCAGGCTCTTTCAGTGTTGTCACAAACCTATAGTGTGCAGTACACAACCCTGTGCACTTAAAAGAACCCACTCATCCGATGGTAGGTGACCAGATGGTGGACACACGAACACGTGCAGACACCTAGTTGCGGGTATAGTAACGTGCAGTATCATTGGACAAAATACTGTGACTATGTGTCCCAGTTCATCTAGCTGCAAATGGGTACCTTGTGAGGATGGGTCTGTGTGATAACTCGCTGTGCCTAACAGACTGCATAAGTTGAATACTCCCCAGGGAGTTGAGTTGGTTAAAAGAATGCCAGAAGAAGACATTCGTTGATCAAGGAAACACTCCAGCGCCTTGAGCATGTTCTAGTTGTGTGGATGTGTGCACTATGTAAATATCCGATAATTAAATGACAGCATGGTGTAGACATTTGACCGTTCTCTGACGTTATGTTGATGACCGTTCTCTGACGTTATGTTGATGTACCGTAGAGCACGGTACCGAAGGTGTTCTCTGACGTTATGTTGATGTACCGTAGAGCACGGAGAAGGTGTTCTCTGACGTTATGTTGATGTACCGTAGAGCACGGAGAAGGTGTTCTCTGACGTTATGTTGATGTACCGTAGAGCACGGAGAAGGTGTTCTCTGACGTTATGTTGATGTACCGTAGAGCACGGAGAAGGTGTTCTCTGACGTTATGTTGATGTACCGTAGAGCACGGAGAAGGTGTTCTCTGACGTTATGTTGATGTACCGTAGAGCACGGAGAAGGTGTTCTCTGATGTACCGTAGAGCACGGAGACGTTATGTTGATGTACCGTAGAGCACGGAGAAGGTGTTCTCTGACGTTATGTTGATGTACCGTAGAGCACGGAGAAGGTGTTCTATGACGAAGACAGAAGAATGATAGCGAGAGAAGAGTCTGGACAAACGGACGGACAACCATTCCTGACAATCCGTCTCTATGACTATCCTAACGTAAGTAAACAGTGAACTGAACTGTAAGATTATCAATTTGAAATATCACATGCACCTTAAACTATATAATGTCATAAAAATTCTAAACAATATATCACCGAGAATGTGTTTTTTTGATGCTCGGAAGGAGTTGGCAACATGTTAAAGAAGGCCATACACTACCGGGGTTAGCCTAGTGGTTGAAGCGTTTGCTCGTCACGCCGAATGCCCGGGTTCAAATTCTACACATGGGTACAATGTGTGAAGCCCATTTCTGCTGCCCCCCGCAGCGATATTTGCTGGAATACTGATAAAACAGACGTACATCCACACTCACTCACCCATACTCTTCCATGAATAAGAACTACAGCCTTGTTTCGTATCCCCACACAGGGTGGGTGAAGCCCAGTGAGCGAGTGAACTGCTGGATTTAACTGCATCACATTTCGTCTCAGTCCATGAATAAGAAACTGCTTATCCCCAGTGTAGTGAACAAGATGTTCCATGTGTTGTGTCAATAACACAAGTGTGCCATGTGTTGTGTCAATAACACAAGTGTACCATGCGTTGTGTCAATAACACAAGTGTACCATGTGTTATGTCAATAATCTGCGACACGTATTGGTGAATTTTCCCCTTTTTAATATCTCCTGGTTTTGATATACAAACAAACCTCCATAGATAACAAACTTTCCTCACCAGAAAACGTTGTACGATGTGGTTACAATTGATGGCAAAGAGATATGTGTGAAGCTGATCCTAGACGAACCCTTCAAGAAGGTGTGCATACCAGGTAGGATACGAATTATCCAAAAGCCCTCAATGCTCACGACGGCAACTGCAATAAAATTATCTATTACAACCCTTCAGAGCAGACTGTTGTGTCACCATACTACTGGGTACAGATTGCCCTGACCCATGAAGATCCGGGTTAGAATTGGTCTTCAGTAACCCATGCTTGTCGTAAGCCGGGATCAGGTGGCCAGGCTCACTGCCTTGGTTGGCACATGTCATCGTATCCCAGTTGCGTAGATCGATGCTCATGATGTTGATCACTGGATTGTCTGGTCCAGACTCGATTATTTACAGACTGCCGTCATATAGCTGGAATATTGGTGGTGTTAAACAACAAACAAACAGATTGCCCTATCATAATGTATTCAAACTGCATTGAATATCTGTAGGACAACAAACTCTTTATATCTTAAATACGATACATAATGTTCCAGTCTACTCAATGTAATGTCCACGCTCAGACTGGACAAATAGTCCGAGTCTTTTTTTGTTGTTGTATTCTTTATCTTTTCAGAAAATACACAGTTAATATGGGGGAAGTCTGTGATAGGAATCTATCCAAACATGGTGCCCACTAACAGATATAAATGGGAGGTTGGTAACCTGACCACTGAACTCACCTACACCTACACGATGCAACCAGTTCTACTGGACACGTATGGCACCGACCAGGACGGAGGTATATTTCAGTTCTTGGATTATCAAATGTTTTGTTATTTGGTCTGCTTGCTTATAGGTGCCACTTAGGGGACCATTTCGTTTGCTGACCAACACAATGTTTGAATCTCACATAAGTAGACCTGCTCGCAGCACCTGCAGTTTCTTCGACAGTAGTATGTTATGCTTTTTGTTGAACAAGATATGGGGCGGTGGGGTAGTCTAGTGGTTATAGCGTTCGCTCGTCACGGGTTCGATTCCCCACATGAAGAGTGGGTTACCTCAATATGTCGTGTTTAAAGGATACTTCTGGTGAAACGTGATATTTAGCTGTATCAAAATCATTCCTGTGTTACTGGGCTGCCGTCCAAAGTACCACCAAAGGCAATGCAGATCTAAAGATGCGTCCGAGGTTTGGCCAAGAACTTCCTGTTTCTGAACGTTAACGTGTTTAACTTGTATAGTTAGTTTTAGTTGTTCTGATTGCATGTCCTTCATGGGCATGCCCCGGAATGAGAGACACCAGTAGCATAAGACAGGATGGGGTCCTGTATTTTCAAATTGTGTCTTGTCTTCGGACCCAAATTTTATGTTTCGTGCCGCCTTCGTCTTGTTCCGCTGAGATTCGACTATTTACAATTTACGTCCATAGTGTCGTATGTTGCTGACTTGAGGGTAAACCACTATCCACTCACTATATCTGTATTTCAGTGTCTGTGTTTGAGACGGTATGGGTCCAGAACATCACGCACACGGCGGCCAGTGCTGACATCTTCACTCCTCCTCCAAGCTGTAAGGATGCAGTGTTCCAGGTGAGACACGAGAGCATTTACTATTTATTCCATACCTTTTATTATCCACTGACGGCATCGGTTTCCGGAAGGCATCTGTCTCTAAATGGTTGCTTCAGAAACCGTCTAAGGTATACAAGTATAATTTCTGAGGTGTCTCAGATTTGCCCAGAAGTGGACACTGATTAGTAGCAAAAAGATGTTCTCGTGTCCCTTCAGACGTCAGCAACAGACTCGAAAACAAGCCACAACTAACTGACATTCAGCTGATGAATAAGAACAGTCCACACTCTACCCGAAAGATTAAATGGTTGCGCCACTGTTAATATGATTTGACAAGAGTTAAATACATGTGCTGTTTCTGAGAACGGTACCGTATAAGGTTTGTGTTGATTGTTTTTCAGGATACCCAAGAGCAAAACAGACGGAACGTTGGGTACCTGGCATTTTGAGAGGAGGCAACATGGAGAATACTGTTTCCATGACTACATTGTACATGATTAGTGTAATAAACGTTATGTCAACATTTTGAATTTTGGGGTGAAGTATTTCCACGAGTTTCAGTATCAAAATTAGTGAACTTGGTTCAGTGACTAGTAATATTCACGTCAAAGAGGATGCTGAACTAAAATACTGTTTCTTTCATGTGTAGTAATGAAGTCACAGTATTTATTATACATTAATACGTGTCTGCACGTGACAAGCGGACTCTTTAACCACCAGCCTAACTTCTCTCACTCGCTTACACACATATACACTAGGGCTGCGCAATATAACCGGTTTACCGGTATATACCGGTTCAGACATGAAAACGATACGTATTGCGATACGCTGATGGAAAACCGGTATTTTGACATGCATTCGGGAAAACGTCGTAACACTCGGAAATCTTCGGATATTTCCTTGTTTCATTTGTGCCAAATATTATTCACATTTTTATTTTATCATGATAAAATTTGTTATTAAAGCTTAATCAAGCATAGTGATTTCGTTGTGTTTTTGCTCTATAAATCAAGCAGTAACTCGATTATAAGCAGTTTTTGTTTAAAAATACTTCATGCAATATATTGCAATGCATATCGCAATACATGATTTCGCATCGCAATATATCGCAATATGAATATTCTCTGCAATACCCACCCCTATTATTCACACACGGAGATCTTCCTTATGTTTACACCTACTTCTTCCATGTCAACTCTCGTAACTTCCATGTTCTATCGCTTCACCAAGATTACATGTTTATCAACAGTATTTTACTATATTAGGTATCCTTTTCTTTCATGTGTAGTATTCATGCTTCATGGGTATCCATGTAGTATCCGTGTCTTCATCTCAGCCCAGTGATAAAAGCGTTTGCTCGTCAGCCGGAGACCCAGGTTCGATTCCCTACATGGTCACACCATTGTTGGCGTCCCCCCGACATGATATTGTTAGAATATTGTTAAAACCGGCGTAAACCCATACTCATTCACTCTTCATCTAGCATATATTTACACAAACTATTCTGACCTTTAAGTTCCATTATATTAATATCTACCACACATGCATCTACACCTTTTACTAGCAGTCTAATACAAATATTACGTTTTCATTATTTTTGGGGTATCATGGGTACTCTGTTATTGTTACCAGTACCAACACTATACACAGTCCTTCTGTCCCTAATCTGACAGACCGCCTCCGTGGTGTAGTGGTTAGAGCGTCCGCCCGGAGATCGTAAGGTCGCGAGTTCGATCCCCGACCGCGTCATACCAAAAGACGTTAAAATATGGTACTTGTTAGTCCCTGCAACAAGGACTGGTCGGCTCGGAGTCAGTATAATGTGTCTGAGTGCTTCACTGCGGCATGGTATCTCAGTGGGCTAGCACTATGAAACCAGCTTAAGTCTGGGCTAGTACAAGCAGGCGCACATACACGTACACACGCATGCACGTCGTCATATGAGCGAAATATTCTCAAATACGACGTTAAACCCAATTTCACCTCACCTCACCTTATCTCACATTCCAGACCTACAAACATGTCAGATAAGACACCTCAAAATATACCATGTTAAAGGTCTGTGCGACGTCATGTTGCTAGTTATATATTATTTGGTGCTGGTCCATGTGTTACCTTCTGACTCCCAGTTTGATGGATGTCTTGGGAAACAGTTCAACTGCATTGCTGCCAAGCTTCGAGGGGAGTACACACCTCTTGGATCTCACCTGACGGACGTGAGTATACCTTAGACAAATGAAGTAGAGCCTTGACTGGAATGAATATGTTACCAAAATACATTCATACAAAATAAAGTATGATCCAAAATAACTTGGAGCTGTTGTCGGCGGTGTTCCTAATTTCTACAAATGAATATTACAGTTCTGAACGGGCCACCACCTTACAAACGTTACAACTATAGTTTAATGTGAAACTATATGCTGTCCACGTCACTATGTATGTACAATGATCTTGAGTGAGTGAGTGAGTTTAGTTATATATTCAATATCAATGCAATATCACGGCGGGGGACACCAGAAATGGGCTTCACACATTGTGCCCATGTGGGGAATAGAACCCGGGTCTTCGGCGTGACGAGCGAACGCTTTAACCACTAGGCTACCCCACCGCCCCTCACAATGATCTTGAACGCGGGCTTAATCCCTAGTTTACCTCAACGTATAACATTCAAGTGAATAATATGATAAGAACTGATTCATTCCAGGTAAGCTCGCGAAAGTTAATAAACGAGTATGGACACAAAGCTTTAAATACAGTGATCTAACATTCAGTCAACCCTTAAGCACGTATTCACCCCCACACGAGGTTTGCATCATCTCGCTGTGTTTCGTATTTTACTATTTCGTTATGTTGCATTAAGGTCGGTTGTTAGCTTAGGTCACGGTAAAACTGCATTTCAAACAACATATGTTTCATCACGTAAATTCTAAAATAGATTAGAAAATTACCCATTGCATCTTTATCTTATTGCATTAGTATAAAATATCATATAATAACAACTATAGCTGTAGTTGAATAGCACCAGAAATTGTTACTCTCGCATAATTACGTGGTAGAATGCTAAATGGTTACATGCCACAAAAACCTCCATTATCATAAGATTTCTCTACTAAGAGCAGAGTCGATTGTATTGTTCCGACAATATCACAAGCACGTGTTCATGAATCACTAAATAGGCAATGTCATGTGCTCGCAAAAGGTAAGCGTATCCTGCTCCAACGATGACACCCATCACAAACACACGCAAAGGCAAGTTCATTTTTCATGTACAAATATCACACAACTAAATTGATGTCTACAATTAACCTTTTTGAAAGTTTCAGTGAGGACCAGATTGCAGTTAGCGTCATTAAAAAAAAGTCTTTAGACGAAGTTTGGCAGGTCGCTTATGGAAATCTTCGTAGACATAATTTGTCAAATCTAAACTCCAAATGCTGGATCTGCTGTCATATTGCTCGACATATACGGGGAACTAATTTAAACCCAACAGGTATGCAACGTTATCTTACTTTATGTCGGTGTATCGTAGAGCACGGAGAAGGTGTTCTATGACGAAGATAGGAGAATGATAGCGAGAGAAGAGTCTGGACAAACGGACGGAAAAGCATTCGTGACATCCCGCCTCTACGACTATCCCAACGTAAGTAACAGTGGCTTCTAATTGTTCAAGATTATCGTTTGTTTGTTGTTTAACGCCGCACTCAGCAATTCTCCATCTATATGACAGCGGTCTGTAAATAATGGGTTCTGGACCAGACAATCCAATGATTGCCATCATGAGCATAGATCTACACAATTGGGATACAGTGACATCCATAAATCAAGTCAGCGAGCCTGACCACCCGATCCCGTTAGTCGCCTCTTACGACCAGCATGGGTTACTGAAGATCAATTCTAACCCGGATCTTCACGGGTCCAAGATGATCGCTTCACTTACATGCATGGATATGATATATTTAAAGTACACAAATTCCTCCCAGTATGTGCTTTCTCTGAAGCTGGAGGTGGTTATGCTGATTTTAGAAAATGAATCCATTAAGTAGCATGTAGTGAATAGGGATTTACTTGGCATACCAAATGACAGTTTTCTGCCTATGCACCCCTGATTATGGGTTGTCTAACGAGTGTTCAATTTATGGTATTATGTTGATTTACAAACATGTCACACAATGGTTCCTCTTCAGGAGACGTTGTATGATGTGGTTGCAGTCGATGGCAAAGTAACGTGTGTGAAACTGACCCTAGACGAACCCTTCAAGAAGGCGTGTATGCCAAGTAAGTCGGTGAGTGAGTTGGGGTTTTCGCCGCTTTTAGCAATACCCCAGCAATATCACGGCGGGGACACCAGAAATGGGCTTAATGCATTGTACCCATGTGAGGAATCGAACCCTGGCCTTCGGCGTGACGAACGAACGCTTAACCAGTAGGCTACCCCACCGCCCAAAGTAAGTCATTACTTTTAGAAGTTTCACCATCACCCAAGACACAGTAATACAATTGCAATTGCACTGCCTTACCGAGCGGACCGTTATCAAGAGGAAACCGGTAACCTAGTTGCGTCCCTTGCACGTGTCAGGATCCTACGATCGCATCCTTTATTCTTCCTTTTTATCTTTGAACACCATGGCCACATCCACAGGTACATTATACTCTATTGTTACACATAGGTCAGGGACACCAGTGGGACAGTGGATAGAGCTTCTATTCAGAGGAATGAAAGGTCAGTGGTTCGAGTCCCTGACGGCGTCAGACCATAAGACTTTGAAAGAAGGTTATGTTTTACCCAGCACAGCGCTCTGGTGTTCAGGAATACTGACCGAGACAAGTTCAGTAGGCTGGGGGATCGGTAGGGTAGCCTAGTGGTTAAAGCGTTTGCTCGTCAGCCGAAGACCCTGGTTCGGTTCCCTTCATAGGTACAATCTGTGAAGTCCGTTTCTGGTGTCCCCCGCCTCCTGGGATATTGCTAAAAGTGGCGTAAAACCATACTCACTCACCCATAGACCGAGAGAAGGGTATTCCACATCGTGGTATCTTAGTGGGCAAGCGCTACAAATCCACCACAAGCAACCTCACACTCGTGCATACACGTCCATTCTTCATTTAACCTCGCCTTGTTTTGGGCTACAGAATGCAAACTTCCAACATGGACTGAACATGTCCTCCAAGACGTGTAGACGAGGTCATTTTTTAACACTTGGCTTTGTTGTATTTAGACATTACACAGGAAATATGGCTCAAGTCTCCTCTCGGTTCCCTCCCAAATATGGTGCCAACAAAGAGGTTCAAATGGGAGGATGGCAACCTGACCACTGAACTCACCTACACCTACTTCATGCAACCAGTTCTAGTGGACACGTATGGCACCGACCAGGACGGAGGTAAACTGCAATTCTTGCATTTCAATCGTGTTTTATAGGTGCGATAAGTTAACGATATGGGATGGACAAATGCCTATTGAATTTTTGTCAGTACACACAGTGTTCGAATCTCACATTGGTCCAATTGTTGAAACATCAGAGTTAGGCTTCCCAACAGCTTTAGTTGGGATTTAGTACAGGATCTTTGCACTAATCAAAATCTTCATTACAATCAAAATTGTTCTAATGTTTCGTTAACGGAAATTAGTTCAAATATAGGGCGAGTACTTAGGCACTGCATATATCTGTATAAATGCGAGTTCCTACCATCGTCGTGACCATTTGTTTACACGGCACACACACAAAGATGGGTTGCAGATATTAAAACCATGTTTTCAGTGTCTGTGTTTGAGACGGTATGGGTCCAGAACATCACACACACAGCTGCCGGTGCTGACATCTTCACTCCTCCTCCAAGTTGTAAGGATGCTGTGGTCCAGGTGAGAAACCTGGGGATTTGACAACTTTTCCATTCTTTTCAATTCAAGAGGGCATCTTGAATGGTCTGCTTCTGAATCGGTCTGTATACCCAATTAACGTCTTAGATCAGGAGATCCTTGAAGATCCGGATATGAATTGATCTTCAGTAACCCCCGCTTGTCGTAAGAGGCCACTAACGGGATCGGGTGGTCAGGCTCGCTGACTTGTTGAGACATGCCATCGTACCCCAATTGCGTAGACCGATGCTCATGACGTTGATCACTGGATTGTCTGGACTCGATTATTTACAGATCATCGCCATATAGCTTACATATTGCTGAGTTTGTCCTTAAACAACAAACAAAGCTCAGATCAAGCATTGCCAAATACTTGTAATTTGTTTTCTTATTCTCGCAACAACAACCAAAAGAACGACCCAAAAATAGTTTGATTTCACCAATCAAGCTCCATTCAAAGGATGAAATAACATAAGTCATTGTTGGAATGGAACATGACTTGGTGTTTTGAGAGCTAGCTAATTTATATGTGAGAAGGGTAGGTAATTATTACAGTTTTGTGTTCTTTTGCAGACACCCCAGAAGCCCTACAGGCGGAAAATAGGATACCTGTCATTTTGATGGACTGCATACTTTTTAAAGAAATAAAGGTCTTTAACAACCAAATCACCATTTTCATATTTGAAACATTTTCATTAGATGAAGATTCACACTCGAAACTGTAGGGGTGTACCAATTAAAACTGTGTTAATGGTTCAATCTACTGGCAAAAATCTACATGGGGCTCTTGGAAGGCTGATGAAAAAAGTCAATTGTTTGCTGTTGAACACCACAGCAATATTCCAACTTATTTCACAGCAGCTTGGAAACAGTCGGGTTTGTACCAAACTAGTGATTGATATTGTGATCATCATCCTCCTCCATCAAGATACCACACCAAGTCACCGAGCCAGACCATCCCATTAATTAGTCGCCTAGTATGACAAGCATAGATGTATACCACTCATAAACTATTAAATTGCATGTGAAACCCAGCGAGAGAATAAATAACTGACATTAACAAACTTGAAAGTACTAACTCTCAGTTATGTTTACCCATTTCATGGACCTTAATATAAATGTCAGCTTTCTTTCAATAACTGTATTTATCAAATTATTTTATCTATCATGATTTTCTTCATGATTTCCTAAGGTTTTTCATTTCACAGCTTCAAATGTCAACTGCACTTTATGTCCAAGGGTTCCTACATCCTTTACCCACAGTAAGTCACCACAATTTAACTAGGGGAGTGGAGTAGCCTAGTGGTTCAAATTTGCGCTCATTATACCTATGACCTCGACCTCGGTTCGATTCCCCACATGGGTACAATATGAGAAGCCCATTTCTGGTGATATTGCTGGAATCTTGCTAAAAGTGGTGTTAAACCATACTCACTCACTCACTCACACACTTAGTTTTACAAATCAAGACAAGAATAAAGACAAAGGACAAAGTACTTAATCAAAAATATGTCTTTTTATTCATTGGATTTGTATAAAATAATCTGTATAAAATACTGAATATATATAAACAATCAAAATAACAGAGTGCTCCATTCAAAGGTGCTGATCTACTGTACATCGTAAATTGTACATTAAATATTCAATAAATTCAGTGACAACTATGAGGAGTATTGATATGCAGCATGTTTGCAATAAATATTCTCTTCTTATTATACCATTTCACACAGACTTTGAACTACTAAGTTTCAGCTAGGAATAGTGATTTTTGTATATAATCTTTATAGAGGCCATGTGACCAACTTTTAGTAATAACAAGTCACTGAGTTATTGCTCAACTGGACCTCTGTATTCTGCAATTCAAGGACATTTGAATATGCATACTTTTGAATAGCTATCTAGCACTGGTTGTAGCATACTCTACATCATTGAATATGTCCTCTGTATAGATACAGCGATATCTAAAGGTCTGTATCATATACTGACTACGATAGTTCCAGAAATACCAAATGTCTTGTGCCAGCGTTCTAATCGTAATACAGAATTCATTTTCTTATGTAGCAGTCAGTGATATTTGGGCTATAAGATGATGACCTGAAACAAATTGAGTCAGACAAACCAGTGCTTAACAATATGAGAATGTGACAGGAACCAAATAATGGCAGCTGACCGTCTGATACGATGTTTTATCCAATGGGAGGCTGATTTCATATTCTACTGTGTACACTATTCCACTAACAATCAGCATTGTTTGTTCCTTTTACAAGTTGTGGGTATAGTGGGCAGTGATGCCAGTGGTCCAGATTTGTGAGTCATGATGAAATCACCACATTGTGGCATGAAAACAACACTCTAAAACATCATAAGACTAATGCTCTCTGTCATCACAAGAACAATTCACTAAGATGTAACAAGAACAGTGCACTATGACATCACAAGAACAATGCACTATGACATCACAAGAACAATGCACTATGACATCACAAGAACAATGTGCTATGACATCACAAGAACAATGCACTATGACATCACAAGAACAATGTGCTATGACATCACAAGAACAATGCGCTATGACATCACAAGAACAATGCGCTATGACATCACAAGAACAATGTGCTATGACATCACAAGAACAATGTGCTATGACATCACAAGAACAACTTCCTCCCTCATCACAATAACGATTCACTAAGACATCATAAATCAAATTCATATACAGTGTTACAAGAATCATATTTGCACAATGTATACATACATAAATGTCTGTATAATGAATGACAATACATCTGGCTACATCAAAAGAAATAATAAGCTCTCATTATTATACAATCTTGTCTTCAAACAGAAAAGTTCAGAAATTTGTTCTAGAAAAAGAAATATTTTTGGGTCTGACCTTCAACTTGAAATCTTATTTATACTTTTAATATTAGACAAAACTCCACACAGACCTTTCTCTAGACCACATTGTAGAGCAATACATCATGATACACAGTCCCTACAGACTAGACTTGACCGACTACGCATATTCCATACGTGCAACGGAGCGTTCGTGGACTTCATCTGGGCCATCAGCGAACCTGAGGGTGCGGACCTGGGCAAACATGGATGCCAACGGGAAGTCTTCAGACACACCAGCTCCTCCGTGGGCCTGAAGTCATATACTGGCTAAAACACATTCATTTTTAAAGAAAACTAGCAAATTCTTAAACTGTCAACAGATCTGTTACCATACTGTTCTCATCTATGTTTGTAATCGATAGTGGCATTCTTATATTGTATTTTCTTCATGTCTCTTAATTCTCATCATGGACATCTGGTCTCTTAATTCTCATCATGGACATCTGACGATGTAATTGTTGTAACATAATACAACTGAAACCTGTAATTTTATGTTGATACACAGGGTAGGGAAGTGTTGGTGGGATTATGGCAAAGGTCACTGTGGTGTATTAGCCACTCAGGCAAGTTTGCTTCACATGAAGTACTTCAAATGCATTCACTCCATGTGCGTGCTGGCAGTCAGCTATATTGAATGGCATTGAAATAAAAACATATCAAACTCATGTTCATACAGTCATGTTTATACTGTGGGATGATCATAGAATATTTATATGGCGATAGAATATTTATATACATATCCATGCAACTAGTACGTGCTCAAGGTGCTTGAGTGTTCCCTTGATCAACGGATGTCTTTTTTTCTGGCCTTCTTTTAACCAACTCATGCAGCCTGTTAGGCGCAACGAGTTATCACACAGTCTCATCCTCACAAGGTACCCATTTGCAGCTGGGTGAACTGGGACACGTAGTCACAGTGTTTTGTCCAATGATACTGCACGTTACTATACCCGCAACTAGGGGACACCAGAAATGGGCTTCACACATTGCACCCATGTGGGGTATCGAACCCGGGTCTTCAGCATGACGAGCAAACCCTTTAACCATTAGGCTACCAAACCCCATGTTCATACAACAGCTATGACAGTAACACTAAACAGAATCTGTTCATGTGTATCTCCATACATACATGTGTGAATAAATACAGAATAGGTGTAAGTTTAAAACTACTATAATGCATCTCCTTCGTATTTTGGGCGGTGGGGTAGCCTAATGGTTAAAGCGTTGGCTCGTCACGCCAAAGACCCGGGTTCGAATCCCCATATGGGTACAATGTGTGAAGCCCATTTCTGGTGTCCCCTGCTGTGATGTTGCTGGAATATTGCTAAAAGCGGCGTAAAACCAAACTCAGTCAGTCCTTCGTATTTCATTTGAGTTTTGATTCATGAGGAACAAATCTGTTGGGAAGACAAACATTATGTTGTTCAACAACGATGCGGATGTGGTCTAACCTTAGACATGTGAGCATGTTCAAAATTGACTGTTCAGCCAGAAGTGAATCTGTACCTGGGATAAGATGGTCATATGACTGTTTACCCTCTTGCCTTACAAGCAGTTTGGGGTAAACGGGGTAACGATGTCTTCGCTAAAGCCACAGAGCATCTTTGAGGTGAATATTACATGCTCTACAAATGTTTTATATGTATTATATAGTGGGTAAGATTACAGAATACCGGATACCTTCCACCATGCGAGTTTACTTTTGGTTAGGGTTAGGGTAAGGTTTAGGGTTAAGGTTAGGGTTAGGGTGATGGGACATTAAGCAATATGGCTGGTGGGTATCCGGTATTCTGTAGGTGTACCAAATATTGTTATGTCTATCTCCATATATTGGCCTGGATGAGATGATTAACCCATGCAATAAATCTTAAATTCAGTATCGTACAAAAACTATGAATAGTTGTGGTCCCTTGAATACTATGCAGATCTCTGTTCCACAAAATGATCTTGATGCCACGATCTTCATGTCCTGATTTTCACAAGTCTATGATGACATGGGAGAATCACATTTGTCTATTCGCTAAGGGGTCTAAGACAGCTTAATGGACATGGCCCTGGATACAATAAAAGGTTGTTCATGATGTACTCAGGTGTACTGGAAAGTGGTAAACTGACAAACACCTCACCTGCATAGCTCGATCCACCACTCTCAGAGCCATACTGGGGGCTGCCACTTTAATCATGGCAATGTCTGGAGCCGCAACCTGTGTAACAGTAGAATCAGAAAACTTACCGAAACAACTGACATCTTAGAATGGCATTGCTTCTTTGAGAGGCATTTTAGATGTTGGAAGTCAGATAGAACAGGTATATATGGATGACAACTTCTTTAATTCTAGAGCACGACGTTTCAATACAGGGGATTACAGGGATATAACACAGAGACTCAGTAATCCTCTGTTGCCCCTTTATTTGTTATCATCACATTTCTGATCTCGTATACATTCTATGCTCTGTGTATCACTGGCTTCTACTGGCCTCCATGTTTATCCCTGTAATCCTCTGTTATCCCTTTATTTGTTATCATCACATTGTTATTCCGCCTTGCCTTGTTAATTAGTCTTGTTGTATATATATCACCTGTTCCCTCCCTGTACCATTCATACTTGAAAACGATACAAGAACCTGTATCGAAACTTCGTGCTCTAGAAATAAAGAAGTTGTCATACATATGTACTTGTTCTATAAGAATGGCATTAAGAAGTGATACACATTAAGTACGAAATTTATTGATGTCAACTTCTGTAACATGTGGAACACAAACTTTAGAAGTATATTCTTCCCCTTTCATCACCTGAAAATGTAAGAATATACTCCCCACCATCAAGTTCCTCACATAACAGAAGCTGACATCCATACATTTTTTCCCACTGTAAAACACTTAACTCTCTGCATTTACAAGAGGTAAAGCCGAACAAACTCCGGGATCTGGCGTCCATAGGACAAAGACTTTTGACATACAGCTGAAGCCCATGAACCTTAGTACTAGCAAACATATCCCTGAAATGTCAAACACAGTAACCACTATATCCTCAAGTTGGTTCTTGTGACTGAGGAGCCTGTGAAGATCCAAGTGGTCTTCAGCAACCCATGCTTGTCCCCTGTCAAGATCTGCACTAGGATTGGCCGTTGGCAAGATGTCGTTGTTGTAAGAAGAAACAAACAGGACAGTGTATGCATGTCACTGTATTCAAATTGTTAATGTCAATCACAGGATTGTATGTCTTCTCTTCTCTGTGCAAGACTCTGTTCTGTCTCTATACAAGACACCAGGTGTTCAGCATTCTATCTCTATATAACACTCACCTTATTCCCGTACAAGTCCATCATGTAAGCAGCCTTCAACACCAGCAGTCGAGTCTGTTCTATCTCTATACAAGACACCAGGTGTTCAGCATTCTATCTCTATATAACACTCACCTTATTCCCATACAAGTCCATCATGTAAGCAGCCTTCAACACCAGCAGTCGAGTCTGTTCTATCTCTATACAAGACACCAGGTGTTCAGCATTCTATCTCTATATAACACTCACCTTATTCCCGTACAAGTCCATCATGTAAGCAGCCTTCAACACCAGCAGTCAAGTCTGTTCTATCTCTATACAAGACACCAGGGTTTTCAGCATTCTATCTCTATATAACACTCACCTTATTCCCCATTACAAGTCCATCATGTAAGCAGCCTTCAACATCAGCAGTTGAGTCTGTTCTATCTCTATACAAGACACCAGGTGTTCAGCATTCTATCTCTATATAACACTCACCTTATTCCATTACATAAGTACATCACGTAAGCAGCCTTCAACATCAGCAGTTGAGTCTGTTCTATCTCTATACAAGACACCAGGTGTTCATCATTCTATCTCTATATAACACTCACCTTATTCCCGTACAAGTCCATCATGTAAGCAGCCTTCAACACCAGCAGTCGAGTCTGTTCTATCTCTATACAAGACACCAGGTGTTCAGCATTCTATCTCTATATAACACTCACCTTATTCCCATACATGTCCATCAGCCATGTAAGCAGCCTTCAACACCAGCAGTTGAGTCTGTTCTATCTCTATACAAGACACCAGGTGTTCATCATTCTATCTCTATATAACACTCACCTTATTCCCATTACATATCCATCATGTAAGCAGCCTTCAACACCAGCAGTCGAGTCTGTTCTATCTCTATACAAGACACCAGGTGTTCAGCATTCTATCTCTATATAACACTCACCTTATTCCATTACATGTCCATCATGTAAGCAGCCTTCAACACCAGCAGTCAAGTCTGTTCTATCTCTATACAAGACACCAGGTGTTCAGCATTCTATCTCTATATAACACTCACCTTATTCCATACAAGTCCATCATGTAAGCAGCCTTCAACACCAGCAGTCGAGTCTGTTCTATCTCTATACAAGACACCAGGTGTTCAGCATTCTATCTCTATATAACACTCACCTTATTCATTACAAGTCCATCATGTAAGCAGCCTTCAACACCAGCAGTCGAGTCTGTTCTATCTCTATACAAGACACCAGGTGTTCAGCATTCTATCTCTATATAACACTCACCTTATTCCCGTACACATGTCCATCATGTAAGCAGCCTTCAACACCAGCAGTCGAGTCTGTTCTATCTCTATACAAGACACCAGGTGTTCAGCATTCTATCTCTATATAACACTCACCTTATTCCCATACACGTCCATCATGTAAGCAGCCTTCAACACCAGCAGTCGAGTCTGTTCTATCTCTATACAAGACACCAGGTGTTCAGCATTCTATCTCTATATAACACTCACCTTATTCCCATACAAGTCCATCATGTAAGCAGCCTTCAACACCAGCAGTTGAGTCTGTTCTATCTCTATACAAGACACCAGGTGTTCAGCATTCTATCTCTATATAACACTCACCTATATTCCCATACAAGTCCATCATGTAAGCAGCCTTCAACACCAGCAGTCGGAGTCTGTTCTATCTCTATACAAGACACCAGGTGTTCAGCATTCTATCTCTATATAACACTCACCTTATTCCCATACAAGTCCATCATGTAAGCAGCCTTCAACACCAGCAGTCGAGTCTGTTCTATCTCTATACAAGACACCAGGTGTTCAGCATTCTATCTCTATATAACACTCACCTTATTCCCATACACGTCCATCATGTAAGCAGCCTTCAACACCAGCAGTCGAGTCTGTTCTATCTCTATGCAAGACACCAGGTGTTCAGCATTCTATCTCTATATAACACTCACCTTATTCCCCGTACAAGTCCATCATGTAAAGCAGCCTTCAACACCAGCAGTCAGTCTGTTCTATCTCTATACAAGACACCAGGTGTTCAGCATTCTATCTCTATATAACACTCACCTTATTCCATACAAGTCCATCATGTAAGCGGCCTTCAACACCAGCAGTCGGAGTCTGTTCTATCTCTATACAAGACACCAGGTGTTCAGCATTCTATCTCTATATAACACTCACCTTATTCCCACATACATGTCCATCATGTAAGCAGCCTTCAACACCAGCAGTCGAGTCTGTTCTATCTCTATACAAGACACCAGGTGTTCAGCATTCTATCTCTATATAACACTCACCTTATTCCCGTACAAGTCCATCATGTAAGCAGCCTTCAACACCAGCAGTCGAGTCTGTTCTATCTCTATACAAGACACCAGGTGTTCAGCATTCTATCTCTATATAACACTCACCTTATTCCCGTACAAGTCCATCACGTAAGCAGCCTTCAACACCAGCAGTCGAGTCTGTTCTATCTCTATACAAGACACCAGGTGTTCAGCATTCTATCTCTATATAACACTCACCTTATTCCCCATACAAGTCCATCATGTAAGCAGCCTTCAACACCAGCAGTTGAGTCTGTTCTATCTCTATACAAGACACCAGGTGTTCAGCATTCTATCTCTATATAACACTCACCTTATTCCCCATACCGTCCATCACGTAAGCAGCCTTCAACACCAGCAGTCGAAGTCTGTTCTATCTCTATACAAGACACCAGGTGTTCAGCATTCTATCTCTATATAACACTCACCTTATTCCCGTACAAGTCCATCACGTAAGCAGCCTTCAACACCAGCAGTCAAGTCTGTTCTATCTCTATACAAGACACCAGGTGTTCAGCATTCTATCTCTATATAACACTCACCTTATTCCCATATGTGTCCATCATGTAAGCAGCCTTCAACACCAGCAGTCAGAGTCTGTTCTATCTCTATACAAGACACCAGGTGTTCAGCATTCTATCTCTATATAACACTCACCTTATTCCGTGCACAAGTCCATCATGTAAGCAGCCTTCAACACCAGCAGTCAAGTCTGTTCTATCTCTATACAAGACACCAGGTGTTCAGCATTCTATCTCTATATAACACTCACCTTATTCCCGTACATGTCCATCACGTGAAAGCAGCCTTCAACACCAGCAGTCAAGTCTGTTCTATCTCTATACAAGACACCAGGTGTTCATCATTCTATCTCTATATAACACTCACCTTATTCCCATACAAGTCCATCACGTAAGCAGCCTTCAACACCAGCAGTCGAGTCTGCTCTATCTCTATACAAGACACCAGGTGTTCAGCATTCTATCTCTATATAACACTCACCTTATTCCCGTACAAGTCCATCCGTAAAGCAGCCTTCAACACCAGCATTCGAAGTCTATTCTATCTCTATACAAGACACCAGGTGTTCATCATTCTATCTCTATATAACACTCACCTTATTCCCATACACGTCCATCATGTAAGCAGCCTTCAACACCAGCAGTCGAGTCTGTTCTATCTCTATGCAAGACACCAGGTGTTCATCATTCTATCTCTATATAACACTCACCTTATTCCCAGACAAGTCCATCACGTATAAGCAGCCTTCAACACCAGCAGTCGAGGAGTCTATTCTATCTCTATACAAGACACCAGGTGTTCATCATTCCTATCTCTATATAACACTCACCTTATTCCCCATACAAGTCCATCATGTAAGCTTGGCGTTCAACACCCAGCAGTCGAGTCTGTTCTATCTCTATACAAGACACCAGGTGTTCATCATTCCATCTCTATATAACACTCACCTTATTCCCCATACAAGTCCTGCGGTCCATCATGTAAGCAGCCTTCAACACCAGCAATTCGAGTCTGTTCTATCTCTATACAAGACACCAGGTGTTCAGCATTCTATCTCTATATAACACTCACCTTATTCCCGTACAAGTCCATCACGTAAGCAGCCTTCAACACCAGCAGTCGAGTCTGTTCTATCTCTATACAAGACACCAGGTGTTCAGCATTCTATCTCTATATAACACTCACCTTATTCCCGTACAAGTCCATCATGTAAGCAGCCTTCAACACCAGCAGTCGAGTCTGTTCTATCTCTATGCGTGACTGGGCAATGTTGGCCTGGATCGTACCCTGAGCTGCCAAAGGTTTTCCGAATGCGATTCTGCTTTTTGTCTGAAACAATTGATTTACTTCCATCTTTACCATTATCATTCCAAATAATTAAATCCAACAAAACCCTTTCCACATCCATAAGAAATCTCTGCCCAAAGCACAGTTGATCGTACAATTGTGACAGACTGTTATCCTGAGCATGTGTTTGTGAATCACTACCAACAGTGTTTATACAAGGTGTCTGTGAAAAGGTGAGCGTATCCTGCACCTCTGGAAGCACTGGTCACAAACACATGCACTGGCAATATACCTGTCATGATTGGAAATAATATTTGGTTTAAACTTGTTGACCAGTTCATCCATAATTACTAGTCGTCCAGAATACCCAACCTGGTATAACCTTGACATTGGATTTTTAGCTGACAAGTATAGTAAATCATGTAATTTTTGCATCATGATATTTTGGCGAGTGACAACCAAAACAGGTTTTAGTTCGCGGATAAACTTGTCTAATTCTCAAAAATAAATAGCAGCTGAAAGTTCTACCTAAAGTAAATCCAATCACATATTAAAGGTTGCTGCTAATCTTAAACCGAGCTCAGTAGAGTACTTCCGTGTGTATGCAATCAGTGATGTTTTCCTGAAAACAACACACGCTGCAGATAACCTCAAACTTGAAAGACAGTGACATCACCAAAGCTGTTAATCTCCAGATAAGTGTGATGAAGGTGTCGTCTCAGGACACCGACCTTTCGATTTTCCACTAGTCTCAGGATGCCGACCTGCAGTTTTCTTTGAAGGTTAGGTTCTGATTAGGCTTAATTAGCGTTGCGGATAATCTACTATAGATGTTTGGATAAGGTGAACTCGTCGCACATGTCACTTGAAGGTGAACTCGTCGCACATGTCACTTCCAATGGATTGAAAAGTTTACAATAACACTTAGCAGAGTGCCAATATTGAACACTGTTCATATCTTTGGTATAAATATCTATGGAATGGCCAAAGGATTCACATTCGATTTCGAAATGGCAAATGCACAGCTAGATCAGAGGAAGGTGGGTGGAGGGAGATCTGCACATGACGCAATGGAACCACCACAACTCAGATGGGCCAAGAACAAACAACCACCTAGAACGGTGGCATTCACGCCTGAAGAAATACGTCGGCAAGGCTCATCCAAACATTTTCGAGATTGTGTCGTTCCTGTCACGAGAACAGACCAACACCGAAAACAAGCTGGTCCAGTATGCTGCTGGCCAGAAGCGTCCGTCCAAGAAGAGGAAATACAGGGATTTGGAGCGACGACTGGATGACATTTGTCACCAGCTTGAACAAGGAACACTGTCCGTGAGGCAGTTTGCTGATTCAGTATCCCACCTATTGCATTTAGGTTAAAATCTGTGAAAAAATGTATGCTATATGAATTTACGATGTATTTATTAAAAATGCTAAAATCTGTCAACTAATAAAATCTGTCATCTGTTGTCATCTCATTAGGTGCGCTCTCATCCGCATAATCCGGATTATCCTCCTCTAACAACTCTTTGATCCTGCATTGTCCTCGTAATCCATTATTAACTGGCAAAATGAAACTAGTTTCAGGACGTCGACCTTTATATTTCACTCAACCGTAAAGTTTGGTCGGAAGGTCGGCGTTATGAGCCTGAACTGTGATGAAACCAATCCACGCCCGTTGGATGGTGTCTGGACTTTCAGACGTACTGACTGAGTAACTTTTGTTCGAGTATCCCTAGTTTGACTAGTGACATGTGAGTACTAGTAATGCTAGTAATTACGGTTGGGCATTGCCAAAATTTTCGTACTGCGATATATTGTGATACATGTTCACGTATTGCAATATCACGTGCAATATATATTGTGGAAGTGTAACACGTGGTTTGAGGTGTTTCCTTTCTTTTGAAACAAATCCACTGGTCACTGTCAGGACTCAGATAGCATTGTACAAGAGATCCATTGAAAATGTTTACAAATTGAAGACTTCGCTCTAAAGTTTGGAAAAAGCGTCTGCAGCAGAGCCCGCCATTTTGGTCTGTTTGGTACCGGTACTCAATGTACTTTTTTTATTTATATGGTTTAATACTCACGCAAATGCAATTGCATGACCAATAAACATTCCCCAAACTGTTGACGTATAATAATATAAAGGAAATATAAATGTTGTTAGTATTTTTTCACTATATCACGAAAATTACCGATCATGTTCACGGAAATTGCCAATCGTATCAGGTGAACCGGTTCGCGAAAAGTGTACCGCAATATATCGTATTGAGAAGTTCGAATTGCAATAAAACGGTTAACCGCTATTATTGCCCACCCCTACTAGTAATTACCGGTAGTCTTCCCAAGTTACTATCATTGCTTAGTTGATGTATTGTCTAGATCTGTTGTTGATTATATGAACTGGTGAATAATAAAGAGATAAAGAGACACATTATTTGACCAGCAAATTGCGTCATGATATTTTTGCGAGGTCAAGTCATTCACAATTTTTGCCAAAATATCATGTTCGCAAAAAAGTTTTGATTTTTGAAACAACTGTATTTCGGTTGTCTCTCGTCATGGCAATACCTTTCCTTTGTTCTTCCACAACAAAACCTGTGAAACACCTACCCGTTCAATCATGAAGCTGAGGGCTCGTTCTGCATTGCCAATCAACCTCATGCAGTGGTGGATTCTTCCTGGACCAAGACGACCTTGAGCAATCTCAAACCCACGACCTTCACCTAACAGCATGTTGGATGCAGGAACTCGCACATTTTCAAACAGGACCTCTCCATGCCCACCTGTAAAGGAAAACATATTGATGCTGATATCCATCTAGGCCTATATTTTGTTTTATATTCACAGAAAGGATTCATCATGCTTGTACAGTACGTTATCATAAATCACTGACAACAGCAAAGTATGTACAGGCACAAGATTGAATTAGATTCATACAAGGGACACGTGAGAAAATTTGACTTCATTTACTTCACATATTCTGAGTACCAAAAGAAAATGGACACATGATGCTATCGTATAAACAATTGTTCACGTGACCAGAACGTGACCCCTAGCTGTGTCAAAGCATTGAAAGATTTTTATACTTCTTGTAATAAGAGGATAAAAAAAGGATGGGTCAACTATGAGTCTGAATACGATATCTGCGTTGTATGTCAATGTTAAACTATGTCATGGTATCTCAAGGGTTATCTTTTAAAAACACATGTGTAAGCATATGCACAAGCTGTCAACTAAATACACATGTACAATTATGTTCAATCCACACACACAAACATAACAATAAGAATAACAAGAAGACAAAGTCATCAATATCCCCTGCAATGGCAAAATACTCTTCATGATTATGTCTACGAGTTATGATTATGTCAAATATTTAGGTGTGTATATAGAAAAGTGGAAGGAGAGTATTGAAAGGTTTTTAAAGTTCTGCTCCAGAAAGGAGCACTATCACCAATTTCAGTCTATGTCAAACTTGTTGCCATGGAAATGCCAAAAATATTTTATTCAGAAATCCAAAACTACCAAAAGGCACCAGTACACCACCAGATCTATCTATGTGCCAAGTTTGGTGAAGAAACATTGAACGGTTTTAGAGTTCTGCTCCGGAAAAGTGCACTACCACTAATTTCTGTTTTAGTCAAACTTGTTGCCATGGAAAAGCCAAAAATATTTTATTCAGAATTCCAAAACTACCAAAAGGCACCAGTACACCACCAGATCTATCTATGTGCCAAGTTTGGTGAAGAAATAGTGAACGGTTTTAGAGTTCTGCTCCGGAAAAGAGCACTACCACCAATTTCAGGCTAAGTCAAACTTGTTGCCATGGAAGCGCCAAAAAATATTTTATTCAGAATTCCAAAACTACCAAAAGGCACCAGTACACCACCAGATCAATCTATGTGCCAAGTTTGGTGAAGAAATAGTGAAGCGGTTTTAGAGTTCTGCTCGAGGAAAAGTGTACTACCACATCATTTCAGGCTAAGTCAAAACTTGTTGCCATGGAAACGCCAAAAATATTTTATTCAGAATTCAAAACTACCAAAAGGCACCAGTACACCACCAGATCTATCTATGTGCCAAGTTTGGTGAAAGAAATAGTGAGCGGTTTTAGAGTTCTGCTCCGGAAAAGAGCACTACCACCAATTTCATTGTAAGTCGAACTTGTTGCCATGGAAAAGCCAAAAATATTTTATTCAGAATTCCAAAACTACCAAAAGGCACCAGTACACCACCAGATCTATCTATGTGCCAAGTTTGGTGAAGAAATATCGAACAGTTTTAGAGTTCAGCTCCGGAAAAGACAAATGTGCGGACGGACGGACGGACGGACAGAGTCCATTTTAATACCCCCCGCAAAACTCGTTGCGGGGGATAAAAACAAATTTGGAATCAAATAAGAATCAACAATTCCTAGCAGCAGCAAAGGGAAACAACTCTGTCCAGCAAGTTTCATGAACTTGTGTCACTGATTGACAGGTACAACAGTTAACGCTGACATATGTACCGACACATACCTGGAGCATGATCATACCCAAAGACAGAGAGCGACCGAACGACCTTGACCCCGGGAGCATCCATCGGGACGAGGATCATGCTTTGCTGTCTGTAGCGGGAGCCGCTTGTGCTGGTTTTACCCATGAACACACACAACTTGCAGTCCGGATGCAGCGCGTCTGAACAACAAACAAAGCAAGTGAGGAAACAGGTTTTCAAAGACTCAAATACCTTTTCAAAACAAATTATTTTGACCTCAAAAGAAAATTACCTTGTCACTTTAAACGAACAGTGTTTATTACCTATTTTAAGAGTATTTCAGTTATACCATTCCAGGCAGAGTAATGTGACAGCAATGTCTAAAGTGGATCAGGTCGTAATAGCTATGATTGAAAAAATGCATGAGTGAGCTTAGTTTTACGCCGCACTCAGCAATATTCCAGCTATATGGCGGTGGTCTGTAAATAATCGAGTCTGGACCAGACAATCCAGTAATCAACAGCATGAGCGTCGATCTGCGCAATTGGGAACCGATGACATGTGGCAACCAAGTCAGCGAGCCTGACCACCTGATCCCGTTAGTCGCCTCTTACGACAAGCATGGGTTACTGAAGATCAATATTCTAACCCGGACCTTCACGAGTAGCATGAATCTAGGATTCAAACCTATGATCATAGCATCCGGATTCACCTAAGGGACATAAATCTTCACAAAGAACTGTCTAGGAATTGATTTCCACCAATTTAATGTTAATGGAGGTAGAAAACAAAGAAACTGTGATGTACACCAATTTTTACATCTATACACTTTGCACACAGGTTTTACTTATTGTAACTCCAGAAGCACAAAACCTTCAACCATGATAATTCCATAGACTGATAATTGACTAAGTGACACAAAGCACTCAATACAAAATCTGTGAAAAAATACAAGGCTCCACCTGTTTTATTATCAATCAGAAACAAGAATCTGTTAGAGCGAGAGGTTTATTTTTTTTTCTGTTTAGGCCAGACAAATTTTATTTCTTGTTTAACAGATCCGCCGGTAGTACTTTTTCAAGAATAAGTAAAAAAATATAAATTAATATTCCCCACTCAAAAAATATAATCCTAATGTTTTTATTGGCCAAAAATGTAAACTTATAAGAACAATATTTTTGGATTGTTTTTTGCCCCATATACACTTCATAAATTGCCAGAAGCAAAATACTTTTAATATTTAGAAGGAATATTACTTTAACTGGTGATTTTATTTAATTTTTTTTCCCCTCCTGCCTTCAGGTTTATTGAGGACAAGCATCCGTAAAACAAGAAATAAAATTGGTCTGGTCTGATGGAAACAAATGCCCAAACTTAATTATGCCTTGTTAGCCAAATGCTGAGGAATCACTTCCAGACTTTTATGTCCTTCAAAGACAACTTACTTGAGGTCCACCATTTGTGTCCATTGATGACGTAGGAGTCACCGTCTCTCCTGATGGAGGACTGGATGTTGGTGGCGTCGGAGGAAGCGACCTGTGATATAACAGAGTGAAGGAATGTATTAGTAAATACACAAACAAGTTGGTTCATTATCTTAATATTAAGTTTGGATTGCAACATCAAATGTTCATCAGAGAGCCTAAATTTTATATTAAATGATTCTGATATTGTGATCCTTTTTCATAGTGTTTAAATTACTTAGTATTTTTTTTCTTAAAGTGTCATTTAGAAGCTGTTTGATGAAGTAGAACAGTTTATATTGACAGACAACTTTATTATTGCATTACATGTGGTGTTTTTTAACAGAGTTTTGCATCTACACCAAAAAGTTGCATCTGCTGCAATAAAGATGTTGTCTGTCCATAAAAATTGTTTCTCTTCATCATTAATATTGGCTGAAAGTAATGACGAAGCTGGTCATCCATACTAGTTGTCATCAGGTGGAAGTGACGAAGACGTCTTGGGATGATGCACACAGTCTTGGGACAATAGTTTGGAGACAAAATGGGGATTCAAACCCTGGCTGGCTAAAGGAAAACTCTTCACAGCAAAGGGTGCGGTCTTAAAATTATTATGAATCAAACATGTCTGAGACTAGCATGTCTGCTATTTGCCTCATGTTCAGTCATTCAATACTAGGATCAAAACTAGATCAATTTTTTTGCGACCCATCTTTCAGACAGCAAAAACACCAGAAATGCAAGAGCAGACGACAATTTGAGCTTATCACATGATAGTTATGTGCATAGCCTACAAATTTAATATGCCAGATGTTTATGTTGTGTGGGATGCTGTGCCTGATGGCAACGCTAGATTGGCTTAATTCTCAAAGACTGACATAAAGATTGCAGTCTATAGGATCATTTCTGAAAGTGAAAAGATGCTTTGTGCCATAGGGCCACCATGACTGAATTATGGTAAACATCAAACAATTCCAAGATAGCGTCTCTCCGCCTAACCTCGGGTTCGGTCATGCCAAAGCAGGATCTGATCTGGCCGTTGAGGAGGGGTGTGAGCCACTTCTGCTTCTGTTCCTCCGTCCCATACTTCACCAACACCTCCATGTTGCCTGTGTCTGGGGCGTTGCAGTTGAAGATCTGCAAGTGATGAGGATGTCTTGATGAAGACATTGCAGCCGTCAATATATTCACTCATTCGATACTAAAATGAGTTTAGGGTGTTTGAGAAAGAGATTACTGCACTTGAATATGAAAGGGCCATTTATCTCAAACCTTTATATATTTGATGGCCACTCATGCAGTAATCTCTTCACACTAAATTACAGAGCTGATGATACCAATACTTGATAGATTCTCTTATTGTTGACAGATTATATCAATCTTTATTTCAGTCCTGTTAAAGAACACTCCCTCATAGGGCTGGCTAACATGATCGATAATCAGAAATATTGTTGATATGAAAAATTATTAACGATTATCGATATGAAAATTGTGTTATCGATAACATCGTACATTAACTTTTGGGTTGGAAAAAAGTTGTAACTTCTCACACAATATACAAATTAAGGACTTTATTCATGGTCTGCTTCTAAATTAAGTACAGAATGATGTTTTGTTAATAATCCATAATCTCACCTAAATATATTCATTTATTTCAGATATTTTTGGCATTTTTGCTGAAAGTTAAGTTTCCAATATTTATTGATAAACAATTGATAATTAGTTAACAATATCATTCTCTATGATCTATATCGATAGCCATCCCCACTCCCTCACTCACTCTAATTTCTTCACATATTTCGGCTTTTGACTGATGATAGACTAGCAACAGCCTGATTCTGTATTGAGTCAGGTGAGTTAAAAAAAACATATTTCATTTGAACACAGAATGTCCACATTTGTCTGATTCAGTTATTTTCATCCCCTGGGACATATAAACACCACATCAGACAGATGCTGATAGTAATGATAATGATACAATGATGATGATGGAATTCTGATCATGATGGGCGTGATGATTATATGGATTGTAAAAATGATGATGATGGTGATGTTGATGATAATGGTGATGTTGATGATAATGGTGATTATGATGGTGATGATGATGATAATAATGATGATGGTGATAATAATAATGATGATGATGATAATGATGGTGATAATAATGGTGATAATTATGATAATGATGATAATAATGATGATGATAATAATGATGATGATGATGATGATGGTGATGATAATAATGATGATGATGATGATGATAATGATGATGATGATGATAATGATAATGATGATGATAATGATGATGATGAGATAATAATGATGATAATGATAATGATGATGATAATGATGATGATGATGATGATAATAATGATGATAACAATGATGATGATAATGACAATGATGGTGATAATAATGATGATGATAATGATGATGATAATAATGATGATGATAATAATGATGATGATGATGATGATGATGATGATGATGATGATGATGATGATGATGATGAGGAGGAGGAGGAGGAGGATATTAACGGTGATGATTGTTTGATAGTTTAATGGCGGAGGTGATCTAACAGTATTGCCAAGTTTCAGGAAGCAGTCAACTGCGAGACTGACCGATGGTGCCAGAGGTACTCTTCCCATCTCCTCACAGAAGAAGGCGTACTCCAGATTAGTTAGACCAGAACCATATTTCCGCTCTGGATCCGACTCCAACGGCATGAACATATTCCACAGACCCTCTGCCTTGGCCTTTTGCTGTAAAACAGGAACAAACCAGGGGTGCACCCATCTCAGTATTTCACGACATGCTGGGCTGCATTATCCCTTCAAACCTGGAGACAACTTGAATCACAATTGGTAGCAGCAAAACTTAATGACAAAACTCTTCTTTCTGGCCACATAATATAACATATGCCAATAGATATCAATTAAAACAATTAACAACTAAGAAAATACCACAAGGGTGACCACGTTTTTTTTGTTAGATCATCAAACTGGGTTCTTTGACTTAAACATCATTTTTGTTCATTTGCGAGTGCGGTTGAGTAGCCTAGTGGTTGTAGCATTTGAATACAACATAACAGAACTAGGTTTGGCACATTTTTGAATATATTGTTAGAATATTGTAAAACCTTATTCACGGTTGCATTTTGCCATCTTTAAAATCAATAAAACTGAGGTGATAATCAGTATGTTCTACTTATCTGAATATATATCAATGGCAAAAAAGAATGCTTACTGTTATCTGTGTAAGTTTTGGGTGAACAGTCCACCTGTTGGGGCCATGCAAGTAGTCAAACACTTCCTTCTCGATGGGTGCGACGTGGTCGGCTAGGAACCGCTTCATTCTGTTATACAGATCTTGTACACGTGGAGACAAGGCATCTACTGACACTGGCATCTGGCCTGAGGACATAGGACGCGGCATTATATAACAGGGTATGTAGGCCACCTTCTATCTAGAGGACAGGTGAGGTGAACTGAGGTTCAACCTCACACTTAAGAATATTTCGCTCATATGACAATGTGCATGTGTGTGTATGTGCGGCTGCTTGAACTAGCCCAGACTAAAGCTGGTTTACAGTGCTAGCCCACTGAGATACCATGCCTCAGTTCAGCATGAATACCCCACTCAGACACATTATACTGACTCCGAGCCGACCAGTCCTTGTTGTACCAATTAATGCTGGGCGCTAGGCAGGGACCAACAAGTACCATATTATAACATCTTTTGGTATGGCACGGCTGGGGATCGAATCCGTGACCTTCCGCTCTCCGGGCGGACGCCCTAACCACTACACCACGGAGGCGGTCTCAAGAGGACAGGTCAAATACAAGAGGAAATGCTTCATCCTGTTGTACAAATCTTGTACACGTTGGGACTAGGCATCTACAGACCTGAGAACATTTGACTTGGTATTATGATTTGAGAGGTTACATAGGTTACTTTCTATCTACAGAAAAAGGACAGGACACATACAAAGGGTAGTTTCTGAAAAGATCCAAGTCAAACTATGATAGATGTTCATTACTCGCCCGTGGAAGATACTGCAGTGTAATAATTTTTACGGCAATATTACACTAGTGTAATACCACTAGACTATGATGTCATAATGGTTACAGTTATGACGTCACAATGCTAAGACCTCTGTCACAATGGTATTAGACCTTGCTTGACTCGCAGAAAGTTGAAAGTCAACACACTGTAGGCAGTTTCTATCAGTTTATGTGGGAAAGTAATAAACAGAATACTAAACTCGCTTCCATGAAATACCATTTTTTATTAAACTCGTGAAAGATTTAATATCAAGCTCGCTTTCGCTTGTTTGATACCAAATCATTAACTCTTTTTATTAAAATGGTATTACATGGAAGATCGTTTATTATCCTCTATATAATACACCCTTGTGAGTGTGAGGATCAATCTGTGCAATTAAGACACGATGACATATGACTTGGTTGACACATGTTATCGTATCCCAATTGCATAGATCGATTCTGTTGATCACTGGATTGTCTGGTCATGACTCGTTTACTTTTACAGGATGTATTGGAACCAAAACACAAAATGAAACTGGACAAAATTGGCTATTGCAATGTCATAAAGTATTTCCAACTCTAGGGACTAACTCCATCAGCTTGCTGTGATGGATCTTTCACATAGTTGACAGAAGGGTACAGATCTCCAAAGTCATATTATATAAAAAAACAACTTCATCAATGTATTCCATCACAGTTACGCTCTAGGCTTTACAGGGGCGGTGGGGTAGCCTAGTGGTTAAAGCGTTGGCTCGTCACGCCAAAGACCCGGGTTCGAATCCCCACATGGGTAAAATGTGTGAAGCCCATTTCTGGTGTCCCCCGCCGTGATGTTGCTGGAATATTGCCAAACTCAGTCAGTCTAGGCTTTACAACAACTCCTCACAGAACAGTTTCATTCGCAGGATCCACAGCTATAAGACAGGATAAGTAATAATAATAATAATAATAATTGGCTTGTATAGCGCCTAGTTTCCATCATAGACCTACCCACAGTTTCCTGTGTCCTATCCACAGCCATAGGACGGGATATATAGGACATTATGGTCTGAGTCTTCAGCAGGTTCCTCCTCTGCTCCGCCTCGCTGTTCACTGTACGGAGCGTGGGCTTCAGCTTACTTCCTGAAGCTATCCTCCAACCCAGGTCTGCGTATCTCTTGGCAGCAGCACCGGCGTGCCTGCCCTGACTGGAGCTACCCTGTCCTGCAACATTACAACATCTACATTAGCTGTTGTCAGGGAGTGAGTGAGTGAGATTAGTTTTATGCCACACTCAGCAATATTCCAGCTATATAACGGTGGTCTGTAAATAATCGAGTCTGGACCAGACAATCCAGTCATCAACAGCATGAGCATCGATCTAAGCAATTGGGCTACCATGACATGTGCCTGACCGACTGATCCCATTAGTCGACTCTTACGACAAGCATGGGCTACTTGAAGATCAATTCTAACCTAATCTTCACAGGTCAGTTGTCAGTGATTTTGAATGAGAGTGTCAAGTAAGAAATATATAACCAGGATATTTAGAATTGAAAGATTAAAATACATTTGGTAAATATTTAAGGAAAATTTGAAGTTGAGTTAAGAAGTGTCATTGTGCTTGGAAAGTGCATTGACCAGAGTAACCAAATTCATATTGATTCATTTCCCTTGCATACAACAAATCTAATAAAGGAGATGAGTGGATCATGTGGATCGGGTGACTCATATACCATTTAGGTAATTACTGGTAATTAAGATACTAAGAATCAGAAAAGAGACACACGAAATAATTGGATTAAGCATCTTCTGGCGCCTGCCAGTCTGAAGTTTTATTCGGTTGAATGCTTCACGAATGATTTAAGCTCACTAACAAAGTAAATTTATAATGGAAGAATTTGATGGTACCGATTAAGTCTTGGAAGAGAGGAAATGATTGTAGTTAGTGGTGCAGCTGGAATATGAGTGATTTGAAAAGGGACTAATGAAAGTAACTTATTAGTCAGATGGGTTATGAGTCATTTTTATATGGTGTAGGACAGTATTTCAGTGGGAGGAGCCAAAATTGTTATGAAGAGTATTTTGTTAGTTGACTGGGAGAGAGAGGGCGATTCTGGGCCCCACCGTTGACTTGAGAGGTTCTCTCTGTATATTGAGAAAATGGTTCAGATGAACTTGTAACTTTAGCAGTTGTACAAGAATCCAACAAGTTCTTCCAGGAAGTTTGTGAATCTGTTGTGTGTAGACCAGGAATGCTAGACAATATCTGAGGACCTTTGTGTGAGAATTCATTCCAAAATAAAGGAACTTGAACAACATACCAGACTTATCTTTGACTATCCATCTTAGCTACATCATCCCCCGGAACAAGAGTGGATAGACAGATTGCCTAGGGAGAAGGGTATAACACCCAGACACCCTCAGGTAACAAATATGACAGGTATATCCTGCTGAGCCAAATATTATCAGGTCTAGTCAGACACACTAAAGGTTGATGTTTTAATAGCAACATCCCCAGTTCTCAGATCCCAAGGAAACCGTGCTTCAAGAGCCCACAAGTGAGTGAGTGAGTGAGTGAGTGAGTGAGTGAGTGAGTGAGTGAAGGAGGGAGAGAGAAAGAAAAACATACCCACACATTAAATAATGCTTATACCTACCAGATATGCTTCTTTTATACACTCCCTGGAGTATGGCAGCCATTTTGAAAAATGTAAACGCCATATAAAAATCCCAGTTTTCTATTGGTGGAATCTTCATCTGATGACAGTAACGACCAATCAACTCCTGAACTGTAGGTATCCCCATCGATTTTAAATCAGCCCCAACCAGACCTAATGAACAAACAGAAAACAAAGTCATGTGAGTACTTCATTGAATCCCACAATGTCAATCAGGTCCTGAGGTCAGAGAAGACACCTCTTGACACCTTGTGACACGTATCTGACACTATAGTGGATGACTGAGGCAGGTAATAGCCAGACAGCAGGTTGTAAAGGTCAGTGAAGAAACCTCTAGACCTGACTGTCTCTGACTGACTGAGTTTGGTTTTACGCCGCTTTTAGCAAAAATTCCAGCAACATCACAGCGGCCCTACCTGACACTATAGCGGCTGACAAGAGGCAGGTAGTGGGCCAGGCAGCAGGTCTTAAGGTAAGTAAAGACACCTCTAGACACCTATTGACACCTACCTGACACTATAGTGGCTGACTGAGGCAGGTAGTGGGCCAGACAGCAGGTGGTGAGATTAGTGGAGACACCTCTAGACACCTATCTGACACTATAGTGGATGACTGAGGCAGGTAGTGGGCCAGACAGCAGGTGGTGAGATCAGTGGGGACACCTCTAGACACCTATTGACACCTACCTGACACTATAGTGGCTGACTGAGGCAGGTAGTGGGCCAGACAGCAGGTGGTGAGATAGTGGGACACCTCTAGACACCTCTCTGACACCTGCTGGCACTATAGTGGCTGACTGAGGCAGGTAGTGGGCCAGGCAGCAGGTCTTAAGGTAAATGAAGACACCTCTAGACACCTCTTGACACCTACCTGACACTATAGTGGCTGACGGAGACAGGTAGTGGGCCGGGCAACAGGTCTTGAGGTCAGTGAAGACACCTCTAGATACCTCTAGACATCTACCTGACACTATAGTGGCTGACTGAGGCAGATGGGCCAGACAGCAGGTTGTGAGGTCAGTGATGATACCTCTAGACACCTCCTGACACCTACCTGACACTATAGTGGATGACTGAGGCAGGTAGTGGGCCAGGCAACAAGTCTTAAGGTCAGTAAAGACACCTCTAGACACCTCCTGACACCTACCTGACACTATAGTGGATGACTGAGGCAGGTAGTGGGCCAGGCAACAAGTCTTAAGGTCAGTAAAGACACCTCTTGACACCTACCTGACACTATAGTGGATGACTGTGGCAGGTATTGGGCCAGGCAACAAGTCTTAAGGTCAGTGAGGACACCTCTAGACACCTCTTGACACCTACCTCACACTATAGTGGCTGACTGAGGCAGGTAGTGGGCCAGGCAACAGGTGGTGAGGTCAGTGATGATACCTCTAGACACCTCTTGACACCTACCTGACACTATAGTGGCTGACTGAGGCAGGTAGTGGGCCAGGCAACAAGTCTTAAGGTCAGTAAAGACACCTCTAGACACCTCTTGACACCTACCTGACACTATAGTGGCTGACTGAGGCAGGTAGTGGGCCAGGCAACAAGTCATAAGGTCAGTAAAGACACCTCTAGACACCTCCTGACACTATAGTGGATGACTGAGGCAGGTAGTGGGCCAGACAGCAGGTGGTGAGATCAGTGGGGACACCTCTAAACACCTCTTGACACCTACCTGACACTAAAGTGGATGACTGAGGCAGGTAGTGGGGCAGGCAACAAGTCATAGGCTCAGTAAAGACACCTCTCAACACCTACCTGACACCTACCTGACACTATAGTGGATGACTGAGGCAGGTAGTGGGCCAGGCAACAAGTCTTAAGGTCAGTGAATACACCTCTTGACACCTACCTGACACTATAGTGGATGACTGAGGCAGGTAGTGGGCCAGGCAACAGGTCTTGAGGTCAGTGAGGAGACACCTCTTGACACCTACCTCACACTATAGTGGATGACTGAGGCAGGTAGTGGGCCAGGCAGCAGGTCTTGAGGTCAGTGAAGACACCTCTTGACACCTACCTGACACTATAGTGGATGACTGAGGCAGGTAGTGGGCCAGACAACAGGTCTTGAGGTCAGTGAAGACACCTCTTGACACCTACCTGACACTATAGTGGCTGACTGAGGCAGGTAGTGGGCCAGACAGCAGGTGGTGAGGTCAGTGATGGGGTCACCCAGAGTGGACAGTTCCCAGTCCAAGACACCCAGGATATCAGTGGAGGTCTTGGCAAACATCAGGTTGTCCAGCCTACGAAGACAAAGCTCCTTGTGATGTGACATATTACTGACAAGTGTTAAAGATAACTGTACATTTTTTTATAATACAAAGAAGTATTTATGAATTTCTTCATACAATGGATAGCGTTTTGATGAGATTAACCAATAAACTGATAAACAGAAAAACAGTACAAAAGATGCGTGTACAATGGTAACACTCTCCTCCTGGAGCTCACCTGAAGTCTCCGTGTAAGACAGTCACTCTCTCCTCTTGGAACTCACCTATAGTCTCCGTGTATGACAGTCACTCTCTCCTCCTGGAACTCACCTGAAGTCTCGTGTATGACACTCTCTCCTCCTGGAACTCACCTGAAGTCTCCATGTATGACAGTCACTCTCTCCTCCTGGATCTCACCTGAAGTCTCCGTGTATGACAGTCACTCTCTCCTCCTGGAACTCACCTGAAGTCTCCGTGTATGACAGTCACTCTCTCCTCCTGGAACTCACCTGAAGTCTCCATGTATGACAGTCACTCTCTCCTCCTGGAACTCACCTGAAGTCTCCGTGTATGACAGTCACTCTCTCCTCCTGGAACTCACCTGAAGTCTCCATGTATGACAGTCACTCTCTCCTCCTGGAACTCACCTAAAGTCTCCGTGTATGACAGTCACTCTCTCCTCCTGGATCTCACCTGAAGTCTCCATGTATGACAGTCACTCTCTCCTCCTGGAACTCACCTGAAGTCTCTGTGTATGACAGTCACTCTCTCCTGGAACTCACCTGAAGTCTCCGTGTATGACAGTCACTCTCTCCTCCTGGAACTCACCTGAAGTCTCCATGTATGACAGTCACTCTCTCCTCCTGGAGCTCACCTGAAGTCTCCGTGTATGACAGTCACTCTCTCCTCCTGGAGCTCACCTGAAGTCTCCGTGTATGAACAGTGACAGTCTCTCTCCTCCTGGAACTCACCTGAAGTCTCCATGTATGACAGTCACTCTCTCCTCCTGGAACTCACCTGAAGTCTCCGTGTATGACAGTCACTCTCCTCCTGGAACTCACCTGAAGTCTCCATGTATGACAGTCACTCTCTCCTCCTGGAACTCACCTGAAGTCTCTGTGTATGACAGTCACTCTCTCCTCCTGGAGCTCACCTGAAGTCTCCATGTATGACAGTCACTCTCTCCTCCTGGAACTCACCTGAAGTCTCCGTGTATGACAGTCACTCCTCTCCTCCTGGAGCTCACCTGAAGTCTCTGTGTATGACAGTCACTCTCTCCTCCTGGAACTCACCTGAAGTCTCTGTGTATGACAGTCACTCTCTCCTCCTGGAACTCACCTGAAGTCTCCATGTATGACAGTCACTCTCTCCTCCTGGATCTCACCTGAAGTCTCTGTGTATGACAGTCACTCTCTCCTCCTGGAACTCACCTGAAGTCTCCGTGTATGACAGTCACTCTCTCCTCCTGGAGCTCACCTGAAGTCTCCATGTATGACAGTCACTCTCTCTCCTCCTGGAGTCTCACCTGAAGTCTCCTGTGTCCTGACAGTCACCTGAAGTCTCCATGTATGACAGTCCTCTCTCCTCCTGGAGCTCACCTGAAGTCTCCATGTATGACAGTCACTCTCTCCTCCTGGAACTCACCTGAAGTCTCATGTGTGACAGTCCTCTCTCCTCCTGAACTCACAGTCAGTCACTCTCTCCTCCTGGAACTCACCTGAAGTCTCCATGTATGACAGTCACTCTCTCCTCCTGGAGCTGGAAGTCTCTGTGTGTATGACAGTCACTCTCTCCTCCTGGAGCTCACCTGAAGTCTCCAGTGTATGACAGTCACTCTCTCCTCCTGGAACTCACCTGAAGTCTCTGTGTATGACAGTCTCTCTCCTCCTGGAACTCACCTGAAGTCTCTGTGTATGACAGTCACTCTCTCCTCCTGGATCTCACCTGAAGTCTCTGTGTATGACAGTCACTCTCTCCTCCTGGAACTCACCTGAAGTCTCCATGTATGACAGTCACTCTCTCCTCCTGGATCTCACCTGAAGTCTCCATGTATGACAGTCACTCTCTCCTCCTGGAACTCACCTGAAGTCTCTGTGTATGACAGTCACTCTCTCCTCCTGGAACTCACCTGAAGTCTCCATGTATGACAGTCACTCTCTCCTCCTGGAACTCACCTGAAGTCTCTGTGTATGTAGTCCTCTCTCCTCCTGGAACTGACAGTCAGTCACTCTCTCCTCCTGGATCTCACCTGAAGTCTCCATGTATGACAGTCACTCTCTCCTCCTGGATCTCACCTGAAGTCTCCATGTATGACAGTCACTCTCTCCTCCTGGAACTCACCTGAAGTCTCCATGTATGACAGTCACTCTCTCCTCCTGGAGCTCACCTGAAGTCTCCATGTATGACAGTATGACAGTCTCTCTCCTCCTGGATCTCACCTGAAGTCTCTGTGTATGACAGTCACTCTCTCCTCCTGGAGCTCACCTGAAGTCTCTGTGTATGACAGTCACTCTCTCCTCCTGGAGCTCACCTGAAGTCTCTGTGTATGACAGTCACTCTCTCCTCCTGGAACTCACCTGAAGTCTCCATGTATGACAGTCACTCTCTCCTCCTGGAACTCACCTGAAGTCTCTGTGTATGACAGTCACTCTCTCCTCCTGGAACTCACCTGAAGTCTCCATGTATGACAGTCACTCTCTCTCCTGGAGCTCACCTAAAGTCTCCATGTATGACAGTCACTCTCTCCTCCTGGGGGTAGTGCTGTGGAATCCAGTTCATGAGGCTTGTAATAGATGGAATGTCTCCTGTCTTGCTAGCTTCATACTGTTTTGACCATCGCTGAAAGTTCCTTTGGATAAAGTTACCTGGCAACATAAACTATCAATTTGCAGTCATTTATCACTGATTCCATTTATCACTTATTCCTTTTTTGATAAACCCGTGATATTCTTTAAAAACACACATTATACAAAGTTATTAAACAATAATAACATGTCACTGTAATACACTAGCAACAAAACTGTCATCACTGACGCCCCAGCGGCGTGTCACGCTTAGAAACAGCGTTAGAAAGACATATAGGTATATAGACCCTACCCTAGTACTATATAAAAGAAAAGGGATGTAACGACGGAACCACTCCCTCCTCAATCTAAGTTAGATTTCACCACGTAAACTATTTTTAAGGCCCCATCGAGGCCTACGGATCAAAAACGAGATGATTTCCCTACAAACTGAGCTATAAATGGTCACAATCGGATCATTATTTCAAACGTTATACGCCACGACTCACCGAAAACAGCAACCTCCGCAATTCCAAGCCAAAATCATGGATCACCCAAGACAGCGAAAACTCACCTTTTAAGTTCGTTTATTAATTCCAGCCACGTCGACAGCACCTATGCAGGGCTAGATTTGATCGGCAGCGACATTCCACGGGTCTAAAAACTTATTGCAACATCTGCAAATAATATCCTCGACAGTAAGCAGACATTTTCTCCAAAACCATCGGCAATCATACTCACTTGTCAGCCATAGATGGCCTTGACATTCAAGTGATCTGAGCAGATCCGCAGAAATGAAATTGGGCCATCGGATTGGTGGAAAATATAATATACTGTAAGATTTTGACTGTTTGCTAATGGGCGCGAAATATGAACTTTGCAATAATCCTTTATTTTGGATGATGTACGGAACAGTAAATTGTTAAGAATAGGTTTAGAGGTTGTAAAAATGCATTCGATATTGATTCATTTTTAGGAAATTATATTTATAAATATTTAACCTCTAAAATTATTCTTACAAATTTACTGCTCAGGTCACTTAAATGTCAAGGCCATCTATGGCTGACAAGTGAGTATGATTGACGTTGGTTTTGGAGAAAATTCCAACTTACTGTCGAGGAAATGATTTGTAGATGTTGCAATACGTTTTTAGACCCGTGGAATGCCGCTGCCGATCGAATCTAGCCCTACATAGGTGCTGTCAACGTGGCTGGAATTAATAAACAAATTTAAAAGGTGAGTTTTCGCTGTCTTGGGTGATCCATGATTTTGGCTTGTAATTGCGGAGGTTGCTTTTTTTCCGTGAGTCGTGGCGTATAACTTTGGAAATAATGATCCGATTGTGACCATTTATAGTTCATTTTGTAGGGAAATCATCTCGTTTTTTGATCCGTAAGCCTCGACGGGGCCTTAAAAGAGTTTACGTGGTGAAATCTAACTTAGATTGAGGAGGGAGTGGTTCCGTCGTTACATCCCTTTCCTTTTATATAGTACTAGGGTAGGGTCTATATACCTATATGTCTTTCTAATGCTGTTTCTAAGCGTGACACGCCGCTGTGACTGACGCTAGGTATTTTCCTGGACCTTCATGCCAACTCAACAGACAACTTATCAAGAACAAAATATCACATTAAATGTCCAATGTTTTCAAGTAGCTGCTAAAAGTATTCACTGATTCAAACAGAAAACAGAATCATATCTGCAACGTCAGAAACCCATGAAGATCCACTTTTATAATTTGTCTTCAGCAATTCATGCTTGCTGTAAAGAGCAATTGACTGTGTGGTCAAACACGGGTTGTTGAAGACCACTTTTATAAAAGGTCTTCACAGGGCTCTCACAGAATGTAAAGTTATCACCCATCACCGACAGTATACTGAACATTTAATTTGTTTTCTGAGCTCTATGGAGGAGAATAAATCTCCTTCTGGCAGTTAAATCTACCTTTCCTCCCGTAAGTGTCCAGTCCAGCTTTACTGATGTCAATGGAGTGTAATTTACACAGCACGTCAACCATGTTGAAATACAGAGCTCGCACCTCCTCGGGACTGACAGCCATGTTCCGGGGTATCTTGAAGACCCCGGCCTGGCAGGTACTCCATCACGTAGAAAGGGGTTCCCAACACACTGCAACATCATTCACGGACTCTGTATACACCTTTATATGTCCCTTGATTTATAGGCATTTGTGCTGACTAATTGCAGTGCTGAAAATTCCCCCAAATTTCAGCCAGACTACCCGTCTGGCAACTCTTCAAAGTTTCCAGACTGGATAAACTGCTGCCAGTCCAGACTCTTCTGGACTAACAAAAGTAACAGAAAGGTATATGTGAGGAAGGAACCATTTAATATCAGATTATTGTCAGAATAATACTATACTGGAGCATTTTCAAATTTGTTTCAGTCAACATGGATTATTCATCATAATCCACGTCAGATTCATCCATATCTGGATTGCATGGAGTACATTACACAATAACAGCCTGACCATTGGGCGTGCTATTTCTTAACCTGACCGTCCTTCCGCAAAACAGACTGTCCCGGACTGTCGGGCAGGCGGGAATTTGCAACGCTGCTAATTGTTCCTTATTGGTTGAAACAAAACAAAATGGAATAGATCCATAGCTTCTGGGAGTGATTGGGAGAGGGAGAAGTAAAAACTATTTCAATCAGTCTGTATAGTCTGAAAAAATATATAACTCTGCATAGTATGAAGGGTGTTCACTATTTCTACCAGTTGTTTTATATGTACTTCAGCAAAACAAAGCGTTGTACTCTGTTAGGTATTTTCACCTTTGACAAAGAATTTTATCAAAATTAATGTTATTTTAATCAATAATTACTCTTTTGTATCATTTCTAAGATGTCTATCATTAATCATTCTTTTCATGAAAGTGTAATCATATAAATAAGAAAAATTTACAATTTCATCTTTTGGTTGTCTTCTTGGTCCCAAGTCAACTGAATCCATGAGTTGACATACAACAAACAAGCAGACGCAGTGTCTGCTCCTTTCATCAGACAATTTCTTTGGTCGCGTGGATCCAGGATTCCTTTTCAAACCCAGATGTATGACTGACACTTTATGTTCTCTACATATTTACCTCTCATCGTTGCAGTAACTCAGCATCTGTGGAACAGGGACACCGTTCTCCCCAACAGCCTTCATCACCCGATACTCTCGGTCCACTGCATGAGCAGACGGCAACAGAGTGCCAGGCTAGAATATATCATGATGTCTTTTAGCGGCATTTAGAAGTTGTTATAGACATCCAAAATATTTTTTATGGATTTAACCTTCTTTATTCTTTCCCACACAACGTTTCGGGACCATTACAGATCCCTTCACGTAGTGTGGTAAAGAATAAAGAAGTTTAATCCATAAAAAATATCCTAGAATATATCATATTCAGACAATAACAGATCTTAAATATTCCCCAGGGAAATGGATAAGTGTGCATTTAACTTCCATTCTCAGCTCCATGAGGAGCATACAACCAAACCAAATCCATGAGGCGCACTAGGTCAATGGTCACATTATCGTCTCCTACCACTAGGTACCCATTCTCTGCTGGTTAACAGGTATATCTCTGAGGTATACATTTTCCAGTAACATTATACTAAGAAAGTGTAATCCCAAATATAACATATGTAACATTATAGCAGCTTGTAAATATTTGAGTTTTGGTCAGGCGAATGAAAGAAGAAGGAATTAAGCATCACATTGTCAGATCACAATGCAAAAACCTGACCACTGTTATGTCTGCGGGGAGATTCCAGATAAGTTCCCAGCAACTTATGTTTGTTGTAAAAGCAGACTTAATAGATTGGTTAGTCAGGTGCAGTCACTTGGTTTATTGCATGTCACGGTACCCAACCATTGCTCCTAACATCAATCACTTGACATTCTGTTCAAGACCCAACTGAGAACAGACAGCAACAGTATAGCTGGAATATTGCTGAAAGTTAAACAATGCATAAACAAACAAACAAACAAACAAACAAGGGATTTATTCCCCATGCAGAGATCCACTTGCAACATGTTTTGGTGTGGTATAAGGTATGTATTCTTTGCCTCAGAATTATAGTTCTCTCTCAGGCAGGATACACAGTATATCATCAAGATCATGTGAACCAATCAGATCTCAGCATTTTGACATTGGGGCATGATAACATGTATTCTCATGCAGGAGAGTAAAAGGGTCTTAATACTATGTTTCATAACATGATAATTTGGAGCATGTGTTTACAAATCCCCTCATATCCTCATACAACGTCCATCAAAACCAACGGTGCAGTAGCTGAACCTATGGTCAACAGTGTGAATGTACCGGTCAAAAAGTGTTCCTCATCCTGAAAATTTGTTGGTCAAGAACTTTATGGCTTGACATTTTGTGAGTAGTTCAAGAACAAAGTCAACAAGAGGCATTCAACACATAGCAGACTGACCATAACAGATCTTGAATATTTCCAGAGAAGTCATTTACTGCTTACAGCTGTTCCTGCCCAGACTAATTTCTAAGCAGAACTGATAATTGTTTCCATGGATACCATCAGTTCTTGATGGTCAACAACTTTGGCCATCCTCAGCAACTACTGTGAAAGTCTGATCACCATGGCAACCACTCAAGATTCAAAGTTCTCTTACAAAAGTGTTTCAATTCAAAACAATTCACTCACCGGTTTCTTCCTCAGCACCACCTTCTTGCCGCCATATTGTACCAGGTATGTTGGATTGCTCTGGCCATGTTCGAAAGTCTTGACAACCGGCAGCTCTGTAAACAGGGACACAATAGAAACAAGGTAATGACAGTTCCAGGGGGCTTTCATAGGGTTCAAACGTGGTTTGTCTGTCTGGTGTCCAACACAGCACTCACTAGGGTTGGGTATTGCCAAAAATGTTATATTGTGATATGTGTTTCATGTATTGCAATTTATCATATTGTTTCACAGGAGATATTGCTTGTGTGTCAAACGATATCTCCTAGGAGATATCGCTTTGACAGTAGAATTTGTATTGCCATGAATATGATTGCTATGACATCGAAAGCCTAATGTGCATTACTGTGTTCAGAGATTTGAAAACTAATGAAGGGTGATTTTGATGATAATAATTTTTCTTTCTGATTTATATCAAACTCGTTGATAAAGTTAAAAATGACGCACTGACGGATACTGTAACTTTATCAACTTAGATATGATTGATATCAGAAGACACTGAAAGGATTTAGATTCTCATGTATTGCAATATATTGTGAAAGTGTAACACATGGTTTAAGGTAATGAAAAGGTTTCTTTCTTTTGAAACTGACCACCGTCAGACTTAGATGTTTGGAAAGAGACAATTGAAAGGTTTCCAAAGAAGAGCTTGGAACTAGAAAGAGTAGTGGTCGTCTGCCATTTTGGTTTGTTCACCCCTACAACGAGTGCCGGTACCAATTCTATTTTGTTTTATTCATATGGTTTATAAGTCACGCAAATGAAATTATATGACCAATAATATTCTCAAAACTATTAATGTATAATAATATAGGATATACAAATGTTATTAGTATATTTTACTACATCACGAAAATTACCGATCATGGTCGAGGAAATTGCCGATCGTATCGGGTGAACCGGTTCGCGAAAAGTGTACCGCAATATATCGTATTGTGAAGTTCGAATTGCAATATACCGGTTAACCGGTATTATCGCCCATGCTTAGCACTCACTAATACTCAAGCCATATGACAGCAGCCATACAATCCAGTGGCTGATATGGTGGATGGGTGGTCGAGTTTGCAGGTGAGCTCATTTACTTGTTAGTTAAAGTAAAATTAATTTATTTTTATTTTATTTTTAAAAATCATTTCAAGTTTAACACACACAAAAATTCCCGGTCCTCTGACTTACAATTATTATTCACAATAAATCCATCCCCGGAAGTTTTAACTATTCAGTCTTTTCATACCCTCCAAACACTTACCTGTTGACGACAGTCCTAACGTTTTGTTCATGTACTGAGCCAGGCGTTGAAGATTGAGGTCTAGGTGTTTAGGTACAGACAGTGTGCCTTCCACAAACCCCCTCAACTGTAGACCCAGTGCTGCCTCGAGATCATGCACAGCCTTGTCGGCACTGGTCACCTGGATGACATAATACAAGTAGGTTCCTTGACAAAATATGACAATTTTAAGAATACCATAGCTGTTTGGTTATTCCATTAACAAAAGGACGATCAACTCCTTCCATTAATTTATCAACCATCTCCGTGGTCTAGTCGAAACAACATCTACAAGTAACATATGTTATATCTGGGATTAAACTTTCTCAGTAAAGTACAGATTCTGGAGTCCAATCTGGGATTTGAACACTCAACATAGGCACACAAAGTCAGAGATCTAATCCACTCTGCCACCAAGAGGAAGGTTAGTGATTTCATCCCCGGCCTAAAGATACCAAAGTGTGTTAAAAGATGGTACTTGATGTTACTCTGGCTTGCACTCTGCCCTCTGCATTTAAGGGATAAAACTGATAGGCTCATAGTCCTTACAGTGTGTCTGAGTAATATCTGAGATGGCTATCACGAAAAAAAAGCAGATATCTGGAACAGTGCAAAAAGACGCAAACAAATGCCTGAATATCGATATGTCAGTTCAAATATTTTTGAAGAAACCCCATTTAATCTAACCTCAGTTATTTCTGTGGATCTATAACTAAAAACATGCTCACCTTGATGGTGTACCATCCCACCTGCCGAGCTGCCTTTAGGTTATTGCCAAGGTCATCAAGGAAGACTATCTCGCGTGGTTGTACACCCAGTCTCTCCTGACAGATGTGGTAGATCTGGGGGTAGGGTTTTCGGACACCCACACATGCAGATTCTATTATCTGTCAACAATGATTTAGTCATAATTTTAGAAAATGAGAAAATATGTAATTTTAATGATAAAATTGATATTTTATACTTATCCTGACTCATGCTATATACTCTCTCCCCTTCAGATCATAAGTCAGGATAAGGAAACATAAGTGAAGTTTGTCTACTTTTTATTAAAAAATGAATTCATGATGTACACATGGAAAAACATATTGCACCAAATTATCATCACAAACAATAAGTGAGGCTTTGGTTTTGAAAGTGTAATATTTTTGGTTCCAAAAATTTAGCATTTGTTGCTGTGTCAAAACTTAAATGAAGTTGCTTTACTTAAAGAGTAAGTTAAAATCAAATTATGGCCTTTTACCGGTCTGACATTTTGAAGAAAAATCTTGATAAAAAACATGTTTCTGATCAGCACCATGATAACAATTACTGGATTATCTGGTCCACACCCGATTATTTCCAAACTGCTATCATATAGCTGGAAAATGCATAGCTAAACAACAAACTAACATATACTGACCACATTAAACAAGGACAGATCCAATTCCAGGGTATTAATGCCTGTGATGGTGCCCTCCACAAACCAGTTGTTTGTCAACAAAGCCAACTTGTAGCCTTCAGCATGAAGGCAGTGTATAGCATCAACTAACTGGGGGAACGGCTGTCGCGTCCGCTCAGCAAACAAATTCTGGAACAGTGTCATGTCAACACTTCTCCCAGTCTGAAACAAACACAGACATTTATAACACATGCTGGAGCTGTGGTATTTGTAGCCAAGAAGTTGAGTAATAGCTTCACATTAAAACTGTCTGAAACAAACCCAGCCCAGTCATGTCAAGACTGACTGACTGACTGAGTTTGGTTTTACGCCGCTTTTAGCAATATTCCAGCAACATCACGGCGGGGGACACCAGAAATGGGCTTCACACATTGTGCCCATGTGGGGATTGAACCCGGGTCTTCGGGTCTTTGGCGTGACGAGACAACGCTTTAACCATTAGGCTACCCCACCGCCCCTGGTCATGTCAAGATCAAGTGTAGCTTCATGTTAACACAATCCGATCTGAAACAAACATGGGCAGAGAGAGCTTCATGTTTACACAATACATGCCTATACAGGGCCGTAGTTAACTGTTCTTAAAGTGGGGGGCACCATCCACGTTTGAGGCCTGAGTCCCCCCCCCCGTCCGGAATTTTGTTCAAATTAGAGGCTCTCAGGTGCAATTTCCTGTTTTCTTAAGGTAAAATGACTCCATTTATGTAACTCCAATTTCCAACACATGGAACTTAATTTAGCACCCCCGATTTTTTCATATTGCCATGAAACTGAGCAACCATTACCAGTATGTATACTGGAAAGCTAAACACCATTGTTTCCTGAAAGTTGACATTTTGGACTAAACAATAACAATAAAATCATGAAAATGTGCTGTTTTAATTTACAAAATAACATGAAAACGTCAACGATGTTTTGTCCACAAAATGTATCCCTGTACAACTATGGGGCTGCAGAGTTCCAAGATGGGAGAGGTGAGCGTCTCTCAGTCTGAAAATGTTCTCTGTCATCTTCAGACAACAAATCACATGAAAAATGTTAATAGCGTGCATATCCACCTTGTGCACGGATGACTGTTTTCACTATCCTCCTCATGTTTGTCGTGAGTCTTCGGATTCGCTCCAGAAGCAGCTGCTGCCACTCCCGGCGCAAAGCCGCTTCCGAATATACCAGATATTGTACAGGCGGATCCAGTGTTTGCACTCGGCGTCCAAGAATGTCCCAGACAGGCTCTAGTTGGTTCAGATCCGGGCTTATAGCAGGCCATGGAAGTTTGGTTACAGAGTTGTTGGAGAAAAACTGTCACAAGTCGGGAACGGGATGGTCGGACGTTGTCGTCCATAAATACAGGGCGAGGGGCTGATGGGTGGTTATCATAATGTGGCACAAGAACAGGATCCAGAATTTCCTGGATGTCGCGGTCGCCATTGAGATTTCCACGAACAGTTACAAGTTTAGTTTATAGTCATAGGAGAGACAACCCCAGACCATGACAGATCCACCGCCGTAAGGAACTGATGCTCTGATGTTTTTAAGCTCTTCGGCTCTGTTTTTGGTCCTCCAGACTCGCTGGCACCCGTCTGTGACGTGCAGTAAAAAGTGACTCTCATCCGACCAATGTACCTTCCTCTATGACGTCAAATTCCAATGACGTCGGGGTAAACACCTCTCAAAATGAGCTCTCTTGTGAAGATTGGTCAAGGCTGGACGCTTGATCACCCTTCTTGCCCTCATCCCATGTGCCTTTCTGCGGTTTCTTACAGTCATATTGCACAGCCATAGGTGCTTGTATTGAAAGGCTGGCGTCTCACAAGGCTTGCTAAATCCCGATCCTCAACTTGAGACGTATTTTGGGGTTGACCTGGCCTTGGTCAGTCCTTAGCCTTGGGTTGGTTTGACTGTGTTTTGAAACAAGTCGACTGTGGACTGTGGTTTGAACGGGGATACAGGTCAAATAATAGTCATTAAGTTTGGTTTAAGTATCAATATACAATAGTATAATTATTAAACTCAGTTGACAGTCCAGATATTGCACATGAAATCTACACCATATACATGTACATGATATCTTCAATATTGTTCAATATTTTGGACCGCCTCCGTGGTGTAGTGGTTAGAGAGTCCGCCCGGAGAACGGAAGGTCGCGGGTTCGATCCCCGACTGCGTCATACCAAAAGACGTTAAAATATGGTACTTGTTGGTCCCTGCCTGGCGTTCGGCATTAATGGGTACAACAAGGACTGGTCGGCTCGGAGTCAGTACAATGTGTCTGAGTGGGGTATTCATGCTTCACTGGGGCATGGTATCTCATTGGGCTAGCACTATAAAACCAGCTTACGTCTGGGCTAGTACAAGCAGCCGCACATACACATACTAAATATTCTCAAGCACGACGTTAAACCCAATTTCACCTCACCTCAATATTTTGGAGTCATGTGGATTGAATGCAATCCTTTAACTAATTACGTCTTTTGTTCGTTAATTGATCATTATGCCTTCAGTTCATAGGGTTCCGGGTAGTCTATGTCATTGCCCTGGATTCCTCATTTTATTTATTAAAGCTTGTTGTAATCATATGTAATTAGGTGTATCATTTTGGAACCGATCATCTGTCAAATGGGCTGCTCGTAATCTTTGCGTCATTAATTGAGGTGTGAATTTCAGGGTTGTGGTGAGGATATATGACACTCCAAAGAGTGTTATATCAATACTTTGATGTACAAAAAATATTCAGTAAACAATTCTACTGGGCTACCTACGGACCTGCTATATTACATTAAACTCAACATTCGCTCGTCACGCAGAAGAACCGAGTTCAATTCCCCACATAGCCACAATGTGCAAAGCCCTTTTCCACCCTGTTGTTGCTGGAATATTGCTAAAAGTGGCGTAAAAGTAAAGTCACTCGCTCACTCACTCACTCACTCACTCACTCATGTAATGTATTCTGTGTCACCTTCTTGAACATCAGAGGAAAAAAGGAAACGTTGATGCAAACCTGAATGACAGGAGTGGAAATAACTTTAAAATTGCTAGTGTACTCCGGTACAGTGGCACATGTAAAATCACTTGCCCTGATAATTTTTCCACTATACTGGCCGAATTTCTTGTTGATTTTTTAAATAAACAACATAATTAACATTGGAGAGTCAAGTGGACACCGGTACAGTATGACATACATATTTGCTAGCCCGACAGAAAAAAACACTGGACTGGGGCATCGGGCAATGGGTTATTTCCACCCCTGGAATGAGTTATACAGCATATTTTTACCTTTTGTTGTATCTCGGTGCCAAAGTCACTAAGAAACTGTGTGAAGGTCCTTTTCCCAGTTTCCAGCTTCCCCCATGCTGACTCTCGGCCTCCATGTACAATCAGCCCTTCAAGTGTTCCCTTAGGGAGGCCAGACCTCGACTCAAACTCTGGGAAAAATACACAATAATCATATATAAAGTAGGAAACACACAATAATGATCTGGGAGGGAGATTTTGGTTAAAGTCCAGTAAAATGTTTTGTTTGATTGTAATATACCAATGATATGTAAATAATCCAGTCTGGACCAGATAATCCAGTGATCAACAGCATGAACATCAATCTATGTAATCGGGATACGATGACATGTGGCAACCAAGTCAGCGAGCCTGACCACCCGATCCCGTTAGCCGCCTCTTACGACAAGCATTGGTTACTGAAGATTAATTCTCACCCTGATCTTCATGGAAGACAACATAGGTTGCTGAGAACCAATTCTAACCAAGATCTTCACAGGTCCCTGTAGAATTACACTTGTGAGCCGGACCGCCTCCGTGGTGTAGTGGTTAGAGCGTCCGCCCGGAGAGCGGAAGGTCGCGGGTTCGATCCCCGACCGCGTCATACCAAAAGACGTTAAAATATGGTACTTGTTGGTCCCTGCCTGGCGCTTGGCATTAATGGGTACAACAAGGACTGGTCGGCTCGGAGTCAGTATAATGTGTCTGAGTGGGGTATTCATGCTTCACTGGGGCATGGTATCTCAGTGGGCTAGCACTATAAAACCAGCTTCAGTCTGGGCTAGTACAAGCAGGCGCACATACCCATACACACGCATGCACGTCGTCATATGAGCGAAATATTCTCAAGCACGACGTTTCTCACCTCACCCTCACCTCACCTCACCTCACCCACCTCACCTCACCTGAGTCACCTCACCTCAACTCATGAGCCAGAGAAACTCATGGCAACTATTTTTTTGACCAAAAAATGTATAGGTGGGGTCATGGTGGTGTCATTTCTGAAACACAGATGTAGTGGAGAATGGCCACAGACAGTTGTTATAATTAAATGGTGACATAAAACCCTTGATTAGTGAGGATGATGTAATTCAGATCCATATTTTACCTTTCAACACTGGGACTGGTGACGGAATGATGACACCTCCGATATCAAACACAACAGCCTTCACCTTTGATGGGTCAAGGTTAGACATTTTGTTTGAAGGTCTTATACAGTCACTTTGTCATCTGAAAAAAGGGACCAAAAAATATTACATCTTGAATATTGATATTACATCTTGACATTACACTCTGAAGGTAATATCCTCTTCAAGAGATACGTTATCATGTTGGTATGTCAATATAAGGCATTCCACATAAAACAGGTATTTCAAGGCACAATGTCACGCCACACTTCTCTAAAAATAAACAAAGTATTTCTCTCAATAATACTAACTATCAACCCTCAGGGAAGCTACCACATATTTATTCAAATTTTGTTCACGTATTTAGTTTACAATATTAAATTAAAAAGTTCGAATGAAGTAATGCAACATTGCATTAAATCGACACTAGGGGTGGGTATTGCAGAGAATTTTCATATTGCGATATATTGCAATGCGAGAGCATGTATTGCGATATGTATTGCAATATATTGCAAGAATTAATTTGAAACAAAAAACTTCTTATAATCGAGTTAATGCTTGATTTATAGAGCAAAAACACAGCCAAATCACTATGCTTGATTAAGCTTTACAAACAACATTTAATCATGATAAATAAATATGTGAACAATATTTGGCACAAATGAAACAAGCAAATATCCGAAGATTTCCAAGTATTATGAAGTTTTCCGAATGCAAGTCAAAATACCGGTTTTCGATCAGCGTATCGCAATACGTATCGTTTTCATGTCTGAACCGGTAAATACCAGTAAACCGGTTATATTGCGCAGGCCTAATTGACACTCACGCCCTCTATTGACCGAACATTATTTCAAGAGAACCCCATAGTTATGTCCCTTGGAGTGCTCTTTAGTGAGTGAGTGAGAGAGAGTGAGTGAGTTTTAGTTTTAATGCCGCGTTTAGCAATATTCCTGCAATATCACGGAGGGACACCAGAAATGGGCTTCACACATCGTACTCATGTGGGAATCAAACATGGGTCCCCAGCATGACGAGCGAACACTTTAACCACTAGACTACCCCATCGTCCCTCCTAACCATTGATGTACAGGCTGTTTAGAAGACTAGACTTGCAGTATTAATCCAATTATTTGTAAATGTAGCGGCCATAAAATGTCCAACAACTGTGCTGGGATTCGAACAACAGACCTTTTGATCCAAAGTCAGACGTGTGGGAATTCAGCTTATAAAATAGATGTCTGGAAGCCAGTTTAAGTTCAGTTCCACACATCACAAGTTGTATTTGATTTTAGCCATGACTCATTAGAAAGGGAGTAATTCTAAATCTGTAATGGGTCCCCAGGTTTGGTAATGCTATCTCAGTTACCCAGGTCCAAAATATATATAACCCTTGGAACAGCCCTTTGAACATAACCTTAAAATGTAGGCAATGTAGATGTGCCAATATTTTTGTCTTTTTCTTGATAAAGGCTGTTTTGACAGCATCCGCTAAATAAGTCTTTTTACAGTCCTTGAACTTATTATATCTGTTTCTATTCTATGCTACCCGAGAAGATCCGGGTTAGAATTGGTCTTCATCAACCCATGCTTGTCTAAGAGGCGACTAACGGGATCAGGCTTACTGATTTACCACATGACATCGTATCCCAATTGCGTAGATCAATGCTCATGCTGTTGATCACTGGATTGTCTGGTCCAGACACGGTTATTTACAGACCACTGCCATATAGCTGGTATATTGCTGAGTGGGGCGTAAAACAACAAGCAATCAAACAATCCCCACTATGCGCTATTCTACCATTGGGCATTACAAGTGTGAAAGGTAACTTCATGTGGTTGAGTTCACCTAGATTCTATTTAATACAATCGCGAGGTCACCAAGCTGTAAATGACTCTGAAATGCAATCTATATTTACAAAAGTGACCCGTGGCAAGTGCAAAAGTACCCACCACAATTAAAAACCTTTGACACAAATATTTGCAGTAAGTATATGACCTTTGGACGTGTATGCAGATTGTTCAATGGTGACGGAGAGATCACCATTGCCTGTGCCTGTGGTCGGTAAATACGTGCCCACAGCGCAGGATTTGGTTGTCATGCACCAACTGTGTTAAAAATAGATGGAAAACATACTGGTGATGATGTAACGATGAAGATGCACTGTTGATAATTACATAACCGCATACAAACGATAGAAAACACTGACCCGAAATTCAGGAAACCTACTTTGCAAGACAAGAAGGGAAGTAACTCTAAGTTGTGATGTTGGTCGCTATACTTTTCGTCAATGCATTGAACCAACGTTTCGAGTTCGGTTCTCAAAAGAAACTTTTGACATGTATTGTCTTTGATTGTATTATTGTGACACTGTCTGATGATACATACTTCCATATATACGTTACTTTGATCTATGTGGAAGATACTTTCATGTTCGGATGTGATCCTTTCATGCACGCAGAATATCCTTTCATCTACAAATTTAAGATGATAATTCAATCAGTATATGAAATAAGGCCCGTCCGACCGCCCGAGGCAGGGAAGATTTCTGTCGGACGGTCCGAGTTTACAGCTAGCCAGCCCGATGTTCTGGTAATTTTTTTAGATGTTCCATATATCTGAGTAGATTCATCATATTTGGTCTGGTTAAATCCATTTTGTGTTGGTTAGGTAACATTTTGAAGTTACCAGCCTTGGTGTCTGGCTGGATTTTTTGCTTATTTGATACACTGCTTCCATCTAGATATATTATGTAGAAGATACTTTCCATACCTATCCATATATACTCATGCCAATAATGGTTGTCACCCCCCTCCCAAAACCCCAACCCCCACACACCCCACACACCCACCCCACACACACCCTCGCCAATAAAAAAATTTGAAGGGGGTGACAACCATTATTGGCATGAGTATATGATGTTATAATCGGGACGTATCGTTGCTGAGGCAGTGATATGTGATCCTAACTGGATATACATTCAACAATCGTTTTAAAATGTCCAAATTTGTCAGTTGCCGTTTTGATCTGAAGCAAGACTTTGAACTATCAAAAGTTCACTTAGACATTGATACCATTCTTTACGGCAACCCTGCTCTGCCCAATACTATTAATGAAAATATCTTTAGACATGTGCATAAATACATTGTACGAAGTAAGCTCTTCGATTATTCAATAATATGTCTAAATATTATTATGTCCATTCATTACGTCCATTCATTATTGTTCATGTTTCTGATGGGAGCAGGCGGTAATAAGTTACATAACTTGTGCCCAATCCATTTCAACACTGAATAAAATATTTTCAAACAAATCGTTGGTTTTATACAAGTGTATGCGCGTGTGTGTATATTCTAATTTAACGTTTGGCAACTTGTTGGTCGTTTACTTCATTTGGCGAATTCTATATTTTCAAACTTAACGGAAATGGTTTCTATAAGTATCAGCGTTAAAATGTAGAAGAACAAAAACAAATGAAATAATTTCATTTAACGAAACTTCATACATTCGATATACGTAAATAAAGAGTTACTATATTGGACGTTCTGACAGTATCCCAGTAGAGACACATCAAGGTTGAAAGTGACACAAATCGGTCATTATTCATAGAGCCAGAGATTAAATAATGCCGTTTACCAATCAGTTACCAAGTCGATAATACCATATACTTAGGAGATAAACCTAGTGTGTTTGAAAATCAGAGACATGCTTTACTGAATTGATGGCTGAGTTGATATACCTTCTCCTAATTAATGATATCATATGCACAAATTTGAGTATCATCTATGTAGATATGTCAATTTTGCTTGAGACTGTGACATTAATACGCTTCCGTATGGATTGATGTTGCTTTACTCATTCACTCGCTCACCCGCTCGGTCGCTCACTCACTCGCTCAGTCGCTCACTCACTCGCTCACTAACGTACGCCATTAATGTGGCTAGTGGGTTCCTTTCAGGTCATGTAACACAAGTTAACTCCCTTGAATTCAGCGAAGGGCGATAACTTTCAGTTACCTTAGTTGTAGTCGACGTTGAAAATACGGGTGTATTTGTTGACAAAGTGACTGAGATATAAGGTTTTTCATATAAGAGAGATTTGTGCAGTTAATTACATATCTCTTTCTTCATAACAAGTGTTCTCAGAAATCAAATTCAATTCTGAATCAAGTGAAAGACGAGCCGACATTTTGTTTTGTTTACGCCAGTGTACTATTATACCCTCGGTACCTAATTTCCTTGCTTAGTCAGTGCGTGTATTTTCAAGGCGAAGATGAACTCTGCGTCAGTCTGCACAAATGGTTGGTATGAAACATATTCCCGTCCCAGTTACGCTGATATTTGTAAATGTAGAACAATGAGCGTGATCAGAAATAAGTAGGAAGGAAGGCAGTGGGTTTTTTTCCGATAACGCACGCACGCACGTACACAACATTAACAATACATCCCTCACACGTACATGTCAGATACAAATATTTTCTCAAATTAAGTATCCAAGATTAAGCATTGCATGCGCAGCAGATAGCACAGGCACGTGTACTCGCAGACACAAAACAACAACAATAATGTTCACCCTAACGCGTATTTGTTACATACACATATTTGCTCACACTAAGTACCCAGGAGTAAGAGTACCCATGCTATCCAGGATATTCATTAGGTGTCCTTCAAATTAAGCTCATGTTTAATGATGAATGCTTAGTCACTGTCATATGACCAGAACTCTCGTTGAGATGCCACCAGCTTGCAGTTGTTGTTCCATTCAAACTGTCTATTCAATAACGATTTGCGCCAGTGCACAAATCGTTGTTTGATAAACATAAATGAATCAAAATAGAATAGGTGCATTGTCTGATAAGGTCTTGGTGTTTGTTTTTCGTCTTGTTGTTTAAGCTATCAATATTATTATCTTCCCAATGGTTGACAACCGTGAAAATATTCCACTTCATATGGGGAAAAGTGACACACATCCATTAAAGTGGGACTCAAGCGACCGATTATAGCAAAAAGATCATTGATTCAGTTGGACACAAAATCATTATTCTTTTTTATCTAAACCTTGCAATTAATAATGCAAAAGTGTAAATGCGTAAAAATAAGCCTGGACATGGCAAGAACAATATGTTTTATTTGGCTGTACTATACCTGTGCTATTGTATGTACCACTTCAGTACATCAGGGGTGTGGGTGATCAAGAATGTGCTGTATCAGGCTTGGTTTAACATATTACCATTGTCTAACTTGGAAACTATCCTAAACTTATGGCGTTTCCTAGCCAAGTACAGCATTTCTATTTCTTTAGAATATTATCTCTTTGCAAAACATGTAGAATTCCAGATTACTATACCAGCTGCATCTTACGATTTTTAGTTCATCTCTTACAAAATAACACCCCATTTGCAGGGATCTGTAATTAGTTTTATTCAGGGAACATGCCCAAAATTCCTGCAAGGATGTTTGAAGGATATTAAACTGTATGAAAAGATGTAGATTTGACGTTTTTAATATCAGTTAGTGTTGTTTACAGTGATGAGGGAGCCAGGGACTGAAGTTTTAGTGAATCTTCCTCAGCACTTATATTCTAACTTAAGTTATTTTCCAAATGAAACTGATTGGGATTTTATTTCATTCACTCACTCCTACAAGGACAAACTGTTCCAGCAAAACCTCTATCCATACAAGCTGAATATTAATGGCTATCATATGTGTTCAGGCTTCAAAACCTTCCCACTTGTAATCTGTGGACATAGGACTTTGTCTTCTAGCCTTAAATACCAAACCAACCAACCTACTTTACCTTTTAAATTTTTAGGACATTTCATAATATAATTGTCCACTACCAGGCTACCAGCAGTCACATCTGGTGTATTGGACAGGGGTCACGGTCTCATGCCAGAAGTCTGACTGAGTTAGCAGTGCTATTGGGGACTCTTGGGGACTCTTTTAACCCAGTAAAGTTTTAATGACCTTTGTAATTTTGGGAGCTAATCCAAATTGCTTTCAAACTTTCATTGGCCTGGAAGTTTCATTTTGCTGCCCTCAAAGATATCCTGGACGCTGAGCCTATGAAAGCAATTTGTTCTGGGTTTCATGTAGCCCTGGATTTTAGGCTGTATAGGAAAATATATCACAGAAAAACTGTGACTATTTCTTACCAATCAAATACTTTCAGGGTCTGGTGAGGCTACTGAGGTTGTACTTAGCTATTGGTTGTCTGTCCAACACTGGGGAGGTAGGGTAGCCTTGTCGTTAAAGAGTTAGCTCCTCTGGCAGAAGACCGGGTTCGATTCCCCACATGGGTACAATGTGTGAAGCCCATTTCTGGTGTCCCCGCCGTGACATTGCTGAAATATTGCTAAAAGCGGCGTAAAACTAAACTTACTGACTGTCCAATACAACTTTATTTATCTGCAGCTCATACAGTTTGAATTTGTGACCAGTCACTTCGCTATTACAGACGAGCTCCCGGAGGATCTGCTACGGCGTTCCATGTCCACGCCCCTCCCTTGTCTGTCAGATGAGGAGGATGAAGACGGGGAGAAGCCCTCCAGCCCCTGGGTGAAGGCAATGGGAGGGACAGGGGACATTGGGGTGGCACCTGTCTCGGGGACCTGTGAATTAAGCGAGGAAGAGGTAAAATGTTAGCAGTATGGTTATTAGCTCATCACCATACTTTGTCAATTAACTGTACCAACTAGAAACAGGAAACAAACCGATAACAAACTACACATCATGCATTGCGGAACATTCGTTAATAATGAACACAATATGACATTTGAATGTTTTTATTGTCAATTAAATTGAGTCATGGTTTGTTTATTTATTCATTTAACGATTAATTTATGATCAGAACGTTCCTGACAATATACACCATTCGATTAGATTAAAACTTAACAAACCTCCTTGAAAACTATTAAGAATCGTAATGTCAACACCAATGATTATTGGTAATTATTTGCGAGGAGAAGTTGTAGAGCCGTGTTTCGAAGATATATTTGTTTCACAGTAATTGTTGGCATTGTGTCAATTTTCCGCTAATGGAGAGAAAACAGACAGTAAAGCATTAATTGTGTGCAAAGTCTAGGAGCCAGCGTATGGTTTGCGCCAATAACGCTCTCTGTTCTGGGGTTCTGGATCATCAGGATCACAGATAGGTGAAATTAATTGTAAGTAAACATGTTACAGTAGATTCTTTTCTGTAGCCTGTTAAAGTACAGTTACCAAATTTCAGTTTCAGTTTTTGTTTTAATGCATATACGACAACAACTTGATCAATGCTCATATGTGCATACGTGTGTATGTGGATTCTCTTAGGATCAACCTTGAAGGTCAGGGTTGGAATGAACCTTCAGTAACCTATGCTTGGCCTAAGAGGCGACTAACGGGATCGGGTGGTCAGGCTCGCTGGCTTGGTTGACACATGTCCCAATTGCGTAGATCGATGCTCATGCTGTTGATCACTGGATTGTCTGGTCCAAACTCGATTACTTACAGACCTCCGCCATATAGCTGGAATATTGCTGAGTGTGGCGTAAAACTAAACTCACTCACTCACTCTTTTAGGATCAGACCCGTGAAGATCCGGGTTAGAATTGATCTTCAGTAACCCATGCTTGGCGTAAGAGGCGACTAACGGGATCGGGTGGTCAGGCTCGCTGGCTTGGTTGACACATTTGATTGTATCCCTATTGGGTAGATCGATGCTCATGCTGTTGATCAGTGGAATGTCTGGTCCAGACTCGATTATTTACGGACCTCCGCCATAGAGCTGGAATATTGCTGAGTGCGGCGTAAAACCAAACTCACTCACTCTCAGGATCAGGATTAATGCCATCTGTACAACTATATGAGATACCAATACCATGCTGCAGTTGACATGGCTAGCCTAGTAAGAGTCATTACTGACTCACAAGTAATTGCTTTATCCTCTAAATACCTAGCGACAGCCAGTGTAGCTTTAGGTGAGGTATTTTGGTATGAAGCACAAGGGATTAAACCACAGAGATATAGCACTGGTGCAGCCACTCTATCGCTTCACTGAAGGTGCGGTGAGGCTTGAATAATGATTGAAGGGACGTTAACGGAACCTACCCCCTTAGCCGTAACAGGCGAATTCCGACATTATTGTGTTAAAGTAAAATATAATAGCATACTTAGTAAAATCACTATAACATAGGTCCGGAACGGACATATCGTTTTCAATACTCCGGGAATACCCGAAAAAGCCCCAAGGCATATCACAACAGGCGTATCATGAATAGACCACACACAATGTGACGATGTCGGAGTCGAACCTCGGTCTTCGGCCTGGCCAACGCTTGAAGCCAAAAGCTACCCCAACGCCTCACATGCCATTGCTTTCAGGTTCTTGTGTTAGTCTGTGTCTTTATCTGTATGTTGTTTCACACTGGGCCCGCAGCTATAGGACGACCTACATAGAGTGAGTGAGTTTAGTTTTACACCGCTTTTAGCAATATTCTAGCAATGTCTGACTGACTGACTGAGTTTGGTTTTACGCCGCTTTTAGCAATATTCCAGCAACATCACGGCGGGGGACACCAGAAATGGGCTTCACACATTGTGCCCATGTGGGGATTCGAACCGGGGTCTTCGGCGTGACGAGCCAACGCTTTAACCATTAGGCTACCCCACCGCCCCTCTAGCAATGTCGTCGGGGGACACCAGAAATGGGCTTAACATTGTACCCATGTGGGGGATCGAACCCGGGTCTTCGGTGTAACGAGCGGACGCTTTAACCACTAGGCTACCCCATCGCCCCCTGTCATAAGTAATCGAGGCTGGTCCAGAAAATCTGGTGGTCGATATCACGAGCATCGATCTACGATGAGGTGCATTAACCAAGTAAGCACTCTGACCACCCAATCTCATTAGTCGTATCTTACTACACGCATAGGTTGCTGAAGATATGGATATATTCTTCAAACCCAGATCTTCACAGTGACGTTCTCATGAATCGTCTAGTTGTTTGTAATACATGTGCTTCTATGTTCACAGGACTCGGAAGCTCTCGGTGACCAATGGCCAGAGGACCACGACGAGACCGACTCCTGTCTGGGTGAGTGAGTGAGTGAACCAGTGAGGGTTTTCGCCGGTCCATATTTCAGCCACTTGCTTGATAACGGGGTTAGCATCTACACTGGAACACGCACGCACGCACGCACGAACGTGGAACATGTTTACATCCTACAAAATCATGTCAAATTATCAGACAAGGATTATGTTAAGATTTGTGTTTAGGATCTCCAACCATTGAATGTAGTCTGCCCTAATTCGAATTCGATATACATATCAGAACAGCAGGAAAATATAGTGTCAATATAGGTGTATTTCAGCTTCATGGCCACTCAGCGTGGTGTCAATTTCCCATACCCTAGTCTTATACGGACAGGGATATATTTTGTACCAGTGATAACACAGGAGTGGTAATAATTATAGAACGTCAGCGCTAGACAACAGCCAGTCTCCATTTTCCGCCAAAATACCTTGTATTGGGCGTAATGGCAAACTGGTGATGACACCCGGTGTTCGCGACTATACTGTGACCAGAAGTCCGGATTACTTTTCAGCCTGGAGCCTGATACACAAATGTTCGTAGCGCTACGACATTCGTAAGCCTGTGATAAACTATAGAGTTACGACATGTCGTAACGTTACGAACGCTTTCGTGGATAGGGACCCTGGATTCCCAGCCTATCCCAAATGTTGAAGCTTGATCATTGTTCCAGTCAGCCGAATATTATCATCTGTGTTTTAATTGCTACAACCATCACTGTGTCATGTTATATTGCCATAGACTGCATTTGTATTGATATTGAATTTGTACTGAAATGTATTTATGATTTCATTACAATTATGAACTCATAACATTTCTTTGTTATTTGTTTTTATAATTATTGTTTCAATTTGGAAATCGACGCGTAACAAGTCATGCAGATCTAATGGTAATTATCATGCACCTGACAATACTATAGGTTGTTAAAATAGAACCTCGACATACTGTATGTTTACTTAGTTGAGTTTTGTGTGTGTGTATTTCACAGCTGATCTGATCGTAAAACTTCACGATCTTTGACGAGATAAAAGGAAAGCATTTTATGTTTTCCTAATACCTGTTTAGGACTGGGACGATCCATAGTTTAACATTGATCTACGATAATCTTAACTGAAGGTCGCTTTGTTGGACGAAGCCATTATGAAAGATTAAGAGCTATGTGAACACAATATAAATCACTATCAATATTACAGTCACGTAAAACGTAAATTTTCTGGTATTATAAAATGTACTTTTTAAAATTTGATTAGATAATAAAATTGCTCTCCACTTTTAAAGAGTTTTTTACTGAAAAAGTTATGAAACGCCGTAAACGTAAGGACAGGACCCAAAACACAACTATCCGTTTCAAACAACTATCAGTTTCAAACACCACTCTCCGTTTTAAACACAACTAACCGTTTCAAACACCCCTATCCGTTTTAAACACAACTATCCGTTTCAAACACCACTCTCCGTTTCAAACACAACTATCCGTTTCAAACACAACTATCCGTTTCAAACACAACTAACCATATCAAACACAACTATCCATATCAAACAACAACTATCCATATCAAACACAACTATCCATATCAAATACCAAACACAACTATCTGTATCAAAAACAACTATCCATATCAAACACAACTATCTGTATCAAACACAACTATCCATATCAAACACAACTATCCATATCAAACACAAGGATACGTATCAAACACGACTATCCGTATCAAACACAACTATCCCTATAAAACACAACTATCCGTATCAAACACAACTATCCGTATCAAACACAACTATACGTATCAAACACAACTATCCGTATCAAACACAACTATCCATATCAAACACAACTATCCGTATCAAACACAACTATCCATATCAAACACAACTATCAAACATTTCTGGTATGTTTCATGTTTAGCCACCATCAAACATGGTGTATAGTTTCTTTTGCACATAAGTTTATGTGTCAGTCACGGGAACCATCACATGCCTAAGGTCATCTTAGTGGGGGAGTTTCCTGGGCAAGATCCGGGTTTGAATTGGTCTTCAGTAAGAGGCGACTAACGGAATCTGGTGGTCAGGCTCGCTGACTTTGTTGACACATTAGGCCACATGTCATCGTATCCCAATGGCGTAGATTGTGATGCTCATGATGTAGATCACTGGATAGTTTGGGCCAGACTCGATTATTTACAGATCCCTACTATTGCTGAGTGCGGCGTTAAACAACAAACCATACATCATACATCCTAGTCCAGGCTGCCTGTTCGACTGGTGGTCCTGCTACAATAGAAAAGACTCATTTGTTTCCCGGGTCATTTCCACGCAGATCGAGACATCTAACAGCGGTGACTGGATGATGTTGCGCATTTGTATGCTATTAACTGTACATCAATGCAGCAATTGAACTAACGCTTTCCAATATTTCGTCTTTTTAACATAATGACTTATGCTTGATGTCTGCAGAGATATTTTCAAATAGGTGACATTTCGTGGAGAACTCGATTGGCGTGTTCAGCTCCCTCTCCTGGGAAAAGGAACTGGTTCAGCACGCACAAATGTCTGTCTTTATTGCAGCTAAGAGACCAGACTGTGCATACATATACATTTAATGGCCGTGGAAAGGTTAGTTTGTTGTTTACAAGACAAAGAAACAATATAGTTTTACTACAGGATGGGGAAACATTTGTTTTTGTTTACCTAGGTGTCGTGTTGTAATGGCACTCCCCTGTAATGGCACTCCCCTGGCACTCCCTACTCCACCGCTCGCTCGTAACCTTTCTGATGCGTTTTAAATATTCCCCGGTGTGCATGTGATAATAATGCTTCTCAAGCGAGTAACTGCATACATGACATTGATAGCAACTTCTTTATATTCTTTTTTCGACGTTACAGAGCTAATTCTTGCTAATGCATTTACCCTTTTATTCTCTTACGTCTATTCTTCTCTTTTCACAAATCTTCGGAAAATAGAGAGTTTTTTCTCTGGCTTTGTTTTTTTTCAAATTATTACCACTGTTTTTTGTATCACTGGTACAAAATGTATCTCTATCCGTATGAGGCCAGTGTATGGGGGAACTCACATCATAACCACTCACCTTTATCTACACCTGCTCCAGTAGACTAACGCTTAGTCTCGGAATATATAGCATTTTGAAAGTAACAAACAAGCCCATTTAAATTGAAAAGGAGCCCCAGGGAGACCAGAGATTCAGAGATTCCTAAACCTGAGGAAATCTAGACTTGCTTTATTTAGGGTTTTAGCACTGCAGATAGGGCTTGGCAGTACGGTAGATGATGTGGTTCAGGGACTGTGAGACAGACTACTGGTCCAGTATTTCCTGCGTTAGTAAGGTGTACACATGGAATTCGAATTAGGAGAGACGACGTTGTAAGAAATGGTTGTAGATCCTAAATACAAATCTTGACATATTCCTTGTCTGCTGACATATTTAATGGTTAAGTATTTTTAGGATCTAGATATTTCAGGATTTGTTTAACAGATGAGTTTAGGGTCTAAATATGGGAAAGACCCTCATATTCCTATGAAATATATCGTGGTAATTTGAAAAATGGTTCTTAAGGTGTTTATTGTCGTAAGTGGGGATACAAAAGTAAAAGGCTAGAGTTGACTTAAACTGTAGAGTAATGAGACATACTTCCATTGTCACCTCCCGTGCCATGAGAGAAATCTATTCGCCATATAGCAACTGCACGTTTGTGAACAGAGTACTTTTTAAACCTCGGCGGGACGAATCTGTCTTGATTTATACTCCTTCGCTACCTCCTGTCTTAAAGGGACTGTTGTCCTCACAGGTGTCAGTGTCCCCAGTCATTATTAAATCAGTTTAGAGTGTTTAACTAGGGCCAGCTAAAAAGATCGATAATGTGAATTATCGTCGATAGCAAAAATTATGACAGATTATCAAACAGAAAACTATGATGTGGGGTCTAATTTGGTTTAAATATCTAAGCCTATTGTAAGCATGGATCCTAGGTTTCAGTATGTCACTGCATCTTGTAGATCCCATACCTGCTATTGACAGGTGTTGTGTACTTGTCAAAGACTCCTTCCATGATTTGCAAAATGGTTGATTGGTGCCATGAAAACCATTTTTATGGTTACTCGTGTTTCAAGTGCATAAGGTTAGATTAAAGTGCCCTAAAGAGGGGTTACCATATCATTATTTAATCAGTTTTAAATGAATAGTATTACGATTTCAAATTATAAATCTATGTTTAAGTAAAGTTGGGAATTTTTGTGATCCTTAGCAAAGTGTGAGTAGTATACTAGTATGTTCAGGACGCTGTTTTGTTCATAACCCATGGAAAGACATGTCACCAGTCAACCACTGATGTTAAATATATTCATTTCTTTTAGACGTTATTGGCATGTTTGCTCAAAGTTCTCCGATAAATATCGATAATCGATTGATATTTAGCTAACGATTATCTCTATCTAAGATCTGTATCGATAGCCAGCTTCTATGTTCAATAAATTCTTATGTCGGTATCTGGCCAAGATTGTTCTATGTACCAGTGCTATATTTGTTATGTGAGTGCCTGTGAATCTGATTTGCCCTTCCTATTTCAATATGATACAACGTATACATTCTGGACCTCATCCCCGATGGTATGCAGTTTATCTGAAGTTGAACAATATTTTATTATTCTGCCATGGGATACATATTGCTAAGTTATGAGCCAACAAACACATTTAACCCGTGAAGATCCGGGTTATAACTGATCTTCGGTGACTAATGCTTGTCGTATGAGGCGACAGGCGGGATCGGGTGGTCAGGCTCGCTGACTTGGTTGACACATGTCATCGTATTCCAATTGCGTAGATCGATGCTCATGCTGTTGATCACTGGATTGTCTGGTCCAAACTCGATTCTTTACAGACCGCCGCCATATAGCTGGGATATTGCTGAGTGCGGCTTAAATCGAAACTCACTCACTCACGAACAAATTTAACTATGTTTTTATTGCCAGAAAGGGGAAGACAAAAGAAGGGTGGTAGAAGGTGATATATATGTATGTATGTATGTCTATATGTGTATATATATACATGATACATACATACATATATTACATACATGTAATATATGTATGTATGTATCATGCCAATAATGGTTGTCACCCCATTCAATTTTTTTATTGGAGAGTATGTATGTACTACCGTTGGTGGGGTTTATTGGGATGAAATGAATGTATGTATATGTATGTAATGTATGCCCAATGTCATGTATGTATGTATGTATGTCCGATGTATGTATGTATGTATGTATGTATGTATGTATGTATGTGTGACAGAAGTGTCGTAGCGTCATCGTCGCAATAATCATGCCACGCATCCTCATGAAGTGTTCGTCACACCAGCGTCAGTCGACGTCACGCATCGCATCCGAACATCGCATCACAACAACATCGTATTATGACAACGTCATCTGATCACAACATCGTCACATGTTCATCTCGACGTTACATCACATCGGAGCATCGTAGCACAACATGTCTCAAAACATCATATCGTAATCTCGCATCGTAAAATAATATGTCAACATCGGAACGTCGTAGCATCCTTGATCAATTACAAACATACCGGGCAATACTTCAATATTACTTAATGCAGTGTACTGGAACAAACTCATTCGTCTTAAGATGGGTATCACTGATATTTTCCTCACTTTCTTTCAGCAAGCCCCCTGCTTTCATCTTTACACTCAGTATCCTACTCGGACGTCGACTCTACAAACTCCCAGCTGTGTACTGACCAAGGTAGGGAACTGTAGATGCTGTTTGTTTGCTTTACGCTGCAATATTCCAGCTATATCACAGTGGTTTGCATATAACCAGGTCCTGACCAGACAATCCAGTGACTGACACGACTCACGACTGGGATAGTGCCATGTGTCAACCAAGTCAGCGAGTCTGATTCCCCTATCCCGTACGTTGCCTCTCACGACAAGCATAAGCTAGACCATTTCTGACGTGGATATTGAGGGTCTGTGAGGGTATATAATGATCCATTGATCCATGGTCCACGTAGTGGGGAGTCGGGCGAGAAGCTGCCACCTACAGCCATGGGACATAAGTATTCGTCAGTCGGCAAAATTCTCATAGATTTGCATGTTAATTTAGTGTAGCTGTAATAATTTTCATTAATACAGTTTTCGTTATTTGGTTGTCAAATTTTGCAGGTTGTTAGGAAATCATCTTGGTCACATATACATAATTTCCATATAAAGTTCCTTCAAATATTTTCCGCATTGTAGTTACATGAGCAACATATATACAACATTGTGTATTCTTTACCCATAGACCGCCATGTTAAAAATTGTCATAACCATGACACGCATCAATCAAAGTGTGGTCATTCTTGAAATACTGAATTGAAAATAAAACGGAAATTATGTCTTTGCAGCTGAAATGATTTATGACACACGTGAAAAATATGAACAAGATCAAACGAAAAATAATTTCAAGACAATTTTTCTAGCTGCACCAAATTAACATGTAAGTCTATGGCAATTATGCACAGTGACGAATACTTATGTCCACTGACTGTACTTATGATGGTTGAGTCGACGTACAGCTTGTTCAGCTTGACCTGAGCTACTCTACATATGCATGACCCGGTAGGCCAAATGGCACAAACGGCAGGTCGAGTTAACTTCATTAAAGGAGAATACGAGTGAATTGCAATAATTTGCTGGGTGAAAGATAAAGTCATCAGAAACATATTCCCAAATTTTCAATTAAAAATTATGTATAATTATGTTTTAATCGCGAAAACAGTTTCTGTAAATCTCAGCTTCGGCCATTATGCACATTTCGCTGGAACCCACGTGACCTTTCCGCTCGTGACGTCAAATGTGCCTGGAGTCCGCCATATTGCCAAAGACTAAGTCCTACAGTAAGTACAAATCGTGTACAAATCGTGGGTACAAAAGTAGTACAAATCGTGGGGATGCACGGAATCATCGAACAATGGAAAGCCACCATTTCTGTATTGTTTTCGTTCGGATTCTCCTTTAAATAGGAGGGCTTTTTCCTTTCTTGTTCTATTCGGCCCACGGTTGCACTGGAAACACCAGTTGATGCTGCTGCTCGCTGCCGAAAAGCCCGAATCGGAAACATTAAACCATCTGTAGCTTCATTTTTAAAGAAAGTTAAGACATCGCTGACGATTTCTCGACACTGAGATGTCAAACGGCGACCTTGTCTCGGCTGTTCGGACATGTTGACAATCAACTAACAAAGGTGCACCCCTTCACAATAATAGACCCAACCAGTTGTGACACGGTCACGCAATGCACTAGTATTCACTTGATCAGGTCAAGCTGAACAAGCTGTAATGAATCAGATTTTTCAGATATTTATCATCGTGTATATTTTGGTCACAATATCAACCACTGGTTTGTCTTGTCCAGGTTTCAGACATATGGTGTAATAGTGTTAAACAAACAAACAACTCTAATTAGATTTCTATGCATGACTCGATTGACTGAGTTTGGTTTTACGCCGCTTTTAGCAATATTCCAGCAACATCACGGCGGAGGACACCAGAAATTGGCTTCACGCATTGTACCCATGTGGGGATTCGAACCCGGGTCTTCGGCGTGACGAACCATACAGGACTAGAAAGGAGAACTAGATGCAGTTGACACTCCTGACAGGTGAGTTGAGGTGAACTGGGGTTTAAGGTAGTGTTGGTGTTCTATTCCGGATTAACGCTTGTTTTATAGTGCCAGCCCTCTTATTTGTTTGTTTGTTTGTTGTTGAACGCCGCACTCATCAACATTCCAGCTATATGACCGCGGTCTGTAAATAGTCGAGTGTGGACCAGACAATAGTCCCGATAGTCACCTATTACGGACAGACCGACAGAATATTTTATTTACATCTCACTCGTATAAAAACGGTATTTATTACCTACGAGGGCGAACATATCGGGGTTCATATTTTTCATACGATGCCCTAGGGCAAAATATCACTTTGTCATGGTGACGTGACGTCATGAACACTGCTATGACGTCACGTTTCTTCTGTGACGTTGCGTTCTACATACGGCAACGGCGGGTAGCCAGCCTATGATTGAAAGTAGATTTGGGCTTATTTTCCACAATTTGACAACTTCGGTAATAAACAGAATATTATATTCGTGCCCATATCATACTATGTTTACGACACTCGTGCCTAAATATCTCTCGCTCGGGAAATACCAACATTCAGGCCAATCACCAAGCGATATTACGACATATGGTGAAACATAACCAGTGTCAAGTGTGCCACACGACTTACACGCAACTCGTGCCAAATTTTGGAATACAAAATTTCGCACTCGTTCCGTATAAGTCGTATGACACGCTTGCTCGTGTAATAATCTCTATTTATACTATGCCGCAGTTGAACATGGACACCTCACTCGGACCCAGACTGAGTGTTCAGATTCTGAGTCTACCAATCCCTGTTTTATCCCTATCACTGCCGAGCGCCAGGCAGGGTAACAGCAAGTATAATTTTTTAACCAGTTTTGGTACGACGCGGCCGGGAGCGAACCACCAACCTTTCGATCTCCTGTCAGATGCTGTATCCAGTAGCATAATCCGGCGGTCCATTCAATATAAGCTTTGTCGAAATTAACTTCTGTGATGATACATCCAATAGTCACCATGGACACCGGGTGGCCGATATTCGTAGCTGTGCAGAAATAAACCAAACATTGTTCAGATCATCGTGGGATCAATGGATTTCAATTCTTTCCCTGTTTTACGCCTACACTCTGTTTTGACCACTACACCCTTTAAAACTGAATCATATTAAGGAAATACAGGTATCTCCACAGCAAATGGACCCGTGAAGATCCGGGTTAGAATACTGATCTTCAGTAACCCATGCTTGTCGTAAGAGGCGACTAACGGGATCGGTGGTCAGACTCGTTGACTTGGTCGACACATGTCATTGGTTCCCAATTGCGCAGATCGATGCTCATGCAGTTGATCACTAGATTGTCACAGATTATTTACAGACCGCCGCTATATAGCTGGAATATTGCTGAGTGCGGCGTAAAACTAAATTCACTCACTCCACAGTAAATTAGCGTAATAGCCTATTCAGACCCCACGCGCTTACCCCCCTACTGAGTTCATTTACACTGCAGGAACACCTCTGTATTAGCGCGGTGGACTATTCAGAGTCTCACTTTCATTATTGTGACAAATTTTCCACCACATTTTATGAATGTAGTGGTTTCGTTAAAAAAAATATTCTTGAACAACGAATAACATAATGGTTACGTGTAAACACGTATACCAAAACTCATTCCTGTAGACAAAATTTGAAGTGCATGAAGTCCCTATACAATTACCAATAAAACCCCATGTGTCCACAGGGCAGGGCGACTAGCCGCAGAAAGACGGCAGCCTGTAAATAATACATACACATGCCACCAGATCATCACGCAAGGCTGCCTGATTCATTTAGTCTTCTTGTACCAGAAGCATATTTTGCCAGGGACCTATTCTAACCCGGATTCCCCGAGGTGACGACCTTCCACCTCTTGGATCAGCTCCTGTTTTCAACAAGACTGTCATGTACAACCAGTTCTGGAACAGCATGAATATCGCAGACATTTATTCACTCCCGACAACATAAAACCTGACATCGCCTGGAGAATCAATTATTGTAACACCGTGCGTCATTTCTCTATTCTGGCCCATAATCCACACGGGGACGATAAAAATATAACGGTAAAACCGTACACTGTTCTAACCAGCACGCTATCCCCACATCACCAATTCCCAGGCTCAGTTGGAAATTATCCACGGTCCCGTTAGCGGAGGGCTTGCAATGTGAAATAAATCTTTCTGATAGCAGCTATTTCACGAATATAGAATTTCAAGAAGTTCCTTGGATTTCTTTCTCTGACATGTCTGAACGATCGACGAGATTGATCGGTTAGTTCATCGTGGCCAAAATCTGTGACACGATGTAGGGAATAAACCTGTATCAATTTTAGTCTTGTACAGATGAAGGCGTTGAGGTATATTTTAATCAAACGTTCATACAATTAAGTTGTTCGTGTTGTAATGTGTGTGCAATGGATATATGTATTCATTGTAATTCCAGCGTCCATAACGCAAGACAAATTCCCTTCTTGGGCAATAAAGTATTATTATTATTATTATTAATAATTTTATATGGCGTGATGACTTTAATCTTATTACAATGCATGCATGATTACATAGTACCCGTGAAGATCCGTTTAGAATTGGTCTTGAGCAATGTATGCTTGTAAGAGGCGACGAACGGGATCGGGTGATCAGACTCTCTGACTTGGTTGATCGTATCCCATTTGCGTAGATCGATTCGCATTTTGTTGATCACTGGATTGTCTGGTCCAGACTCAATTATTTAGAGCCTGGAAAAGCTGGAATGTTGCTGAATGTGTTGTTACAAAACAAACAAAAACCCCATAGTGACATAACATTCAATTTAACAATGAATTTAATATTCAACGTTTGATTTTGATACTGAACTTAACATAGTTTGAACTAACAGCGTTTTGTAATTTGTACATGCTTCATGCTATTTAAAAAGAGCATCCTTCAGTCCCATGCAATATGGAGTATATCTGCATTACACCTCCAACACTTAGTCACCTGATAGAATGACCATGTAAGAGTACGTGCTGAAACAGCCTATACGTGTTGTAAGAGGGTTGGTTAACAGATGATGTTCATTATATCAACCCTTAGTTTGTCTGGTCCAGAATCATAGGGCGCCATGATATGACTGGACAGTTGTCGATTATCATTGAAAGCAACACCCAAGCAGACAATCAAATCGGATATTGGCGTATTCTCAAAATCACCAACTGGCCACAGATTGTCCTCCCAGTCCAAGGGACTCAACACTTCCCGACGCCACCTGAATCACACACCACAAGACCTCAGATCTTTCTAATCATGATATTGTCCGAAATGAGTGAGTGAGTTTAGTTTTACGCCGCTTTTAGCAATATTCTAGCAATATCACGGCAGGGGACACCAGAAATAGACTTCACACATTGCACCCATGGGGGGAATCGAACCCGGATCTTCGGCGTGACGAGCGAACGCTTTAACCGCTAGGCTACCCACCGCCCCCTTATCCTAAATACACCAACTCCATTATAAACCAGCATCAGCCGCTAGTGGGGGAAGTCACACAACGATGAGATAGATAGCACTTTAAACAACAAACAAACCAACAATAGATTCCCTCCTACAACCTAGAGCCAAGTGCTCCTTTAACAGACAAAGAATCACTTATCTGACCAATTAGTGAATGTAGCGGCGCAATGGACCGTAATAAACCTGAGTTTTGTTGTCCCTTTTATCACCTAGCTAAAAGCTGTATGTAAGCTTGAATTAACAGATATCCGCTGATCCATATTGTTTTGCACAATGCCAAGCTTACAAACGTTTCCTGAAACTATACTGACGTACAAAAGAAAGTACACACTTCCCACAAAACCGTAAATATTTGATAAATTGTGTTAATTTTGACTTCATATGTCGATCAAGCCTTACTGTTAATATTCAGACCACAAAGAAAAACGATATCCTCGATTATCTTACGGTTGGGCATAAATGGCAAAGTAGTTGAGAACAGTATGTAACGAGATCACTGAACTAAGTGTAACGATAAGCTGGAGTGAGGTGAGGTGAAATGGTTTTTTTGTGCTTTCTATTGGAATATTGGGTTCCACTTGTTTTTTGTTGTTATCTTGGTTTTCAATTTCTATGGGTTATTCAATGTTTGTTTGGGGTTTGGTTTGATTTGGTTCTGGGATTTTGGTGTTTTTTCGTTTGGTTTTGGCTTGTTTTGTGATTGTTCTTCTTTTGTTTTGTTTTTTGTTTGGGTTTTGGGTTTTAGGGGTGTGTGGGTGTGGGGTGTGTGTGTGTGTGGGTGTGGGGGTTGGTCTTTGTCTTGGGATGGGGTGGACGATACATGTCACATATCCTCGACCTGAGTAGTCATGTCTGGACCTAGCATCTTCATGGATGTCAATCGCAGACAACGCCTTTTTAGCAAAGGCTGTTTGACAATGGCTGTATATTTGTCAACCTAAGGAATCGATGTCATAGTGAAGCCCTAACTGTCCACACAACTGGTGTAAGTGCTACTGTCATATGTTTATCAGATAACGGACAATATTCCTCCCTATAATCCATACTGACATTAACAAGCTTTGTTGAAACCAATAACTTGAGCCGTCTCACCACCGACTCCGATACCCACGAGCATAACTTGGCATTGCCTAACACACATAATCGATAGCAGTTATGCAACAGTAATAGAATAACCTTTAATGAATTACGGATTATCTATCCGAGTTAATTGTTTTTGTCACGGGGTTTTAACGAGCGACAATGTTATGCCATATGTTACCTTCAAATGTCCATCATGGTGATTACTGTACTAAAGTGTCAAATATCATTGTAAAAGAAAACTTGATATTATAGTATGCATGCAATTCGGCCACCGGTCCTCCGAGACTAAAGTCGTTAACTGAAACGAAATTCATCGGGGATAAATATATTGTAGAAAATTTATGAGCTTCCCTTTCTTTGATGAAATGATCAGCTCGTTCAATCAATGGAGGGGTGGTAGGGTAGCCTAGCGGTTAAAGCGTCCACTCGTCATGCCGAAGACCCCTGTTCGATTCCCCACATGGTCACAATGTGTGAAGCCCATGTCTGGTGATGTTGCTGGAATATTGCTGAAAGCGGCGTAAAACCGTACTCACTCAATGGAATGAAGTCACATGATACCGCCTTTGACTCTTTGAACAATCGTTTACGTAATCTATAATTAATTGTAATCGCATGAATAAATGCTAACTGGATAAAAAACAGTCGACAGATTTGTGTGAGGTCGCTTCATATTTACAAGAAGGACACAATGGTGAATAATTTCACCCTAATGGGCAAATAACCAGTTCTGTTTTGACGTATCCCTCCATGGAAGCACGAACTGTCCCAACAGTGTATTTACTTGGAAACCGATTTCCATCCTCAATTTCGTACCTATTTGACACTTTCATCCCGATAAGTACATAAAAAAGTCAGTCCACATATTTGAAGGCAAATGTTTTAGGAAGCGAACTGGGTTTTAGTGTTTGTGGATTTACGATTAATTTAATTTGGACAGGGTTGTTAGTGCTGGGTATCCGGATCTGGAATGTACTAGGAAACCGTTATGGGACAGACAGTTTCTTTGTCCATTCAGAATCTAAATCGTCCATTGAGACAGCGCTGAGACGCCGTTATCACAGCTATGTATGATATAAGATCTGGCAGCTAGGTATAATGTAAGACTATATATAATATGAAACCTCACAGCCAGGTAAAATTTAAGGTCTCATGGCTAGGTATAATGTAAGACCTCACAGCCAGGTAAATTGTAAGGCCTCACGGCTAGGTCCAGGTACATTGTAAGGTCTCACGGCTAGGTATAATGTAAGACCTCACAGCCAGGTAAATTGTAAGGCCCCACTGCTAGGCATAATGTAAGACCTCACAGCTAGGTATAATGTAAGACCTCACAGCTAGGTATAATGTAAGACCTCACAGCTAGGTATAATGGAAGACCTTACAGCTAGGTTAATGTAAGACCTCACTGCCTGGTTAATGTAAGACCTCACGGCTAGGTGTAATATAAGACCTCACAGTTTGGCATAATGTATGACCTTTCAAAGTATATTGCTTCCACCAGAGGCCGTTATCTATGTAGAGTTGCGTCCCTTATCCATGTCCAGGATCGTATGACCATGTGTTCGAATCCCAAAGTCGCCCTTATGATTACTAGTGGTATCCCAACACCATGATCGTACTCTTGAGTAATTTCCCATGGTATAGCTTCCACACATCGCTGACCTCAAACCCGTTCCACCATCGTAAGTCCCAGCCTTTAATCATTGGCTTACGACAATCGTAGCTAAGCTCGCTCTGTGGAACGGGTCTCTGGTGAAACGTCAATAGTCTGTACTACCCTACACTAGTGTCACTATCGATAGTCTCAGTGCACAGACAATTGTACCATTGTTGAACGTCTGACAATCATTCTGTCTACCTAATCATGGTCGGCTGAACGTGGCATGTTTGGATTTATTTGTCACGTATGATCACAATGTTTAATTAAACAGAAATTAGCTCGTAGCATCCCAACAAAATCTTCTTCGATTTATCGAACCATGAGCATGGCAAAGTATGCCAGAACATATGTCATGTGACAATTCGTTTTCTTTGTTGTTTAACAGTGCATTCTGCAATATTCCTAATTGACGACACTATGTAAATATTCCAGTCACGATCAGACAAAACAGTGGTTAATATTATGAGCAGCGGTCCTGGTCGGGGTACGGTGACATGTCAAGTCAGTTGACATCTGAAATGTCTCCTTTCCCACCTCGTTCAACCAAACCACAAATTCGAGCCCGTGAAGATCCAGGTTAGAATTGTTCTACAGCGACCTATGCATGTCGTAAGAGGCAACTAATGGGATCGGGTTGTCAGACTCTCTGACCTGGTTGGCAATCTTATCCAAACTGCGTAAATCGATGCTCATGATGTTGAAAACTGGATTGTCTCGTCCAGACTCGATTATTTACGACCCGTGAACGTCCGGGTTAGAATGAATCTTAAGTAACCCATGCTTGTCGTAAGAGGCGACTAACAGGATCGGGTGGTCAGGCTCGCTGGCTTGGATGTCACATGTCATACCGAAATATAAGTCTCATTAACCAATTCAGACAATGACCTACTTTTCAGCCGATCCGAATTTTTTCGTGTGAAAGTGAAAAGAGACACTACAAACAACTATGGTTACACTGAATTCGAATTCCTTGCTTAATGAGAATGGTATTTACAAATTAATCTTTATTTTAAAGTTTAATAAAATCGTAATTCTATATTTTATGTCGAAGTTTAGGCAGCATGTCGTTAACTAAGACGTCGCAGACTGCCCCTGTTAGAAGAAGTCGTACCAATGATTCAGAATTCATCTGGCTCATTGGTTACACCTGTTATGTATTTTTTGCGCATATTAAGCGTATTTTTGGTAAAGTACAGTATGGTTGATATAATATCAAAGCCGTAAAAGACCGCCAAACTTTTCTAGCGGCCGAGCCTCGTTTTAAGATTTCCACGATTTCAAGATTTCCGTTTGTCAGAGCACGTTGTACGGCAGAGCATGCTGCACGACGTGTTTGCAAGGATTATAAGGAGCGTAGTGTTGCAATATACAAGTGATTAGATGTATCAAATAATACTGATTAATATCTATATAGCCAGTTAAATGAGTTGGTCTCAAATTTCTGGACTGGTTCTTGTAATACGTTGCGCAATAGGACGGAACCCAGTCAGCAGGAAACGAGACAGTTGTGTAATCAATGTTTTGACTTGCATCGGTTCCCAATTGCGCAGATCGATGCTCATGCTGTCGATCACTGGATTGTCTGGTCCAGACTCGGTTATATACAGACCGCTGTCATATAGCTGGAATATTACTGAGTGCGGCGTAAAACTAAACTCACTCACTCGATTATTTACAGACCGCCGCTGCATAGCCGGAATATTGCAGAGTTCAGCATTAAACAACAAACAAACAAATAAATTACCCAGACCACGTCCCTTTACTTTACAGACGCTACCATCCCCTTCCACTGGGCCTGGGTAGTGGCGGACTTGGTGTATGAGCGGTACGGCGAGAGGATGAGGAGGTTGAGAAACAACATAGAAGACCACCTCACCAAGTTCAGATCACACACCACCTTCAGGTCACCTCTGATGTGTCAACAGGTACGCGAATCAGGCCCTGTCAAAATGGCAGGGTGCCGTTATACAAAACGTTCTTAGCGTTAAGACTGCCGTACATATTATAGTGTAAGGTTATGTTAAGAGATGAGAGGACTGATCATTTCAGCTCTGAGGTCGCTTGGTACAACGGTGCCCTGATCACATTGTTGTATCTGGATTCCTTTGCAGCATGCAATATGCCAGTCTGGTTTACTTCTATTTAGGGGCGGTGGGGTAGCCTAGTGGTTAAAGCGTTGGCTCGTCACGCCAAAGACCCGGGTTCGAATCCCCACATGGGTACAATGTGTGAAGTCTATTTCTGGTGTCCCCCACCGTGATGTTGCTGGAATATTGCTAAAAGCGGCGTAAAACCAAACTTAGTCAGTCAGTCAGTACCTCTATTTAATTTTGTTTGTGTACGTGTTTGTTAGTTTTGTCGTTTGTGTTCGTTTCTTTGTTAATTTATTAATCACAGTGACTGCAATTCCAGTCAAAAGTCACTCATTAAAGTTGCTCTTGAACGTATAAGGGAGGCCAAGCAGCTTCCCCCTGCATTTCTTCTTGCATTTGTTGTTGATGTTTTTTTACCGCTTCCTTTGTCTTAAAACTGATCATAACATACTATCATTTTCATTGTTTAATCTGGCTCAGACGTTGCTTTGGTGAACGTTTGTTCTGTTTGTTGTTTAACGTCACAATGAGCAGTAGTCCAGCTCAGGGGCGTATCCAGGTTTTTGAAGAAGGGGGTGCACATCAATCATGTAGTCCAAAGGTTAGGGGGAAATGCTCCTCAGGGAATCTTTTTCCGGGGAGAAGGAGGGTGCACAAAAGAATCACTGCAAGAATATCCCTCAAAACCCTCATTCTGACTCATGACTGCAATTACAACGGTAACTTTCCCAACTATCTCGAACAACTCGTCTTCGGGTATGTTGTACTATACCCCAGCGAAGTCCCCGATCCTCCTCTGACTCTCTCCTCATCCAACACAGATCTCCAAACCAACTGTCAGACCGAGCCTTCTCGATTACCTGCCCTCAACTGTGGAACTCTTCCAAAGGAAATCAGGAACACTTCATCGAAAGAAACTTTTAAATCTCTGCTAAAAACCAATCTGTTCACTGCTGCCTTTCTGTTAAACCCATATGAACTATTTCCTTCCCGAATATTCTCATTTGATTGAAACATGCTTTATTAATTCAAGAAAAGGATTGGGCAATATTGTCATAGCGCCACTGAGCATCTCAATGGTGGATATTAGGCGCTTGATAAATTAATTATTACTATTACATGTATTATTTTATCTGTCAGCATTATCAAACTTCAGCCATTTTGGGGCGACATGATACTAGTTCAATACTGTTCAACCCAAAACAATCGCTTTCTCTAAAAAATGATCTATTCTTTAAAAGATTGATTCTCTTGCTCTAGAAATGTAACCTGTCGATGTGCAGGTTCGTTAGAAATTGGAAGTCGCCTCAAGGTTAAATCGGTTCACAACGTTAAACAACATACAAACGAACAACGCTCATTCAACCAAATTAGATTTCCAATAGGTTAAGAAAGGTCGTTTCCAATACCCGTCTGTTGTGTGTTCCTGTCGACCTTTAGACAAAACCCTGCTTTGTCAAGAGAAACAGAAAAAATGAACAAAGGTGATTCAGCTGAATAGAAGCTGGATCCTCACAAACAAACGCCTCAGTCGACTACTAACAATTTTATTACCTTCACAAACAACAAACAAACAGCTCCTGCTGAATAAACCATAAGCAGAAGCCACATTAATAGTAAATATGTGCGAGTATTTGCACGGCATTGTTTACTCCCGAACCAGCAACACATGCCAATCGAACGTCGACCTTTTTAAAAGCCCCAGAGGTCTTTGCTTGAATGGTCAATACTCTTATGTCTAATTAGTACACCATTCATCCATCACAGATGTTCACACCGACATGGTCATCTGGGAATTTGTGACATTGAATAGTCAGGGAATTTGTAAGAGACGGAATGACTGATTGGTTGATACGAGGAAAACATGTTTCTCTACGCCGATTGTTTTGGGTGTTTTTCTCAAACATTTTTACGACATCCTTATTCCTTCTGCTTTCTGGTTGAAAGCTCAGACACTTTTCCTAGTTTGTCTGTCCAAACCTGAGAGTCAAACACCGCGAAGCCAGGAATAGTAAATAGCCAAGCCAAAGAAATATCCTCTGATGTTTGATGGTGGCTGACAAAGGAAACACACAAGAAACGATTTTTCGATGCTATACGCCACAGTATTCCAGCTACATGGCGGCAGTCTGTAAATACTCGAGTCTGGACCAGACAATCCAGTGATCAGCAGCATTAGCATTGATCAATACAATATTGGGATACGATGACATGTGTCAACCAAGTCAGCAAGCCTGACCACCCGATCCCGTTAGTCTCTTAAGACAGTCACATCATTGGTTGCTGAAGATGAATTCTTACCTGGATCTTCAAGGGTCAGAAATAAATTAATTAATTAATTAAATTTACGGAATCATAATAGGTAATATGTTGGGTATCACAGAATGATAAGCAAACAGAGATATGTTCTTCATCTTCATGAGACTTCAAACTGCTGTACGACTAACGGGATCGGGTGGTCAGGCTCGCTGACTGGGTTGACACATGTCATCGTATCCCAGTTGCGCAGATCGATGTAAATGTTGTTGATCCCTGGATTGTCTGGTCCAGACTTGATTATGTACAGACCGCCACCATATAGCTGGAATACTGCTAAGTGCAGGCGTAAAACTAAACTCACTCACTCAAACTGCTGTCAGGGGTGTATTGTCTTGAACCTGAAATGAACCTGAGTTGAAGTTGAGACTATCGTGTTTATTTATACAATATCCCAATGTTTGTATCATTGAATACAGTATTCGTCATGTGTAATAGATCTACAGTTAGGTGATGTGATGAGAATATTTCGCTCATATGACGACGTGCATGCATGTGTATGTGTATGTGCGGCTGCTTGTACTAGCCCAGTCTGAAGCTGGTTTTATAGTGCTAGGCCACTGAGATACCATGCCGCAGTGAAGCATGAATACCCCTCTCAGACACATTATACTGACTCCGAGCCGACCAGTCCTTGTTGTACCCATTAATGCCTAGCGCCAGGCAGGGACCAACAAGTACCATATTTTAACGTCTTTTTTGGTATGACGCGGTCGGGGATTGAACCCGCGACCTTCCGGTCTCCGGGCGGACGCTCTAACCACTACACCACGGAGGCGGTCTTCACATTTATGAGTCGAGAGTAAACAACACACAGACGGGCGGAGAGTCACGGACTTCATGCGTTACCAGTTACGTGGTGATACAAGCTTGTCAATCAGGCAGTTCATCCTCATACGAAGATAAACATTTTTAAACGGAAACCTTTGTGAGAGACAATTAATTAATTACAACGCCTTACGGGTTTTTTCCTCCTGATATGTTTTCTGAATGTGGAGAGTCGCAAGTTATTACGCATGATCACCCAGTCATGGGAGATGGATCACGTGCTTCTTGTTTTCCGTGTAACAATTAACATGGTTTTTTTTAAGGAGCTTTCCAGTCTTGCATAAGCATCCACACGGAACGATTCCAGTTTGCTAAGTTGTATAGAAAACAAAAGTATAATCATTGTTCTAAATATATTTGATGCCGTATGGTATTGGACCTTAAATCTGAAGTGTTTTGGGTGAATGTTTTCAGCCTAGTAGCCTTTCGATAAACAATCATATTGCTTTCCACGTCCCTTTTCACGTCGCTTTTTACATGACCACCTCCGTGGTTTGGTGGTTAGAGCGCCCGCTGGAGAGCGGAAGGTTGCGAGTTCGATCCCCGGTCGCGTCATACCAAAAGACGTTAAAATATGATACTTGTTGCTCCCTGCCTGGCGCTCGGGATTAAAGGGTACAACAAGGACTGGTCGGCTCGGAGTCAGTATAATGTGTCTGAGTGGGGTATTCATGCTTACCCGCCGTGATATTGCTGGAATATTGCTAAAAGCGGCGTAAATCCAAACTCACTCACTATTCATGCTTAACTGCGGCGTGGTATCTCAGTGAGCTTTCACTATAAAACCAGCTTAAGTCTGGGCTAGTACAAGCAGCCACACACGCATGCACGTCGTCATATGAGCGAAATATATTTAATTAAGTCCGACGTTAAACCCCATTTCAACTCACCTCACCTCGCTTTTCACGTTGGTTGGGCCCCCCTGAGTTCACGTTACTGACAAGACGATCAGAAACCTTCTGCATACGGCTTATCTGCATTGTGTTATAGTCTTTAGAGAGTAGGAACACGTTGATGTCGTGTAATGTCCCAAGTCCAGATTCCTTCAAGAATTTATTAACTCTTTTGAACGTCAGTGTAAGGCAGCTTGACATGTTGTAGGGTAAGTTTGATTTTAGACTGTATCAACATCACGACCAGAACGCCAATACGTACTGTCTGTGGAAAAGTCATTGTACAACCTAGACAACCTACATGTGTCAATAGTTGTGCACTATTCTCACTATGCTGATCCACTACGTTTTGTCACGAAGAACACTCGGACGCTTGAATCGGACCATAATCGGACGTACATAAATAATTGTTTGACTAATCGTGGGGCATGCCCCATTATTGATGAAGTCATTTATTGGTTTATTGGTTTGACTACACAGCCATGTTCTGTTTTTACCAGAGTGTGTTTTTGTGATTTGTAAAATCATTGGTTAGGTGATAGTTATTATGGGTCACAATGTTTAAAGTTTTGTGGGTCACATTTCGCATCATATATGTTCAATGGCAATACTATGTTTAGCGGTACGCCTTTATGATAGCGCTCTAGAGTTGCCTCCCTTGGCTTTATTTCATGTTTTGACAGGTCGTACGTTCCACAGATTTCCACTTTAGGTGAATCACACTTAATGTATATTAAATCTATCTGCTTTTATGTCATAATTTACAGATTTCCTTGCAGAGAGGATTCCATTCAT